ATTGAGGGAAGACCATCAGGACCAGAAGGGAGACAAGCCTTCTTAGTGTTTTTGTTTTTCTTGAAGAGAAACAAGATGAAGATGGGAAGAGATAGAATTAGGAAGACGAGTAAAGCCATTGTAATCTGTGTATTACAACAAATCATAATGAAAAGCTACAAATAGACCTATTTCAATCTCAAACCACTCAAAACTATTTAAAATTTCTTGTATTCAATCAAAAGAGAAAAATAAATTAGCTCGACGATAACATTCTTGTGACTCTAAATTTCTTGATCTATCAATTACAAAAGAAGATAAAACAGAAACGAAGCTCCAATATTTAGCCTTCTTTTCCTCTATACTAGGTTAGCATACTTAATTTTCTTTGATATGTCGTGGATCTGTATCATCGTACATCGTAGATCATTTATCAAATCTAATTATGCTTGGTCTTAAAGGACAGTATTTTCTCCAAAAGTAATTATTAATATTTACCTATAAAAAAAATTAAAAAAGAGATAAATAAGTGGGAATTTTTTTTAAAAAAAATTAGAGATTAGATTGAAATATTTTTTTATTATTTTTTATGAGTTTGGATATGATTTTTATTTTTTTATTTATCTATTTTTAAAAAAATGAATGTATAAAATAACAATTGTAAATATATGATAGATGAAAATATTTTGACCAAAAAAAAAAAAAAACACTTAAAAGTTGCATGACCTTTAAAGTCTTTTTTTATTATTTTTTTCTTTAAGTTTCAAGAATTTTAGTCAAAAAATGAAATATCTTCGTGTAACTTTCAAGTATTTTTTTTCTATTTTGATAAAAAAAATATTTTTATTAATTGAAGCCTAGAATTCTAATGTCACATTCAGCCTAACTAAATGAAAAAAAAAAAAAATTGTCAATTGAGGGAGAATTCATGATATTAATTTATGCAGCGGGAATTTTGTAAATTTGTAGCCATGTTATCAGTAATTAAGCTTTTGATTATATAGGATACGAGTTTTTGCTCATTAAATGCTAAATTTTTAATCTACTAAATTACATATAAACTAATTGGTTTCATAATATTCTGTAACTCTTAATAACTAGCTATCCTAAGATAAAAAACAAGATATGATAATTGTCACATACTTCCAGCGACGAGAAATTGGTGAAAAGTCTTTAATTAGTTGTCCTAATTTTGAATCAAGATGGTGGAATTTTCTAAAAGAACAGAGTTTTTGTCTTTCTTGATTTCATTATTAATTGAAGCCCATAAATTTTATGTCGCATTCAAACTAAATGAAAAAAAATTTCCAACTGAGGGAGAATTCTTGATATTTATGCGGCGGGAATTTTGTAAATTTGTAGCCATTTTCTAATTAATTAAATTTTGATTGTATAATATATAAGTTTTTACTAATTAAATGCTAAATTTTTTAATGGTCAATGTTCAATTAGCTAGATTGATAATGACGATTTGCACATTAGATACAATCCCTGTATGCAAAATAATAATAATAAAAATAACTAAATAAATAAAATAAAATTGAATACAAATTTTTGTGGCAATCGAGATAATTCACGCTTTTAATCTGTAGAATTACATTTTGATCTTAATTATATATTCTATAACTCTTAATAACTAGCTACTCTCTTATACATAGATGAAAAAAACGCAAGATACAAAACAAGGTAAAGCTGATTATCGCATACTTCAGGTAGGAGAAACTGGTGAGAAGTCTTTAACCAGTTGGTCTAGGATTTAAGTTCTACTACTAGCTAGGACGGTGAGGGAAAACTATAGAACAACATCAAACACTTGATAAATGACAATAGTTACTGGGCATAAGGCATAAAGCATTTTTCCTGTGCATGGTGATACCTGGTATAACATCCATATCTATGTCTTCAGCTTTCAATCCTTGTGGCATTTCCCAGTCAAAGTTGTGAAGAAGATTAGCAAGTGCAAGCTCCACAGTCACAGCTCCCATATGTATCCCTGGACAACCTCTTCGACCCGCACCAAAGGGTATCAGTTCAAAATCATGTCCTTTAAAGTCTACAGACTTGTCAAAGAATCTTTCAGGATAGAACTCTTCTGGGATTTCCCAAGCTTCAGGATCCCTTCCAATTGCCCACGCATTCACAAAAACTAGAGTTCTATCTGGTATGTCATACCCGTTTATGTTGCAATTTTGTATTGTTTCTCTTGGGACTAGCAATGGAGCCACTGGATACAATCTCAATGTCTCTTTCACCACTGCCTTTAGATATGGTAATCTTAGAAGATCATCTTCATTCACAAGTTTTCTGTCACCAACTAAATTTCTAACTTCTTCTTGAACTTTGTTCATCACTCTGGGCTCCTTCATTAGAGCTGTCATGGCCCACTCCAAGGCGGCTGCACTTGTGTCTGTACCAGCAATAAATATGTTCTGCCAAGAAAAAAAATTGATGTACATAGATAAGAAAGTTATGCATATTTTTTTCAGATGAGAAATTTAAAGAGTATGCAACGACTATATATGTGACAAAAATAAAATTGGATGGACAAATTTATGACCATTAGCACTGCTTTAACGTGATCCCAAGTTAGATCAAATGCAAATGCGCGTTCCTTTTTCAAGCGAACCAACACGTCAATGATGTCCTCTTGCTCGGGTTTGGTTCTATTTGGAGCCAGGTGCTCGTCAATTATTTCTTGGTAGAAAACATCAAATTCACTGAAATTCTTTTCCAGGCGAGCCATCAATCCAGTGAGTCTATCGATCCATCCCATGAAAGGAAAATAGTCTGAAACGAAAGAGCTAGACATCATGGCCTGTGCTTCATTAATAAGGTTATGAAATTTACTTCTTGCACTCCCTCGATCCTCATAACTCTTCCCTAAGGCAACTCTACAAATTATGGAGCTTGTAAGGGTCATCACTGCCTCACTCAAGTTGGCAGAATTTGAAGCATCGGCAGCTTTCGATAATTTTCCAATCATAAAAGAAACCTCATCTTCACGGATGGAATGAAAAGACTGCACTCGTTTCAAGTTAAAGAGTCGAAGAACACAAATTTTCCTCATCTCCCTCCAATAATCACCATATGGAGTAAAGGCCAAATCTAGGCCATTATAGGACAACTTTTGCTGGCCAAGTAAGGAAGGCCTGCTGGAGAATTCGAGGTCATGGGTTCTCATAACCTCTTTGGCCATTTTAGCTGAAGAAACTACCAGGCTTGGCACAAAACCTAGTCTCAAGGATACGAGGGGGCCATATTTGTGTGAGAGTTGCCACATGTAAACGTGAGGGGGTGAGTTGTACCAAAATTGATGCAAGTTACCGATTAAGGGAAGTCCATAGGGACCAGGCGGACGGAGAATTTTTCTTTTGGTTTTGTACGTTTGGAGAAGAAACAAAAGGGAGATAAAGAAAGCTGCAAGGAAGAAAAACATTGTCATTGTGGTCTATAGCTTTGTGGTATGTAACACTTAATGGCTTCCCTTCTATTTATACATTATGTTTTAAGAGATACATGCATGAACCTCTAATTCATATAATAACTTTTCTAATTTCCTTCTTTAATATATACTTCTTATCACTGTATCTACAACCTTCTTCCTATCCACCTCTAACTATGCTACTACCCGATATGCTAATTTCTTGTCTTAATTCCATATATACTCCATCAGCTTGCGAGAAAAAGGGCTGCTTGGACTCATTCTTAATTAAGAGTGATGCATGCATGCACAAGTCTAAGGAGTGCCACGTTTTATTGATCTCAGCTCTTGTGAACGCATGCTGCCGATCGAGACTTTGTTCACTCTAGGAATATGGCTTCCGTTTTTATCCAAGCATTTTGTATTGCAAAACCGATCGATCAAAGCAAGACTACTACGTCTAAATTGATACAAAAAGATGATGTTTTGCAAATTGCCGTGTCGTAGAGCGACAAGGAAGACTTCGGTTGTGAGAATAGCAGATAAGCTCGATCTCAATGTTCCCACCACAAGCTGGGCCAGCTACATGCATATTGTGTGAATAAAATGAGTAGCTAATACTAGCATGTATCTTGCCCGTTGTCACAAGATGAAACACACATTTTTTTTTCATCCATATATATAAAATGAAAAACGATAACAATTCATGCAATAGTGGTAATAAAACAGTTTAAAACAATATATAAATAATTTTTAGATAAATTTGATTTATAAGAATTTAACCAAAATGGGGAAAAAACTTTTATTAAAAGCCAAAATAGAAGAGTAAAATTTAAAAGTCATTCTTCATAATGCAAGGAAAAAAAATATCACATGACAAAACTTGAATGTCCAAAATAAAATAAAAATCATTAAACATGGGCCAAAATAGAAAGAAAATTGTCACTAAAAATCATTAAAAAATATAGCAAGAGTAAAACTACATTTAGTTTTAATTCTTTTATAATATTCAAATATTTACAGCTAGGAGGTGGAATCAAACTAGTTTTTTTTAAAAAAAAATTATATACAAAAATCAAACTAGTTTGTTAGACGAGGGAGTAAATTATAAATTATTCTTTTAATATTTACGAAGAGAAAGTTTTGCTTTTTTTTTTTTTTTTTTTGAGGGAAACTGCTGACACGTGAGTGAGTGGGAAATAAAAAAGAAGAGAGAGAGAGAGACGTGCACATGCATAGGGTAGTATGATTAATGGCATGTTTGCAGAACACCACATAAGTCATACATAAAAATTTATTATTTTTTTTTATAAATTCGCATTAAATGACTCTTAATTTTTAGTCAACTTAAAAAATCAGACTACTTAAATTCATCGAAACTCATATCTATTGTCAAATAAAAAAATTAAAAAATAATTAAATTCTTAATTTGATGAGTTAGAAACAATCTGCATACAAGCTTTTTTCGTTGTCCTCCTCAAACTATCTATCACCCGCGCGCTATAATAGTTTTTTGTCTTGATTCCATACCCGATCAGCTTGCGAGAATCACACGCTGCCGATCGATACTTTGTTCGTTCTAGGAATATGGCTTCCGTTTTCATTCATGCACTTGTGGATTGCAAAAGCCATAGATGAGAACAATACTGCTACGTCTAAATGGATACAAAAAGATGATGTTTTGCAAATTGGCATGTCGTAGAGCGAAAAGGAAGACTTCGGTTGTCAGAGCAGTAGGGTTTAGTTACAAAAATTACTTTTAACAAATGTTATCTTTTTTTTTAGAAAGTTTAAAATATTAATAATTAACTGGAATATGATTTAATTACTAAATTTATTTTCAAATTATTGAAATTATAGCAAAATAAAATTTATACTATTAATTTAAACTATTTGAATCTTAAATTATTAACTTTTAAACAAATTCTATCTTTCTCTATTATTTATGATAGTCACAATGTATATCGTTTTGTTTTTTAGATTAAAATTAATTTCAATTTTTTAATAATAGTTAGTTTAAATGAATTTTAGTTGATTTTTTTATTTGTGAATTTGATTTTTGTTGTTGAATAATTAATGATGTATAATATCAATCTAGTAAAAAAAATGAATTATTAATTTTTTTAGAATTAAGATTAATTATAATTAGCTTTAAGGTTGCTTAGATGATTTTTTTATGGATCTTACTTTTTTTGTTAGGTAATTAATAAGGTGCAATGGATTCTTCATTGTCTAAAAAATTATTAATTTTTTTTAAATTAATTTTAGCTCTAAATTAAATGTTTAAAATGACGTCATTTAAGCATTTAATTTAACGATCGATACTTTGACTATCGAAATAATAGAGAATAATAAAATTTATCAAAAAATTAATAATTTGAAATTCAAATAGCTAAAATTAATAATATAGACTTTATTTTACCACAACCATAATAGTTCGATGATAAATTTTGTCATTAAACCACATTCTATTTAATGGTCAACTATTTGATCATAAGAGATAACGAAAAAAGGATAACATATATTTGTTTAGAAAATAATAGTTTAAGATATAAATTGCTTAAATTGATAGTATAAAGCCTTAAGAGCCATAATTCAATACTTTGAGGGTAACTTTTGGCATTAAATCAAGTAGCAGATAAGCTCATTCTCAAGGTTTCCACTACATGCTGGCCAGCTAAATGCATGATCGATGTCTGAACAAAAGTAGCTAAAATATTTCTTATTCTTCAGAAGCACAAAATCTGAGTTAATGATGTCTGGTATATATGCATTACAGCAGAAAATGTTTGTTGATACCGCAATTGGAAACTCGAAAACGGCTTGAATGATCTTTGTTCCGTAAATAGAAAATATTTGAGTCATCTTTTTTTGTAAGATATTGTATAATGTAGCAACTTTCATTGCTCGTGTACCGGCAGATGTGGATATGTATAGCAAAATATAGACTCCATTCACGTGAGTAGAGATTTATTTACAAAATTTGCTTGTTGGCCAAGTAGATGAATATATTCAAATATATGCAGTTAGGAGTGGGAATCAAATATATGTGTTAGAGAGTCATATAAATCATATATTAGTACATCACTTAATATCTTAAGCTTTTAAGTAAGATTAGATGATTTTTTGATATGATATATGAACTTAATTAACCAAGTGATCTTTAATTTAAATTTTACCATCTTTACTTTTTTGAGTATTAAGCATAAGATAATATGGATCTGTATAAGATTCAAGTCCAAATGTTTGGTTTTTCATTTGTGGAAGTGTATTAAATAATCCTTTAATATTTTGCTTTTTTTAAAAGAAAACACTTGAGTGGGTGAAAAAAAAAACGAAAATAGACATGCATATATGCATAGAGTGGTATGATCAATGGGTCATGTATCATGTTTTCAGACCATCACATAAGTCATACATAAAAATTTATTATTTTTGAGGTTATATTTGCATTCGATGATTCTTAATTTTTAGTTAGTTTTTAAGGGTTAAACTATTTAAATCTATCAACAACTTATGTTTAGTGTCAAAAATAAAAATCACATTTGTGACTTGACGAGTCAGAAACACTATATGTACCATTTTTTTCCGTTATCGTCCTCTATCTATCTACTATCCGCTGTAATAATTTCTTGTCTTGATTCCATACACGATCAGGTAGCGAGAAAAAGGGCTGCTTGGACTCTTTCTTGGTTGGGGGTGCTGCATGAACAAGTTGATCGCTAACTAGTTGTCTGAGGATTGCCACGTTTTTTTTTCTTTGGGGTTTTTGGGGTGGAAGGGTGCCACGTTTTATTGATCACATCTCAGCTTGTGGTCACATGCTGCCGATCGATACTTCGTTCATTCTAGGAATACGGCTTCCGTTTCATTCATGCACTTGTGGATTGCAAAAGCGATAGATGAGAACAATACTACTACGTCTAAATGGATACAAAAAGATGATGTTTGCCAAATTGGCATGTCCTAGAGCGAAAAGGAAGACTTCGGTGGCGAGGGACTGACGGCAGTATGGTTAATGACAAAAAATACTTTTAAACTATTAGATTATAACAATTTAAGGTTAACATTAAGATTTTAAAACTATTTAAATTTAATTTTTTTTATTTATAAAATGTTATCTTTCTTCTGAAAAGTTAAAATATTAATCGTTAACTAAAATATAGTTTAATGATAAAATTTATTTCAAAATTATTGGAATTGTGACAAAATATGATTTATTCTATTAATTCGAACAAATTTTATCATTTTCTAGTATTTATGACAGTCATAGTGTAGATTGTTCTATTTTTTAAAAAAATAATTTTAATTTTAATTTTTTTAATAATAGTTAGTTTTAAAAAAGTTTAATTGATTTTTTTGTTTGTGAATTTGACTTTTTTTGTTTGATAATTAATGATGTGTAATAGATCTATCTATTAGAAAAAGACATAAAGTATTAATCACTTTAGAATTAATTTCAAAAAAAATATTTAATAATAATTAATTAGCTTTAATTAAGGTTGCTTAGATAATTTTTTTTATGGATCTTACTTTTATTGTTAGATTATTAATGTGGTGCAATGGATCCATGTAGTAAAAAAACATTAATGCTTAAAATGATGTCGTTTAAACATTTCATTTAACGGTAAATACTTTGATCTGTTAGAAATAATAGAAAATGATAGAATTTACCAAAAAATTAATAATTTGAAGTTCAAATAATCTAAATTAATAGTATAGACTTTATTTTATTACAATCGCAATAGTTTGATTGTAAATTTTGTCATTATATCACATTTTAGTTAATGGTCAACTCTTTGACATTTAGAGATAATAATAAAAAAAAGGATAATAGTTATTTTAAAAATAATAATTTAGAATCTAAATTACTCAAATTGACAATATAAACCTTAAATGTTATAATTTAATAGTTTGGAAGTAACTTTTTGCTATTAAATCAACTAGTAGATAAGCTCAATGTTATATCTCAATATGTTTCCAATCCAAGCTGGCCAGCTGTAAATGCATGATGTCTGAACAAAAGTAGCTAAACTATTTCTTATTCTTCAGAAGCACAAAATCTAGACTCCATTAATTTAGGTGAGTTGAGATTTATTTACAAAATTTGTTTGTTGACCAAATAGATTAATATATTCAAATAGACTAATTTGTTAATTAGACGGGGAGTAAATTATAAATTAGACTTTTTAGTTCTAAGAAACAAATTAATTAATCTCCTTTATTTAAAAAACTAAGTATTTAGCTTTTGTATTTGTAATTTTTCTTATAAATTAATTATTTTTTAATTTATTTTTATTTTTTATTTTAATAAATAAAAAAAGAAAAAATAAGTAAAAGAATATGAAAAAAAGTTTTTTAAAACAAAATAATATTAAATTAAGCATAGTTAATACTGGTTAAGATATTAAAGAATTAAATTTTAAAATAAGAGAGATTGATTAATTTATTTCTCAAAACTAGAGAAATTAATTTATAATTTACTCTTTAAGGCAGGTCAAATAGATAATCAGATATCAAAAGCTAATGCCTCGGCCGAAGTTCAGTTGGGCCTAGCATTCACCAGACATCTAGAGCCGCGCATTTATTAGAAGTTTTACAAAATTCAAGCCTAATTCGTAACGGGTGGGCCTGAGGTACCTTTTACGCATTGTTAAAACGCTTTGATTATAAATTTGGGCCCTTCATCCATTCGGCTGCCCTTAGGAAACTGTCAGGTCATGCGTAAACCTTGGATCAATAACAGCTGATTTTTCAAATGGTTAATTGGTTATAAAGTAATTTCAATTATTGGTAAATAAGAAAAAAGTTTATATTTATTTTATTGAAGTCTTCAATTTTATTTTTTGATTTGGAATTAGGTCTTTATATCTCATTAATCAATATTAGACCATATTAAAGTATGTAAAAAAATACAGAGTATCATAATAAAACAACATGTGTTATGTGTTTAAGACTTTCAAGACACATGTTGTTGTTTTAATAGCTTCATGTGTCTCTCATATTATTTGAAATTAGTTAACAGAATGAAATAATTTAATTATAAAAAAAAAAGAAAAAGATTGGAGACCTAAATTAAAAAAAAAAATTAAAACTTTTTTTCCTTTTGACCAATAATTCAAAATACTTTATAATCAATTAACCTTTTCAAATTGAAACAAGTAAAATTGGTGGAAGAAAATACGGTAATAGTGTTCTTTCAATCAATTAAGCTCTATGAATTGAAAGAAAATTAAGAGGAAAAAAAGAGAGAGAGAGCATCGTACCAGTGGAAAAGCGATAACAATTTAGAAAAAAAATTTGCTTTTCAATTTTCAATTTTTTTTTCTTCTTCTTCACTGACTGTGATGAACTATATAAGCCCATCGGCTTGGGCAATTATCAAAGATAGGTCTATTTATCAGGCAAAAAAAAAAAAATCTAGAGATTGATTTGCATCCCGAAATTTCAAGCGTAACAAAACATTAAGCATTTTTCAGACCGTTGGGTTAGGTTGGTAATGCTGTGAAGCATCTCCATGGAAAATGATGTAGTGTGGGGGGACCATGCTCACTTATGTTTGCTTCTAATGTCGAGCATGTGGAAAGCTGCAAGGAAGCATCAGTTTGCCCTCGAGTCCAGTGACCTCACCCCCAACATGCTTGCTGCAATAGATTATAAACTCAACGACCCCATGCAAAACAAGCAACATGGACCCATCTATAGCACATACTTTCGACAAGCTTGTGTCCAAATCAGAAACAGACATACTATATTACTTTGAAGACCGAAGAGGGGTCATGGAAATCATCAAATGTTGCAATTTAGGCCCAGCCCAGACAAGCCTGTGGGTCAAAAATGCTCTGTTTTTTTTTTAAATTTTTCAAATTATTTTTCGCACGCTGCTTTCATAAGACAGATAGACATCTAAGCGCACCTAGATAATTGATTCATGGCTCTAAAAAATTGCTTGTCAACGACACTCTGCAATTTTATAACCAAATTTATATACTATCGTTTCATTGTTGCCTGCAACAAGCCAATGCTAAATGATCAAACTAGTGAAAGAAACATTTTATCGCATTATCATCATCATCGCTAGCAGGTTCTCACCATGTGAGAGGGCTCCACAAGACAACCTTTCAAGAAAGAAAGAAAGTCCGAATGGTGGGCGGTCATGTGCTGTTGTACCTAAATTGCCAGTCTGATTGCTGAAATAATTTTTCATTTTAGGTGCATGAAGGCTTGCCTTTGCTTTAAATGGGATTCAAATCTGACTAGAAAGCTTGGATTGTAGATGAAAATGGTGTTGTGCTATTAAAATATGGACATCAATTTAGTAGGTGTGTTTGATTTCTTCGTTGATGGAGACACATAGCATGATGGGAGACCACACAACTTCAGCACAGCATACACACAATTTCGTAAAAAAAACCTTAAAGACCAAAATTATTGAGATTGGTAGATGGGTAGGTTCGACTACCTTGTGTTTATCAAAATAATGTCTGAACCAAAAATTTTATATGATTTTCTTGTGGGCTTGTTTACGTTGGAGCTCGAAATACCAACGGTTACAATTAAGACCCTCGTAACTATAATAAGTCATTAATCCTGTCGCTCTCAACAATGCTATATATGGAAAAATGGATTAGGTTATGCTAAACACTTTTTAATAAGTTAGTTTTACAGAAAGAAATGCAAATGATCCTATTTGGACTTTGTCATAATCGTGCAATCAATTTTTGTCTTGACTGTAGGTCGATTAGTTAATTAAGGCTTAAGAAATTATCAAGGTGGGCTCCCATGTGATCATACATGTCATCCAGGCAGTCTTCCACGTGTTCGTAATGTGAGAAATAAAATATTAAAAAGTTAAATTGGTTTTGGTTTTATTTTACATTAAATTATACCTATCTAATTTAAATTTAATAACTTAAATTTAATGAATATAATCGTCATGTTTTTTTAAAAAATATAAGAGAATCCGAGTTAGTTATCTATTTGGAACTTTAGATAGTATGGTAGCTCAAAATTATGGATCTATTTTTTCAATTATGTGTTGGATGAGGTAGTATCATAGTACCAATTAGGTTTTTTTTTTTTTTTTTTTTTTTTTAATCCGTGTTACATTGTTGATCATACAAAACACAAAATTATTTTTCAAAATTTATTCAATTTGATATCTCATGTTATATTATGCCTCTCAAATCGAAAACTGAATAAAAATTCTTCAATTTTATAAATTTTTAATAAAAATTTTGTGTTTGATTAATTTTTCTTTATTGGTTTTATAAACTTTTAATTAAAAAAAACTTTAGTTATTTATCTTAATCCATATTCTTAACTAAAAAATTTATAATAATGTAAGCAAAAAAATGTTAAAATCAATATATTTTTAGCTAAAAACTTATTTTGTAGATTGCTTTTTTAAAATATTTTTTACCTTAAAATTTTTAATTAAAAAATCAGAGAAAAAAGAAAAAAATGACCAAAATGAAGAAAAAAGAGGAACCAAAATAAAACAAAAAAATTACGGACCAAAAAAATAGTGTTTAAAAAAATAGACTAAAGTGTAATATCACGAAAACTTTAATAACAAATGTTTTCAAAAAGTTTAAAAATTACAAAAATATCATTGCATTGTAAAATGAACAATGTATATAAGTATGTGTAAATAGTGAAAAAGAGTCATATGAGTATTTGTCGGTAATTGAAATAAGTCCGGATAATTAATGTTTAGAACTAGGTTTCAATAGTGAAAATAAGTCATATCAGTCTTTGTCAATGATTAAATTAAATCTAGATGATTAGTGTTTAGAACAATGTCAATGAATAATAAACTAGCATTTTGTTTTAGTTTTTTTATTTAGTTATTTTGGCTCGAGACAAATCTTTTGTAATTAGTTTTTACATGAACTGCATCAATAAAAATTCTTCTATCATGATTTTTTTAAATTCAAAACCAAAATAATAATATGAAAAACAAAACAAATCAAATTATATATTAATTTATGTATGTCATTATGTTTGTTTCAAGGAGCAAGGAAAGAAAGACGTGGGATTAAAAACCAACCATGTTATTTGGCTCTCACTACCAATGAAGATAATGGTGGATTTTGAAAAATCCAGACCCTTAAATAATTACAATTTCAATACTCTAAATTAAAAGCGACATACATAAATTAAATGAGAAAAGAATACTTAACTTTTTTTCTTTTTTCTTTTTTTTTTCTTTTTTCTTTTTACAAATCGATCATACTTGCTTTAAAATCAGAACTAACTATCTTTCACCTATGAAAGCCATTTTCACGGTTTAATAATTAATTTTATTTTTTATACTTTATTTCGTATTTTTCACTTCTTATTATCTTGTATATCAAAAAAACAAATTCTTGCCCTCCCATTTTAATAAAGTGAAATTGGTGTTAGATGGGAGTAAATTATAAATTACTCCCTTTATTTTTTAGAAATAAATTAGTTAGTACACATTGTTTTAAAAATTTATTTAGTCTCTTGATTAGTATTATTCATATTTAATTTAATATTAATTTATTCCAAAACATGTTTTTTTCTTATCGATTTTTTTTACATTTTTTACTTGTTTTCTATTTAAAAAATCAAAATAAAAATTTATTTAGTCTCTTGACTAGTGTTATTCATATTTAATTTAATATTAATTTATTCCAAAACATGTGTTTTTTCTTATCAATTTTGTTATATTTTTTAGTTGTTTTCTATTTAAAAAATCAAAATAAGGTGAAAATAACGAAAAGGATTAAAATTAAATAATTATTTTTCTAATAAAACTAATTTATTTATTTATTTTTGAAACTAAGATAACTAATTTATAATTTACCCAGTTAAATGGATACAGGGAGGCAACTGAAAGATACAGTGAGACAACTCCGTTTCTTATTATTCCACCAAACGGACCTTCACAATGGAAAAAGACACCATTTTTGGTTATCATTCAACCAAACGGACCTCCACAATGGAAAAAGCCTTGCTAGGCCCCACCTCCACAGCTTCTAAAAATCTTAAAATTTGGGGCGTTCTTCTAACATGAGGGTCAATTTCTCAACAACGTTCTTCATCTCACGAGTCACGATAATTTGCATTATTTGTTGAGGAGTGGGTGACATTATCCTTTCGCGCATACTATTTTGTCATTGCAAAGTGCCAATCCATCGTCGACGTTTGTTGTGCAATTGAATACGGATGTATTAAGGGTAATTTTCGCTTTTAGTAATAAACTTGAGTAAATTGTAAATTAGTCCCTTTTATATTGAAAAATAAATTTAATTAATCCCTTTAATTATGTTATGATGTGATATATTTGCAGTTTATATATGTAATGCAACTCACACTAATTATTTGTCATTTAGAGAGAAAAAAACGATTTTTGCGTTTTGTTGAAGAATGCAAGTAACATATTTGATCTAGTCATGCAAACTAGTTGGATATCCGAACTATACTGTAAGTAGATAGCTGTTACATATATAGGGTTAATGATTCGTATGGTGTAATGCGAATAGAAAGTTTTATTTTTGATGATTGATATAAATCGAATTTATATATAGTTAATTTATAACAAAACTAGCGATATGTATAAATATATAACGGATTCGGAGAGTATATAGAATAAATAAAATTTTTTAAAAAAACACATAAATTATAGAAATATATTGAAGTCAACAGATTCAAATAAAAACTATAACAAAATTAGTTCGATAAATTCTAAACATATATATATATATATATAAGACAAATAAAACTTGTAGATTTTTTGAACTTGTTATTTTTTTATAAAAAAAATTGTTTTAGCTCTCTCTCTCTCTACACACACGCGTACACACACACATATAAGTAAAACAATCATTTAAAAATATAAAAATAATTTATTGTATAAATTATAATAATATATATTTAAAAAAATAAAACATTAACATTCTAAAATTTTATTCCAAAATTTATATATTAAAAAACCAAATTTATTAATGAATAAAATTATATTAAAAAATTAATTTAATGAGAATTTTAATAAGAAATAAATAAACGTTAGGCAATAGAGGCCCATTAGTCTATGATCAACCTATTTTTTTAGTTAAAATGACCTTTAAAGGAGAGGCGATATGCATCAGCTTCCTATTGGTTATAATTAATTTAAGAAAGAAAATTGATTACAAATTTAAAAAATAAAAAAAATAAAATTTTTTTTTGCCAACTTTTGATTTATTTATAGAGTAAATTATAAATTAGTTGCTTTAGTTTTGAAAAATGAAGCAACTAGTCTTGCTCGTTCTAAAAACTAATAATTTAGCCTTTATAGTCCTTTTTGTTATTTTTTATTTTAAGAAATAAAAAAAGAAAAATATGAAAATATTGATAAAAAAAAGATATTTTGTGAAATAAAAATAATATTAAATTAAACATGATCAATTACGGTCAAAAAATTAAATAATGGTTTTTGAAATGAAAGAGACTAATTAATTCATTTCTTAAAACTAAGAAACTAATTTATAATTTACTCTTTATTTATAGCTAGAATTTTTTTTCAAATTTATTATTTAAGTTGGCAATTTGATTTTAATTTATCTTAAAAGGACAAGAATAAAAAAAAATACAAGAATTGATTGGCTTTTTATTTATCAATTTACGCTGAATTTTTTTATGTAAATTGTTTTTTAAAAGTAAACTAGCATAATTACAAAATTGAAAAATAATATCTAGCAATGAGTAAACAAAATGTTGGAAAAATTAACATTCTTTATTTTTTAATCAATTGTTTTTCTAAAATTGGAACCAATAAAAAACTGACACATGTTTCTCCTCTCCTTTAAAAATAAAAATTAATAAAAAAAATAGATTGGCTATAGATGAATGGACTTCTGTCGTTTAACATATCAAACCATGGAGATCAAATTGTCTAGGTTGAAACCACGAAAATATATTTATTAAATAGATTTCTAGTGTCATTAAAGCTTTGTTTGTATTATCAAGAGCATTATAGATTATGTTTATAAATTTTGTATCATTGACTTCAAATTAATCATGGAGGTTTTATTGTGTTTAAATAGTGACTAGTTATTCGGATACGCATGTAATTTGAATTTTTTTAATTAAATAATTTATTTGAATTTAACATCTAAAGTTGAAAAATATTAACTATAATAAATATAAAAAGATCTCAACTTCATAAATTAAATGATATATATATTCTTATTCGTAAAATATAAGTTAAATGTCATGCATGTTGTAAAATTAAGTTAACGGATTGTACTAATTAAATATACAGCGAGTAAACGTATTTTTATATTCCTTTTATTCCATAACAAAAAGTTGTATGGACTGTTCACATAGATTAAAAAATACAGACTAAACATTGTTTGAACCCATATACTTTTTTATTGTGTTTACTGCATTATTATTTACAATTAAACGTAGTTGAATAAAAAATATGTAAATTTAACATTTAAAGTGGGATAAATTAGTAAAACCTGATACTCAATTTTTTTTATTTAAATAAAATAAGAATGATTCTCTCTATGGATTAGAAAGAGTATTAAGAAATCAAAGCAGCATGGTTACGAGCAATTATGCATCTCAAAGCATCATTATTGAACATCTTGCACTTTTTGCCGCAAATTAATTAATTCATTAGACTGGAGGGAGATTTTTTAAGATAGCATATAATTTTTTTTTTTTTAACTCGTTGCATTCAAATCTTTTAACAGAACTAGAACTATAATTTAAATTCTTGATCTCTTACAGACAAGTAGCCCCTCTTAATAAATAAGACAACATATAATATAAATTCACGTAAAGAAACGAGTGATAAATTAGATAATGACAACTTCTTATTGGCTCCACTCTTATTATTACAAATCCAGAAGCAATCAATGTAGATGCGTCTGCAAGACCAAAAGCAAAGACAGCTAATATAATACTAATACACCAATAAGGTTATAAATTAGTCTTTCTCGTTTAGAGAAACAAATTAATTGATTTTTTTAAATGTAATTATTAAGTCTTTTACATTTTAATTCTTTTAATAACTTAATTATTTCATTATATTTTTGTTGATTAGTGATTTTTATTCCTAAATTACTTTTAAAAAATTGTCAAGAAACAAGAAAAAAAATAGATGAAGACAATAAACAAGACATTAAAAAAGAACAATTTGAAAAAAAATCAGCAATTTAACAACACAATCGATGAAATAACTAAATTATTGAAGAAATTAAAATGTAAAAGACTAAATAATTAATTTTTAAATAAAAAAATTAATTTATTTATTTCTCAAAATAAGAAGGATTAATTTATAATTTTCTCCTCATATACCTTAAGTCCCTGACAGATCGGACATGTAGCGTTATAAGCCAAATACGACAAATAACTAAATATATTAACGGAGTAAATAAAACGACAACTCTCAAATTAATTCCGATCCATCTAACGAGAAAATTCTCTGGTAAAACGTAAATAAGTTCTCGCGAGGCTCGTGATCAAACGGCTAGATAAACTGGCTAGTATTTAAAAATCACTAAAAAAAGGATTTAAGAGGAAAAAAAACTACAAAAGAAAAAAGAAAGTGTCGAGGATCCGACAGCCTTTTTAAGCCTTTTTCTGTCTTTCTCTCAAACGGACAGTGGGAGGGAGGGGGAGAGAGCAAACGGACTTGACGATAAATGACGGATTCCAAAACAAGAGCGAGTTAAATTTAAGGAACATGTTGAGGTCCGGGTTTCGCTTTGCTACAATTTCCAACAAGACACATCGAATATAGGTGGGTTAGTCTTAGAGAAAGAGAGAGAGAGAGAGAGAGAGAGACAGAGAGGGAGGGAGGGAGTGAGGTTTTTAGAGAGAGAAAAGAAGAAAAACATAAAAATGGGAAGATCGACTTCCTGTTTCAAAATAATCACCTGCGGTGGCGATTCTGCTGACAGAGATGATCTTCAACTCCCCGAGGTATTTGATTGGTCAACAGTGATCACTTTCTTTGTCTTTTACTGTTTTGTTTCTATGCTCGGTTACTACTTCTTCTTTTTTTAATCCTTTTAAAATCTGGCATTTGTTGATTTTGTGAGTTTGAGTGGTATTTTTGAGCTAAATTCTTGGATTTGTAGTTATGAGATGGTTGTTACTGATTTCGTTCCTTTTCTTTTGGCGTCGAGAAATTGTTGGAATGCAAAGTAATTTGTGAATGTGTCAAAGATCCGTGAAACTCTGAATTTTCGTCTAATGAAGTTTGGTATGTAACGGTCTTAAAATCTGATTTACTATGTGGATTAAAATCATGGAACGTCTCAGAAATTTGTGGCCATTGTTTGTTTCTTAGTCACGAATATTAACGTTTCATATTTGATTCAGTTAAGGTTTATTCACGCTAATCTAATTTGAAACTAGTAAATGTAGTATGCTTTAATGGATCATAAAGCATTAACAGGCAGGATGGTGTTTCATTTTTACTGATTCAAGTTTGAAGTCGGATGGATACACGTAAGATCTATGGATATGATTGTCAGAATTCATGGATAATGTAAGGAAATTCTGTGGATCATGGCTGCAATTTGCAATTGGCAGTGTCAATCAAGCATTATATACTTGAAATGTCCATTTTATATGAATGTAGTAAAAGTTGGAGCAAAAGGAAGTCTGTGTTAATTTAGTCTCAGTTAGATGATATTATTCGAACTTCGTTTCAGAGCAAGGGTTCAAGTGACAAGCGTGGATGGAGTTTCCGGAAGAAATCTGCTCGTCATCGAGTTCTCAGCAACACTATCATTTCAGAAACCACCCCTTCTTCTGTGAATAAGGAGAGTCCAGAATCCACAAATTTAAATTTCCAACCACCAGAAATTCCTCCTGCTCCAGAGAAAATTGCTGTGATTCAATGCACCGATGAGAAACCACAGCTGTCTGAGAAACCACAGCTGTCGGAGGAACCACAGCTGTCTGAGAAACCACAGCTGTTGGAGGAACCACAGCTCTCGGAGGAAAAACAGTTGTCTGCTTCAACAGACCAGGAAGTACTTGAGACCTTTGTTGTCACTGAGAACGAGAATGAAGTTGATGACCATGTGGAAGAGTCTATTATTATTGTCATACAGGCTGCTGTCAGGGGTTTTTTGGTAATTTCTTCGATTAAGGAATGTTTGATTATGGAGCTTGCTTGCTGGTAATCATTCTAATTCATACTTCTTTCACAACTGTCTTCTAGGCTCAAAAAGAACTCCTCAAGCTTAAGAATGTTGTTAAGTTGCAAGCTACCGTACGTGGCCACCTTGTCCGGCAGCATGCCATTGGAACCCTACGTTGTGTTCAAGCCATTGTTAAAATGCAAGTTCTTGTCCGTGCACGTTTGTCACTCAAGGGCTCACATGAAGAAAAGGAGGTTGGTGGGAAGCATGACAAGCCTATATCCAAGACCTCGGTAATGCTACTCAACTCAAATAAGTATGTTTTAACCAAATGGCACTGCCTTCACAAAGGTTTCTGCTTAAGGGTTGTAGTTCATTAAACTTTCCATCGGTAATGCAAAACACATCTTCGGAATATAATAGAAAATTGTGATATTTGTAAAGGCAATTACAAAATAATTCTTAAACCACCTTAGGATGTTCGGGAACTTTTTCTTTTTCATTTTACTTGCATTATGCCTGCTATAAATATAGCTATCATAAAAGCCACATGTAGGAGAATTTTCTGCTCTCCTGTCGTTAAAGAAAGGTGACATATCTTCTAATGCTTTTGATTAAAAAAAAAATGTTTATACACTTCATGGACTGCAATTTCATTCCCTCATCATCAGACAGTCTGATACTATAATTCTTTTCTTTTTGCTTTCAGGAGAAGGAAACCTCAGTAATCCAACCAACTGCAACATACATTTCCATTGAGAAGCTTCTCAGAAATAATTTTGCTCGTCAGGTATGGAAAAATGGATGCCTTTTGCTTTGTATTTTGCAACTGTGTTTATGCTATCCAAATCACTTATCCAAACATGCCGACCTTTTTGCTTTGAATTAAAGCTAATGGAATCAACACCAAAGAGCAAGCCTATCCGCATCAAGTGTGATCCTTCTAAACCTAACTCTGCTTGGAACTGGTTTGAGAGGTGGATGTCTGTTTCATCAGCAGAACCAACACCCAGACCAGAGCTAATAACTGAACAAAAAGAAATAGAGAAAAGCGAGAATATTACATCTCCAGTGCAAAATAGAGTCCCACCTGAAGGATTCTGCAAGTCGGAAGATTCAAAGTCCAATATCAAGGAAATTGTTCTGCCATCTGAAAGCGAAGAGAATCTGATAAAATCTGATGTGTCTGACTTTCAGTTTCAGGTGTGCCATCCAAACTCCCCTTCAGCGGGAGATAATTTGGAGCAGCCTCAACCTGAGACGATTAGTAAATCTGATACAGAGGGAACCTTGATAACTATAAATTCTCTTCTGAATCAAACTTCGGAATCGGAGGTAACTTCCAAAATGGTGACTGATTCTCTTCCTCATAAGCAAGAGATAGAAGGTGAACAACCTGATCAACCCAAACGTTCTATGAAAAGGGGAGCATCTGAACAATTGGATACTGAAGAAAAGAAGTTTGTATATGGATCAAGGAAGGCAAGCAGTCCTGCATTCGTTGCTGCCCAGACAAGATTCGAGGGCCTGAGTTCAACGGCCAGTTTGAATAGATCATTCAGTTCTTCGCATCAAGATAGGGGAGTTGAATCAAACACGGAGATATCTGGGATGGATTCTGAATCAAGGACGAAGGACATTACAGAAAACTCAGTCTCCCATAGTTCAAGGGCCCAATATGGTGGCTCTGAATGTGGTACTGAACTTTCTGTTACTTCTACTCTTGATTCACCTGATGTATTTGAAGTTGGAGCTGCAGAATTCGAGCACGAAACCAAAGTTTCAGAGGAAGGAACTTCTAATCCTAACAGAACAAAAGACTTAGATGTTGAAGACAAGGATTCGTCTAAGGATCCAGTTTCAAATTTGTCTCACATGGTTCAGCCTGAGAAACTTGAGGATGTCAAAGGTGAATCAGCGAATACAATTGTTGTTGTAGATTCTGCACAGGAGGAGATGAATCCAGAGAGAAGTGTATCTGATGTCCAGAGAGAGCTGACCCCTGAGACTGGTGGTCTAGCATACAGATCATCACCAGAAGCTTCTCCCAGAAGCCATTTAACTGTTCCAGAGTCCCAAGGAACACCTTCAAGTCAGCTATCTGTGAAAGCTAAAAAGAGCAGAGCTGACAAAAGCAGTTCTAGCCAAAAACGTAAGTCTTCATTAGCAAGTAAGAGATCACCATCTAACCCAAATCATGATTCTGGAGCGAGAAGTAGTGTGGAACAACTGTTCAAAGATCAAAAGAATGGGAAGCGGCGCAATTCATTTGGTTCTCCAAAACCTGACAGCACTGATCAAGAGCGAAGAGATAGCAGCAGCAGCAGTTCTCTCCCGCATTTCATGCAAGCCACAGAATCAGCAAGAGCCAAAATCAATGCAAATAACTCACCAAGATCCAGTCCAGATGTGCAGGACAGAGATTTCATCAAGAAGAGACAGTCCTTACCTGGTGCAAATGAAAGGCAGGTTTCTCCACGCATCCAGCGGTCAACATCTCAAGCACAGCACGGTGCAAAGGGAAATGGTAAACATGTTCATGGTATTCTCGAACTTTCTTATACTCATTTATATTCTGTCTGGCGTTGTGTTTGAAAAGTTTTTCATCTTCATTTAGCAGTATTGCTCTTATTATGGATGTTATTTTTTGGTGTTTGCTTCTAGATATAGGATTTTAGAAGCTCCAACTGCATTTTTAAAAAGATTTGAAAGGATGTTGTTCAATTGCACTAATGATTATTGGAGGATCTTTGCTGTTATTAGCATAAATGGCTTAGAAACACTGCTTGAAAGTGAATTGATGCCTCTCGTCAGGATTCTGCATCTTTTCTGTAAACCTGAAGGACTCCTTTTGTAATGATGGAGAGAACTCACAAAATTTTAACCTAGGTCTCAACTGAAAGAAGTAAAGAATTTATTAAAAAACCATTTAGTACAGTGTAACGGTTGGTGACCATCATGCATCATGCATCATGAAACATAACAGTTTGTTTTCAGATGGTTCCTCTTTAGTGAAATTGGTCAATGCCACTTGAGCTAACCATCACGGCATTTGTTGATGCAATGCTAATGTGGTGGGGAATTTGTTAATCAGGGCATGCATTGGTCCTTACCTCAGGACAATCATCTTGAAACTGATTACTCCTGTGCCTAACGACTCATGTTCTGCTTGTTACAGAGAAAAAGTGGCAGAGATGAAAAAAATGCAAATGGTAATGTGCACAACACGGTGTTTTACCTGCCATGGAAAACCTAGAGTTGATAGTTGGTCCACAAGATGCATGCTATCGTCTCTTATACTTCAATTTTTCTGCACTTGGATGGCGCTTTAGTTACATGCACATTGCGAGTTTGGTAGGAGAGGAGATATACATAGAACCGAGTAAGAATTTCTTGTATATTACCGGACCCAAAAAAATTTATATTATTTTCTCAAACTCTCCACTGTGGAGGTGTATCGTGTGTTTTGTTCAACATTATTTTGTGTGATATTGTTGAGGCTTGTTAAAAATGTTGTGGGATGTGTATCTGGAGTCTGAGACATGAAGTGGGAGCTTTCCAATGTTTTTCAATAAATTCTTTATTGGCTAATTATGTGTTGATCAAAAACTGGTGTCCCCAACTAAAATTCTTCCAATTTGAATGTCATAATTATTTTTCTTTTAATTTTGCTTGACCCCTTTTATTTACATTCTGACGTGATATATTACTATTAGATTCTACGAATAAAATGGATACGTGATATTTGGATAAAATAATAATTAAAAAAAGTAATTGAAAAGACCAATACACCCAATTATTTCCAACCCCAGAATATATTGACAAAATACATCTATTTAGCCCTCGTAAACTCACTTAAAAAATCTGTCCTAGTGCCAAAATATTTGGCCCAAGAAAATATTGACAATTAAATCAAGCAAAAATTCCCAAGCTGCTATCACTTTGTTGATTGTACGGAAATACGATATGTTTCAAGAGCACACAAAAAAAATAGATGTATCGAATCTCATAGTAAATTGTTTTCATTTTAAATTAGTTTTTTCACTGGCGCTTTGCACATGTATCATTTTACTAATTTATCCTCTCTTCTTCTTCTTCTTCTTTTTTTTTTTTTTTAATTTCTAATAGATTGTTTAAAATCATTTATAAATAAAATATATTTAAATGTTTATTAAATTAACATTTTTTTTATTTTCAAATAATATTATATAAAATTTGATGATTAGGATTAAATTGTTTTTTAGTTTTTGAAACATATAAAAAATAATTTTCAACTGGGCATAAGTAAAAATATGGGACAAAAATTGAATTATCTTTCAAAAGTTAACAATTAATAGTTAAGATAAATATATAAACTCTTAAAAATAATAATTCTTAAAAATTTTCACCTAATTAACATTATATTATTATTTTTAATTTTTAACAATTCTTTTAAATTATATGTGATGTGAATATAACTTAACAATATAGACATAAATAAAACTTTTATGAATCATTTTCTTTCTTTTTTCAATATTAACAGAGTTTGTCCAAATGAGTAAAAAATAGCAAAAGAAAATAACAAAAAAATAGCCTATAAAAAAATAATTATTCAATTTAATAACTTGATGAATTTTAATGTTACTTAGTTATTTTCAGATTTTAATAGTTTATGCCTTCATTGACTTGTTTTTAAGCTTTTTTAGAATTTTGATAGTCAAAAGAATTAATAATTATTAGTTAGGATAAATATATATAACTGTTAAAAATAATGATTACTAAAATATTTTCAATTGGTGTCATATTTTTAAGAAACATTTTTATTTTCAATTATATATGTGACATGAATATAAATTAATAATAAATACATGAATAAAATTTTTATAAATTGTTTCTTTTAATAATCTTGCCTTTTTAATATTATCAATATTTGTGCAAGAAAGTAAAAAATAACATAAGTCAATAATAAAAAATAACACGTAAAAGATTAACTAAGGCGATTTGATGAATTTTGATATAATTTAATCATTTCTCATATTTATGTTTTTTCCGGCGATATTAATGTAATAGCATTCAATGTACATCATAGAATTCAAAAAACTTATAAGAGGTCTTCGGCGGCTCCTAACATGTCTTTAGCCTACCCAACCACTTGTTGCAGATAAACTTGCAGTGGATGATAGAGTCAAGTATGAAGGGAAGAAGGGTAGGCCGTCGGCGTATTAGGAGCAATGGGAGATCCCTTTTATAATGTTTTTGAATTCTACTCTCTAGTTTCTACGATGTATATTAAATTCATATTATAGTAATATCGCCGAATATAAAATGCCACACAGGACGTTATATTTGGCAATATTACTATAATATGCATTTTTAAGCCATCGATAATCCTACTAATATATCGTTGAATTCTCTTATGTAGGATTGAATTCTACTTTCTGTTTTTACAATATATATCTGATGTATATTATAGTAATATCGTCAAATACGACGTGATAAATATATATTGAATGCATATTATAATAATATTGTCAAATATAAAATGTCAGCGTTATATATTTGATAATATTACTATAATATGCATTTAATATACATTTACCACGTCATATATTATAATATTATTATAATATATATTCAATATGCATTGTAGAAATCAGAAAATAGAATTGAATGTCACACAAGAGAATTCAAATATATTATTATTACGACTACAATTGCTCAAAAATCTAAAAATAAAAACCTTATAAAAAGATCTCCTAACACATCCACGGCCTACCCCCTTCTTGAATCTTCATTTTTTTTATTTTTATTTTTTTTGAGTTACGATAACTTTAGGCCCAAACATACGAAACAAAGAAGGTGGGCAATAAAGAGCAATCGCAAAGTATGCTTTTCAAAAGAGTAGAATCAAAGATCCTATGCTAATGAAATTTTGTGTAAGTGGTATCCAAGAATTTGACTAGAAATTACATCAGTATGTTCTTTTCTCTCTCTTGTTTGGCTATGAATTGCTGAAGCTATACGTAATTAAAGATCATATTAGTAAAATTAACACTGAAAATCTTCCTTTTCAAGCAGAAATCAATAAAAAATAATTTGCATTGAACAACAAAAACTCGTAATACAGAGGATACCGTTCAAGTGAAATTGGAAATTAATGCCAAAACTTAAGAGACAAGCCAGCTTTATTACCACAAATATTCTGGAGATAAACCCTATCAACGCAGTAAACATATTTTGCTGCACGTGGCTCAATAACTATACAGAGACACATGGTTGCACAAAAGAACTTTGATAGTCATCAAGCAAGATGCTTGAAAGAATTAGTCCACAGGAACAGGCTGCATATTTTCAGCTTCATTCCTCAGCTCTTGAAACAGGATAGAAGACAAGTATCGCTCCCCAAAACTTGGATGAATAGTCTGAAAGTCAACCAGTAACAATCTTAAGGAGCATTCATACTAAAATTAATTTATCTTAACAATCAAATATGTAGGCAAACGACTTCAGGACTAGAAATGTCATTATCAATAGCACGCCTCCATCACAAGAACTGTAAATTATTGTTGAAAAGTTAAGTTCTGTGTTTTTGAGAATTGGAATAGAAGTTGTTCTTACCACAATAAGTTTGCCTTTGTTCTCTGGCATTCTAGCAAGTCTAAGTGCAGCGACTGTGTTGGCTCCGGATGATATTCCCACCTACAACCAAGAGTGTTAAAATAAAATTTAAACATGAACCAGAACCTGCCATTTCTCATTTCCTGATAGCAGATCCAAGTCTTGAAAACTAGAAATCCAAGAACTCAAAAATTACAGCCAGAGAATTATACATTGTGTATACCATCTAAAGAGGCTGACAAAGACAGAAAATCAACGTAAGTGTCAGCAATAACAGACTTTGTTAAGAGTTATTACCATAAGACCTTCCTCCAATGCCAACCTCCTAGCCATATTTATAGCATCTTCGCTACTAACCTGCCATTTAAGTGCTTCACTATCAGTTTGGCATATCAGTTTGACATTGAAAATGCCTGTCTTTTAATTACATTTACCCTCTGTCCTTTCTTACAATTCAGATGTACTTACCTCCAGGACTTCTTCCATTACATCCATGTCCAATATATCTGGTTTGAATCCAACCCCATTGCCAGTAATTTGATGAGGACCTATTTCAATTGACATGATAGTAGAGTCTCAATTTCTCTGGGCATAGCAAGAAATTTAGTATAGGCTTGACCCAAGTTTTCAAAATTACAAAGAACGAAACCATGGCCTCCATTATATAAGTTAGTTTCCTTCCCACCTCTAAATGTTATTATAAATTCTGCTTAAAAATAACGAAACAACATTCTACTTTTGAAAAGAGAGGAAATTCTAGCCTTTTCTTTTTGTTCTTTTTCTTCCCTTAAAAAGAAAAGAAAGAAATGGAGCAAAACGAGACTCTTACCTGGTTTGCCACCATTCAGTACATTACTCTCAGCAGGCTCCACTCCATAAATCTACAATCATATAAAAAAGAAGATAAAATATTATAGGAGAAATAAAGTTGATATCTATTAGAATTTAAAATTATGTACCTTAACATTGGGATTTTGGGATTTGAGGTACTGCCCGACGCCAGAGACAGTCCCTCCACTGCCTATTCCCATTACAAAAATGTCAACTTTTCCAAGTGTATCCTCCCATATTTCAGGTCCCGTAGTTTCAAAATGGATCTGTTTTTGCATTTAAAATCCAGAAAATAATCATAAAGTAAGAGAGTAGAAATCCCCCAGACATCAATATATTAATAACTCAAGCAAACTGCTCTTGATAAACCATTTAAGCTATGCACTGTCATTGCTATTGTGAGATTAACTACCCGAGTATTGGCAGGATTTGAGAACTGTTGAAGCATGAAAGCATCTGGTGTGGATTCCAAAAGTTCATAAGCCTTCTTAATTGTTCCTCCCATTCCCTTAGTGGGGTCAGTCAAGATTAGCTCAGCTCCAAATGCTCTCATAGTCACCCTTCTCTCCAAACTAGTATAAGAAGGCATGGTTAGGATCATCTTATATCCTTTCATGGCTGCTATAAATGCCATGCTGATTCCCATATTACCAGATGTCGGCTCTATCAAAGTCGTCTAGTATAAACATTTATACACAAGTCAGAGAAATTCAAAAAGTTCAAACATCTGATGGAACCAGTGATATCTAAAAACTCTCGAGCTATCTATGACTATGAGCTAACCTTCCCAGGGATAATCAAGTTCTTCTTTTCTGCATCTTCTATCATTGCCAAAGCCGGTCTGTAACATAAACACGATGATTCTTATTTGATCTTAAGGTTTATGATAACATATGAAAATTGTTTATGTGATACCTGTCTTTGATGCTAGAAGTTGGCTGAAACATCTCTTGCTTGACAGCTATATAAGCTTCACATCCTTCAGTCACTTTGTTCAGATACACGAGGGGAGTTTTTCCAATGAGCTGAATATTTTGCGTTAGGAAAAACAAAAAGTGTTAGTTTGGCCACCAAAATTTGGTCCTAGATTAGAAATCTATGACACTGAAAATTCACTCTCCTTTTCTTATGAACAACTAGGATATTCATAAGAAAAAAATACCATTATACTTGAACAGAATGGTACATAGCAAAGCAGAAAGCTATCGTGATTAATGCAACAAGAATTAAGCAATGAAAGTTTTTTTAGTTAAAATTAATGATCAAGATATATGGAGAGAGTTCGACGTACTTGAGAAACTTGTGTCTTGATTTTAGTGCCAGAAAGATCTTTAGGCAGATCTCTAGGTCTTGGAGCAGAAGAAGGAGAAGCAGCAGGAGCAGCCATTAATGACGGTGTTAAACAGAGTAGACACTGACTAAAAACAACGTATCCAGAAGTTTACAAAAGCATAACCACTTAGTGCAGATGCTTGTAATGGATAATAGACTGAAGTATAAAAGGCTGGGTATTAGGAGCCGTAAGAGACCCCTTTTTATTAGGTTTTTGAATTCTACTCCCTCGTTTTTAAGATGTAATAAAGCCGAATATGGAATGCCATTTCTTATTTTGCATTCATATACCTTTATCCATTCATCATGTATCTTCAGGCATTCATGCACCTTATTTATATATATATATTTTAAATTATTCATGCAGTGGTCAAATCATTCATGTATTTTAAGTTATTTTTGCATTTTCAACCGTTCATAGCCATTCATGCACCTTCTAAAAGTAGAAAGAAAAAAATAATCAAATAATATATAGATTTACTTGTTAGATAATTGTGTCTCTCAGACTATATTATAATTTTTTAATAAGATTTTTATCAAGTCGCAGCTTACAAATAAAAATGATATTGTCTTTATTTATATTGTGGATAACTAGAGTTATAATAAAAAGACTTAACTAATTTATACACTTGATCCAATATTATATAGATTCCATAAGAACGCTTTCCTGTTGATCTCCGTTTGCTTACGAACTAGTAAGATCATTGTGTTTATATCGTCTTAATCTGCAGATTTCATTTACATTAGTCTTTATAACTTAATATTAAGTTTGTGCCAGCTTACTATAAACTCCGCTCTTGACCTCTAGACATGTATTCTAATAATAATTTAATCTAAAAAATAATAAATTTAATCTCAATCGATTCGAAAACTAATCCTCATATATCTTATTTTATATATGTATATATATATATATTAGAAGAAAAGAAAAGAAAGATATCTTATTTTATATATGTATATATATATTAGAAGAAAAGAAAAGAAAAGGTTGGTATTGTTTTGTGGTATTGGGCTCAGATCTAGATGTGAAGAAGAAGGGAAGTGTAACTTTATATCTTATACGTCATTTAGATAACACAAACAAATTTGCGAAACAAAAAGTGAACATTCACTCTGTAACTTGCAATATGCATTAAATACTACATTGTTCGATCCCCAATTGTCCAAATTTCCCAGCATCTAACATATCAGTAGAAAATAATTGCTACACTTAATTGAAAGCGTGCCCAAATATTATTCGATATGGTAAAAAAAACAAATATTTTATTGCTAAATAATCTAGAAACATCCATATTTCCATAATTCCCACCGGAATACTTCCAAATGCAGGACACCAAAATACTTGTTCGACCTAATGGTCTTGAGCTGATTAAAAATGTGGAACTGCAAACCTATAGGGGCTGAATGATTCAGACATTCAGTGCATGTGGCCAGGCGGCGTCAAGGGTCCCAATAAGAAAGTAGAAGATTGAGAGATTGCCTTGGAATTTGCTTTCCATTTTTGGTGCTCTGTAGTCTGCTGTGAAATTAAATATACTAAAGTATCAGAGAATGAACTGTTATATGATATTACAGGTCACTTGATTTTTTGATGATTTATTATTATGTTGTTTGAATTAAAATTACTATGTAGACATAATTTAAATTAAATATTTTAAAAAATAAATTGAATTTTTTAAAATGATTTTTTTATTTGAAAAACAGACAAATGTAATAAGCAATATTAGTTATAAAAAAAACAAGACTAAAAATATTACAAAGTTTTTTTTAAATAAAAAATTTAAATAAAAAACATAATTTTTTGTCTATGTATATTAAAAAAATCAAAATAGAAAAAGAAATCAAAATATCAAATAGTTCCTGCAGCAGCTAAAACATTAAATAGTTCCAATTAGTCACTTTCCCACGCTATGCAGCAAAATCGATTAAAAAAATCATTTTAAAATTTTAAAATTTTTTAATTATAATTTTTTATTCACTTAATTTTTTTAATAAATTTTTTGCTTAAAAAAATATAAATCATTCTTCTTTATAAATTTATTTTAAAATAAAAAATATAATAATTTTAACTAAAATATTAATCAAGAATAAAAAAAATTTTAAAATATAATTTTCATAATGTTATATTTCAAAAAATAAAGTTATAATTAATAGATAAACTTTTACAAAAATTAACAAATGAGAAAAAAATCTTATTTAATGTTGATGAGAAAATTAATTTTTAAAATTATTTATGCAACGCTATGGGTAGATAGAACACCTAATTAAATAAAAAAACATAAATTTATGAAAATTATAAAACGAACACCTAAGTAAAAAAAAAAAAGAAGAAGAATATATCATATAAATATAAAAAATATCGTATATATTATATAATAGTTAGTTTATGTTAAAAAAAATTAACGATTGATTTTTCAAATTTTTAACACCTCATTAAATTAAAAAAAAAGTTGATGAAAAAAAGCAAAATTGATTTTTTTAAAATAACATAAATTGATGAAAAAAAGCAAAAGAAAAGAATCATGTATAGTGCATCAGTTAGGGAATTGAAGTTTTTATTTTAAAAGTTTAGAGATCAAAATAAAATAAATCTAAAAATTTAAAAAAATTACATAAAAAAGAACCTAAATTGATGTAAAAAAAAAAAAAAAAAGCAAATGGGGAAAAAACATGTATAGTGAAAGTAAACTAAAAAAAAACACTTATTACAGGAATAGTGAAACCAAAGCACTTGAAAAAAATGCTTGTAAAAAGTTGAAAAAAGGCTGGCAGAGGGGAAAAAAATTGAAAGCTATTTGTAAAAAATTTTGCTTGTAAAGTGTCTTAGAGTTAATAATAATAATAATAAAAAAAAAAGAGGCCAGCTGGATAATACTGTTTATTGAACAGGGAAAAACAGTAACAATAAACAATAAAACATCTTTGTGTTTTAGAGTATTTATAATTAGCAAGCAGCCTCAAATCACAGCTCTAGTCCATGAATTCTTGCAGCTCCAAATCTGCAGCTTCACTTCCATCAAACCATGCAAATACAGTCTTTCTTCATTGTCTTCTTTCTCTTCTCTCTCTTGTATTTCTGCATCTGGGTTCGGATTTATGGATCCATCTCTGCTGCATTTGGCGACAATGCCTTCTTCTGCGCCATGGACGCAAGTGCAAGGAAAAAAAATTAATTTGTTTCGATTGGATGTCTTATCTTTATTTTTGTTTTAATCAATCCCATATCTTTTACTTTTATTACAATTAGTCCTTACAGCTTTTATTTTTGTTCTAATTTTCCTCCTCCATCCATTCTTGTCAGGTGTGTAAATTTTCATGTCATCCTTAAAATTTATAAAATATCCCATTATCATCCAAAAAATTAAAATAAAAACAAATTTTATAATTAACAAAAAATAAAAAATCAATAAAAATATTTTTATTAAAAAAAGGATAAAATTCTAGAGATAACTATCCTACAAACGTCAACTCTAACTTAGCAACATCATTTTTTTTAATACGAAAGTTAAATGAAAATTAATATTCAAAATAATTTAATTCTCTCTTAAACCTTCACTTTTCTGATTCCTCTCAATTATCATGTCAATTTTTTTTTTTTTTTTCATGTTGATATCAAATACCACCTTTGATATATCCAAATATTCACATTCTACGTGATGTCAAAATTTACCTCCATTCAAGGCACCATTTCATTCACATGGGATAAAAATTAATTTTCTTCATAATTTTTATTCGACATTTTAATGAGAAATTAAATATAAAAGACACAGACTACTAAATAGTTATAATGTATGAAAGACAGCAACAGTAATAATTGATACCTATTATAAAATACATATATCATATTTATTTTATTTTATTTTATTGCAAAAAAAAACTACTAAATAGTATTGGAAAAAAATTTAATTTATTGAAAAAATGTATTCATTTAATGAAGTTTTAAATTGTATTTTTTTATTCTTACGTTTTGGATGATATTAAAATATTTTAAAAAATTTAGAGACGAAATTAAAATTTACAGGTAATGAAATAAAAATAAAAACTACAGAATCTAATTGAACAATAATTTTTCAGATAAAATAAGAAAATAAAAATCTCGTGAGAACAAATTAAAATTTACCCTTTTTAATTTTGGAAAACTCATCATGTGGTAATATAATGTTGTTGTGAACTCCACCGCTGTAAATTACAAGAGCGAGAATAATTGCTAAATTTTCCGAACAATTTCCACCGATCATATGACTTTAACAATGACAACCATCCGACTAATTGGCCTCACGTGAGACCCCTTTTTTAGACGTACCGTCGGTTGGTCCACACTATCTGCTGTATTTGAAGAATTTTCGGTGAATTTAGCATTATTATAAAAAGAAGGAATCATATTATATTTTTTATATAAAAAAAATCACCTCATTTGACGGTTCTGCACGAACAGAAGGCCCTGATCTTTCGTGTACGTCTAGGCTTTAACCCGGCCCACTGAGAATGCTAAACCATAAAATCGTACGTGGCAAAGTGACTGACGGACGAACCTTTCATCAGCCAAGTGTCCTTTCATCGTCCTACTCAAAAAGAAAAAGAAAAAGGAAAAATAAAAATAAAAACTGTGGTCAGAAAATCTTTAACCCTTTGAAAAAAATGAGGCAAAACAAACTCCAATCGCGTTTAACGTACGTGGCAATCACCTCCACCAGTCAGGTTTGTGTTGACCAATCTGTCCCGGTTAAGTTATATTTTTACCCTTACAGATTCACCAACGGTTCATTTATACCCTCGTAGTTGGTAAATTTCTAACATCACTCTTATGGTTTTTTAGAAGTTTCAATTTATCGTTTATTGTTGAATAAATAGCAAAAAAACTCTTATACATACGTACATGTTTAACAACAACAATGATTCAGGTTGTACTAAAAAACCAATAAAGTATAAAAAGTCCAAAAATCATAACCTAATAACTCTAATATTATAAATAATTTATCATAACGTATGTCATTGTTATCATCATTGTACCAGTCAAACTCATTTTTTATAAAAAAAATTATTTTCGTCACTTATATAGGTAAAAATATATTTTATTTTAACACACTTAATCCATTAATGTTTTAAAAATTGCTTTTGTTTTTCCTTTCTATTTGTCATAAAATTGCTATCATGATAAGTTTTTTCCTATTATCTTGTCCAAAGGTTTGAAATTATGGTTCCGTTTAAATTTTTTCTATTTTACTAATATATTTAGGTTTAAATTAGATGATTTTTATGTTTTACTTCCTCGTTTGTTTTCTTTATTCGTAAAAAAAAAGGATAAAGATTCCAAAAACAACTAAGTCATTACAAATTTTAAAAAATAGAGGTTAAATGATAACTTTTATAACCACAAGGGCTAATTAATTAATTTTATTAAACTATAGGAATTAAGTTATAATTAATTCCTGCAAAAATGAAGTTCCCCACAAAAAAGAAAAAAACACTCACGCGCTAAAACTGAACGTGCGTAACTTCTGTAGGCCAGTGCATACTATAGATACAACAGGAGAGAAAAAAATAGATAACGGCATAGAAACGGCAAAGCAAAAGAAAGAAAAAAACCAGAGGATCTAGGGTTCCTTGGATCTCTCTGCACTCTCTTCTTCGATCGCTTATAATCGTGGACTGGGGAAGTAATTGATGAGAAGAGATATTGATGCAGTTGCAAATCTAGTTTTTTAGAGTTTCAAACTCGGGAGTGGAGTTTATACTCTAATCGAAAATTAATTTTATTGTGAGGGAAATTGGAAATTGAAAGAATCGAAGATTTTTTTGTTGATTTGTAAATATGCGAGGATTGAAGAAATCAAAAAGAGTTTGTTGGGCATCAGATGTTAATCTTTGTCAGGTAAAAATTGCAAATTTTCGAAGAAGTTTATCGATTTTAAACAGAAAGATGTACTTTCTCGAATTCATTGACTAAACAAGCAAATTAGAATAATGATAAATTCGAATGTCATGCAGATTGAAGAATAATCTCTGCTATTTTACAGGAAAGAAATGTGATTGTGGTTTGCTCATTTGCTTGGGTTCTGTGTTGTTTGTGCTTATCTCACTTACTCTGATAGTGTGGAATCCGGTTCTATAATGGACTTTCTGATTGTTGCATTGCATTTCTGTGTTTTAGGAGGCAAATACTTAAATGCGAATTGCATTACATGGAATTTGAAATCAGAAGCTTGTTGTGTTAAGAAAACCACGACTGAAAATTTAGAATAATAATAGATTAGTTTTTTTATTTTTATTTGTGGTGGCGTGATTTTTTTTTTTTTTTCCGGTTTGAATTGTTTATTCAGTTACAGTCGAGTAAGCAGATTTATGAAAGCTGCTTTAAGTATGAGACTGAGATTTATGAAATTTCAGCGTTGATTTTTTAAGATTGTTTTTTCCTTCATTTCAGGTTCACATATATTAAAAATAAATAAATAAAAATAAAGCAGTATTAGAAGGTAAATGCCTCAATATTTTAGTAAATTCAAAGATGTAATGAAGACAATTGGATGACTATAACAATAAAATAAGAATTACATGTGTTTGCGAGGCCTGGGCAGCAGCAGCAGCTAAGTATGGTCGAGTAGTGAGAATGTGTAAGAGGGGCATATGATGTGGAATCACACACTGTCTAAAATATGCTTTCTTGTAAGATCAAACTGTCAAAGTTTTGGCAAATTCCATGATTAGCCAGGTCTTTTTATGTTTTGTTTTTTAATAATTTGAACATATGAATTTGTATGTGAAAGTTGCGAAGTACATGCCTCATAGGCAAGGTACAGTCGATAATCCAGCATGCAGGTTCAATTGAAAAGTAACTATGTCGGCAGTTGGAATTATAAAATTATATCATTGCCTTCTAAGTCTCATATGACTTCGCACGCAGTGTATGTTAACCTTAACATGGTGGAAAATGTGTTATGTTTTGATTCAAGAATTATGTTGTCACTGCTGAGTAAAGAATTCTTATGTTTTGAGTTATTAAATGTTTTATCGCCAGTTTTGTTTTCTCCTTTATTTCATTGGGCTTTAATTTGGGCAAAATAGTTGCCTACAAACTCTTTTCTGTATATGTGAATGTATGAATTGTTGACCTAGTTGTTTTTTTTTGGTAAAATCTACTTACACATCAAGTGCTCCTGGCTGCATCATTTAAAAGTGATTATAAATTATGCATCGGTGGTAACATTTTTGTGATGAGATTACTGATAAAAGAGATCTCGTCATGAGGAAGAGTATATGTGCATGCATGTGTTTATGGGTGTGGGATGATGGAGATTGAAGGGTTTAGCATTTCTCTGGAACTTATGCTGAAAGTGTGGTTATGTCTATGCTACAGTCGTATAGTAAGGTGCAACTTAGCAATGTTTTACTTAATTGGTTCCTTCTAAATTTTACTTTTTCATTTTTCTTTCATCTGGAAAGGGGACTAACTCCAAGATTAGTGCTGCCTTTTAAGGAGGCAATTACAGCATCCTGATTGATGAGTTCCACAGACCAACTGGTGAGTCATGCAAGAGAATCAGACTGAATCAGGGAACTGTGTCCTTGGGTGACAGCCAATAACATGAACATTGTGTTCCTAGAGATTGTGGCACATTATGCACCTCTAATCTCTGACATGATTTAAGTTTTCAACAGAGTTTAGTACACAGCATCTTTAGAGATTAGATCTATTTCCATAATTTGAGTGATCCCTGATTGCTGATCCAGGAAGCAGCCTTTTCTATTCTCACAGGGTCGAAAGCTCAAACGCAAATGTTGGCAAAGTATGTTCTGCCTGGTGTTTCATTGTTGCTCCTCCTGGCTCCTCCTTTACTCCTCTGCTTTGATGCTGCCCTTTTGTCCCTTTTTCTTTTTCCAAATCATTACTTCTTCGGAAAAGAATCAATCAACTGAGCATTGTATCCTATGATTGGACATAAAAATATGAACTGATGGCAGCCTGGATTTGGATCCTCTGCGTACCATGTTCTGAAGTAATCAAAATGGGTTCAGTAACATTGATTCTTCTCCAAAACTGCTAAGAGACAGAAAATATTGAACCAACAATTTTTTTAGTGTTTGACCTTGAATTTATTGCTTGGAGCACTACCTGCCAGGGACTCAAGCTGATTTCAGAAATGTTCGCATACAGAGCCGTTTGAAGTATATGTATCCTCTTATACATAGCCAGCCATTGTGGTTGCAGCTCCCAATTTAAAGTTTAAACTTGTCTACCTAATTTTCCAGGTGTCTATTATTCTCGTCTCTTGCTGCTGACTGCTGAGTCATTGGCTGCTTATATGATTCACTCATGTTTTATAGCCTTCATACAAACCGACCATTTGTTTGGTTGTTAGTATGGTCTAGCATCTTGCATTCATCTCTAATGGTGGTTTAAAATAGTCATCTTCATTATCAGTTTACCGATTAACTAAGTCATTGGCTGCATATATGACGTGCACGAAGGAATTACATGGATGCATGATGTTGTTTTTTCAACCGGAGAAGATCTGAATTTTCTGTATAAACTAACACTTGAATTGTCATTTTTGTGTGAGTTCCCTTTGTTTCAATTGCTCCATGCATAAAAAGGATTCAGAAAGTAAATTCTTTCACTAAAGAAGATCCGAGTTTTGAATAAAGTAATACTTCCATTGTCATTTCTGTGTAAGGGCTCAGAAATTTAACTCCTGCTTCTCCCTTTACCAGGCAAGGCTGTTCCTATCGGAGGAATCTCCTTCACAAGTCGGGTCGGGTGCTCAAGATCACCTCCAAGCAAAGTCATCATGGCCATCTCATTCAACCGGAAATGATGACTTTCTGCCCCTGGCTTTGAAGGAAGCCATCCTGCTAGCCAATTGCAGATTAAGGTGCCAGAAATCCCTGTGATAAAATGGAGATGTCCACCCAGGGTAAGTACGGTTTTATTAGTCTTTCATTGCCCATCCATTTGGCTTTTAATATCTACCATGGCACTGAAAGTTTTGAACTATCACAGCTTATCTTGAACTTGACTTGGCAAGTGGTTTCTGGGGAGGAAAGCAAAGAGATGGAGGTTCAAAATCAGAGAGAAATGAGAGTGCTTGAAGCAGTTTATCCTCGACCGTCTGCCATTCCTCCAAAGTTTGTCACTTTTCACCTTGCCCCTCTCTCTCTCTTTTTGAGTTCTACTTCTTGAAAGGAAAAGTTGTCTATATGCAGCCCCGCGTTTACTGTGGACTCGGAAAGCTCTCAGTGTAATGATCATCAAATTCCCCTGATTCCTATTACCCCCATTGAAGATGAAGATGCAGCAGATGCACCATCTGATCTAATGGGACCATCAATGGTTCCGATGAGTCCACAAGCCCAACTATTAGCGTCTTGTGTTCCATCCTCCCAAAGCAGCATTCCCAGCATTCCAACTGAGAAACCCAAAATTGATCTCCCTGGTGTTGAACCTGAAGTAGCGGCTGCTGCATCTGCTGCTTTTGCTGCTGTCAATAAAAGCAACGAGCAGGGAAGTTTGATAGACCATGACCTGCTCATTAAAATTCTCAGCAACCCAAAATTGATTGAGAAGTTGGTCACTGATTATGGAGCTGTGGCCAATGCACAGAACATTCCTAAGCCCCCTTTGTCGGATCCTCAACCTCCTCATGCAACTTTGCCCAATCCAGCTCATGTTCAAATGACTAGAACAGAATCCAGTACACAAGCATCATTAACTGCGACTCCAAGTGGATCATTCTATGCACAGCCAAATGGGGCAGGAATGGGGGTTCTTCCTAGTGCACGGATTCCTCCAGCAGCAGTTCCATCCGCAACTATTGGAGGGACACAAGCGAAGGACATAAACTATTATAAGAACTTGATTCAGCAGCATGGAGGTGATAGGCAAGAAACACCCCAGCAGTTTGGTAGCCGTTACAATCACCATGTAGGAACAAACCAAGATTTAGTTAATTCTAAGTCAAGGGAATCGAAACACAAGATTATGAAGCCTTGTATTTACTTTAATACTTCAAGAGGATGCCGGAATGGAGCCAATTGTGCTTACCAACATGATACATCGACCCAGCAAAAAGGCAGTAGCATAGCGGAGGTGCAGAGCGCAAAGAGAATGAAAATGGATAGGGAGATCAGTAGCTAGCGTAATATTTTATCTAGCTTTCTTTCGGGGAAAAAAAATTGCTTAGCTTGTTGCTGCTGTACTTTTTATTTCATTTTTGGGTTGATCTTGCAGCGAAGAGTTCCTCTCTGGCGTGGAACATTACAATTAAATTATGAGCAGAAACCATCATATTCTGAAGTTGCGGATTTTCTTCCATCTATCATGAGTGGCTATTTTTTGAGCTATTGATGTACAAGCCTTTTAAATGGCACGTGTTTGTGTAGAACCCTGCAACAAGCACCTCATGTCAACTTAACCACAAGAGGTTGCTTAGTTGTCAACCTATCGTCTCATCTTCGTGATGAGATCTTAGGTTTCGCATTTTTCAATGTCTATTTGTGTCCACCACAAGTTCAAGGATCTACTTTCCTGGTAGGGAGGGTGGAGGGTTATGCATCTGGAAAAAAAAAAATGGTAGTGAGAGATTCGAATTAAGATTTTCAAGGGGTGAAAATATTTTTATACCCCCATCCTCCTTATCAAAATCTAGTTCTCTTTCATCAAAATGCGATGTAAATATGGACTTATGCAAGAGTGAAAAGGCGTTTATTTTATTTGAATTTGATTTTTAATTCAAAACTAGATTTCCTTTCCTTTATATTTTTCTAATAAATCAGATAATTAATACCTAATGAAATGAAATAAAATAACCTTCTTCGATTTGTTTTTCCAATAAAGATTGATGGAATTAGAAAAACATTAATTTTTCAAATGGTTGAATTTTAATTTGAAAATGTACAGAAAGAAATATTTGGGTGTGTGAAGTCTGTTACTGGATTTAAGAACCATCCTTTATTTTAATCTGATTGGTTTGACCCAAAAAAAATATTCAATTTCAATTTTCACTGTCCGCAGATTTTGTATCAATCTATCATTTTTGGGAATCCAAGTTCAATGTCACTAATAACTATTAGTGACATTGAACGTGGATTCCCAAAAATGATAGATTGATACAAAATCTAACTCAAAAATACATCATTATCTGTATATAAATAAATAAGATCGATACCTTTTTTCTGCGAAGGTTAGCATATTAGCACATGCTCATAGACCTCAAGTGCAAAAATCTAATTAAAGCCCAGATGGAAATAGGCTAGAAGAAAGTAAATGAAAGTTTCGCGTGCAGAAAAACAACCGGTAATCAGATATTACTCCATTATTAACAATTCGTACAACATTCTACTATCATGACATTTTATACATCCTCGTACAAGAAATGTGAAGTGGACCGGTTCCAAATTTAACTTTTCATAGGATTGCAACAACCTCAACACCCATCAAAACAGTATGTACAATTTAATCAGCGGTCTTCCCTTTCAACTCTGTTGGGGTCACCCACCATATCCATCATCATCTTCTCAGGTGAATCCTCCCAGCTTGCAAAAGTTTTCAAGTCAACCTGCCAAAAGCACAAGATATACGGTTTTTCATATTTAGATTCAAGTCTTGATGTGAACGTCAAAAGGTGATCTCTGTATGGCAGGTTACCTTGCGTCTTTGATCTGTGAAAAGTTCCTCTCTCTTCTTATATGAAAGTTGAATTTCCCTTGCTTTCCTCCCACCTAAACCCCAAGCTTCAATCTCTAATATCAAACCTTCAACTGGTAGAAACCCCTTCAATGCAGATTTATAAATTAGAAACAAAGTTGTTCATCTTTCAAAGTGTTTATACACCAGCATGGATCTTCTAATGTTCATATAATGCAGAGGCGCAAAATATATACTATTGCTACTGCCCATTCAATCCGTAAATTATCTAACAAGCAATCTCATCATATTGAGACAACAACATCTCCACAAAGATGACAAAGGAACAAGATTAGAGGTTGCCTTCAGTGAGAAACAAATTTCAGAAAGTCCATGGTGAAAAACACAAGTCTTTAGATGAAGGTAAACAAAATTATTCATAAATAATACTTAATTATGCATGCACCCAGATAAAGAAAGTTAATTTAAAACAGAAAATTAAAAAGAAGCAAATGAGTAGAAACCATAAATGTGCACAAACTAGGACAATGACACATTAGTACCTGACTAGGGAAAAGGGATCCGTGTAGGTACGTTTTGTCAACTGCATGATGGCGAAGTGTGACTTTGGCAAAGTCTTCATCTATAAAAACTCTCTCATTTCCAGCGGTTCCTCCAAATGCAATGCCCACGGGCTTCGGATGTGGCTCATAAACTCTACCAGTAGGATGCAAGTGGCTGTAAACAAAGTTTTTCTCCTTCCCTGTCAATGGTTTCGCAATTGGTCATAGAGGCCTCATAATGGAAGCATTTTTCACGAATTTCAATTTGGCTCATCAACTTTCATAAAAGAAACAAGAAAAGACACAATCTGTGACTCTCTCTCTCTCTCCCTCAATCATTTGAATCACATACCAGAAGGTGAGAACACGTGGAAGACAGGACTTATAGCAAATAGCGTTCCAGAGGTTCCATAGAACACATCCCTATTTTCAAAACCCTGGTGGGTGAGTGCACCTATGATCCATTTCCTACTATTGGTGCTATCCTCATTTGCATCTCCAGAAGTAGCAGAAATCAAAATCAGCAATGGACCAAGATAACCTTCGATGTTAGACCAAAATCTGCTCAAGCCCCTCCCATGGAGAGAAGACCTGATAAGAAATGTTTGGTAAAATTTGATGCAGTAGAAAGCAAACACATAACTAAAACGGACACAAGAAACCCTGAAGGAGAGAAGAGAAAGAGAAAGGGGGGGGGGGGGGGGGGGTGGGGGTTGGGGGAGGTGGTTTGGGGGCAGCAACTGAATCATTATCAGCAATTTTATAGGTCACTGAATTTATTTAGGGCATCAGCAGGGTCAAGTAGCATAATGTACAAGTAAATGTGTCTAGAAAGGACCAAAAGGGAAGATGACAAACCGATAAAGAAGATTTTCATCTGTAGCATTACTGTCACTAGGAAAGTATGGATTCAAAATTTCTTTACTTATTGTACTCCTGATTGCAAGGGAAATTGCCCATGCTCTTCCGCCAGTTAACAGACAAGAGTTACATGCCTTTCCTGGAGAGATTTCTCTTAACGATGAACTTGAAGATTCCAGCGCATCTTGCTGTTGATGAAGAAAAATCATATAACATACAAACTCTTATGACTGGTCACAAATTCTTCAAAGTCAAATGGGATAGAGGTAGTAAACGGCAAAAGAAAGATCATAGTTGCTTGTTTGTAATCAAAGCAGAAAAAATCCTAAGTGGATGGCTCACCCTAATCTTTAACTGACATCAAAGCACAAAATTTTGTGATTTTGTTCGAATTACATACCTCTGAACTAGCGCAGTTTTGCAGTCTTGCATTGACAAATTGTGTAAAACACTCCGCAAGGTTTGTCACTGTTGTCATCATCCATGTAAGAAACTCTCCTGCAGGAAGTTGAATATCTAAACCCAAGATATCACAATCCCACAATTCCAATCCCCTACCACCTTCAGCACATGAAGAAACTGCTGATAACACCAAAGGACTTATATCCGGAAGATACAGATACTCTTTCTCTTTTAAAAATCTGCAAGTTCTTGAATTCCACAACATAGTCCAACACATCCAGAGAAACACTAGCACATCTATAGGCAGAAGCGACCCGCTTATCTTATAATCCCCATCATCAATAGCTTCAACCTCCAGTTTCAAAGGAATTCCTGCTTTCCCTCCCGTTGCAGCAAGTAGTCTCAATAACGTATTTAGCAATGCTGAAACAGGCATCCTCCCGCAACATTTCAAATAACCTCTAATAAACTCAACCCAATTAACCCCTCCTTTATCAGTAACAAAAAACAGGTCTACCATTGCTGGACCCAGATGATCCAATAACCCCAAAAGGGAATCAGGCATTTTGACTGCTTCACATTCTGTGTTTTCATAATTCAACGAGAAGCATTGCTGCAGCAATTAAAATTACAAGTCGGTTAAAAAAATAATAAAAAAATAAAATAGAACTTTCAACATCTAAATATACCATGAAAACATTTCTTGAAAGTTGCAAACTTTTTTTAATTTCTATTTCTCTCACACGGTCATACCTCCAGTAAATTCAAGATTGAACTTTTGAGCAAGCAAGCAATGACAATACGGGGGAAAAAAACAGCTTGTAAAGTGAAAAGCAGGGTTCTTTTACGAGATAATTAAGAACCCATAATTTATTTTTGTTGGTTTTGCAAGTACCTGAAGAGATTGAAGAGGGATTGCATTTCTTTGAGGGTCAGCAAGCTTAGAGAAAGCATTTTGAAGCAAGGAGATTGATCCAGTGGAAGCTGCTAGACTTTCCACTTCCCGTTGTTCACTTGATACGTTCTGCTCCGTAGAAGACGATGCTCCCATGCTAGCGGCAAACAATAATTGATATTTCTTTTTTCGTGAAAATTCAGTGAAAATCCAGATAGAAAATTCAGTTTGATTCTCTTTCCGTTTGGTCCTCTCGAAAATTCAGTGAATTTCTCTCTCAACCGGCAAGAAAAATGTATTCATGTCATAATGTGCTGCTCGCCACGTCGCATATTAATCATACTACTATTAGCATTAAACAATTAAAAAAAAACAAAGAGATCTGAGATATTTACTAAACAAATAAAATGACATTTGTTGCAATTCCAGGCCATATTGGGACAACATAGCATACCAATTTTAACAAATATTACAGTTAGATCCCTAATGTTTTCAAAGTTTTTTATTTTGACATCCAACTTCATTGGTATCACAGTTTCATCCCTAAATATGGCGAGGGGAAACAAAGAAAGAAAGAAAGAAAGAGGGAGGAGAGAAAACGTTAAGGTCAGGCCTATTTCAGATACATACCGAGATCTTTCCTCCGGTTTCTTTATTTTGAAAATGAAAATTTGTTTATAATGGTTTGAAACCATAAAATGATCAGAAAAAATAGATCGGAATCCCAAAAAATAATATAAGGATTGGGGTTTGGGCCCCAAAAACTAGCAATTTTGATTTTTCAGTAAAATTTCCGATCAATTTAGTTTAACAAAAAAATTGTAGGTGCATGACTCGTCGTCTGCCGCTTACAATCTTGGTGACGCGTTGTCCATTATTTTTTTCCTTTAACTGTGGCCGCATGAGCCTACTTTTGCAAGCCCGGTGGGGCAAGCTCGGCTTTTTCTTCCTTTTTTTCTTTTTTTCTTTTGTTGTTTCCGCATATTTTTTTATATTATTTTTTTGAATTTTATGTCAAAGTTTTGGAAAAAAATTTGTTAATTTTTTTCTTACATTTTGGAGATGATATATATATGTTTTTAATTTTACATTTTTTTTAATTTGTCATTTTTTTTAATGAAAAATCTCATCTAATTGTCTTTTTTTATATATATAATTTAATTGTTAACAAACATCATTTATTTTTCCCTAAGTATGGATTTTGAAATAAAATTTTAAAATATGATTATTTTTTTATTTTTTAAAATAAATCAATATAATTTATATGATTAATTTTTATGAATTTTAAATGAGAATAGCATGATTGTAGATATGCATTATTTAATCTAAAAACTAAAAGCGTATTTCAAATACTTTATCTTGATTTTTTTAAATAATTAATTAAAAATTAAAATTCACATGTGTTATTTTCTTTTTCTTTATGTGATCAAAATTTATCAAAATCAATTTTATAATTATTATTATTTCAATCTATTAACTTCAAATTCATTCAATGTATTCCTTACTTATATATACATATATATATATATATATATATATATATATATATATATATATATATTGTTGAATATTCTATCTACTAACTATAGTCATGATGTATTAAAAAAATTTAAATCATCAATTTTATTGAAAATTAGCTACACATATACACAAATAACATCAACTATTTACTATTTTTTTTCTTTTGAATATTCTAAAATCAATTTTTTTCAAACAAAATAATTAAAATAATTTTTTTAAAGAAACACCGAATTATTCAAATATAGTTTATTGTGCTAATATTATTGATTATTTTGTGATTGGATAAGTATAAATTAAATATACATACTTTTAAAAAAATAATCTTCTTATCAATATTAAATAAAAATAAAAGATATTTTTTTAATTTTTAATTTTCATATGATTTTCTATATTAATTGTAACTTTATTTTCTTGATACAATCTTATGAAAAAAAAAAAAGCTTTTTTTTTAAATTTTGAAATAAATATTTTATTTAGATTATTACATTTTTTTATTTATTTAGGAATCAATGCATAAATAATAACAAATTGTGTTTTTTTTTCAAGTTGAAAATATATTGAAAACACAAGAAAGAATAAATTTGAAACAAATTTTTTATTAAAAAGTTGTTAAATTTAGTCAAACTTTTTTTTTTTTACTTTTTGTTCGATATATTTAGTAGACCTAAAATATAATGCAAGTTATTAAACTTAAAAACTGTTGTTGTTCTATCAGACTCGTAATATAGGAAGGTAAATAAAAACACTTGTCAATATCTAGGCAAGTGCCTATATGTTAGTTTCTTTTATTTATTTATTTATTTATTTTATGTGTATGATTCAATATTTCAAGTCAATTTTTACCTACCAAAATTAAAAGCGTTTCTGTTTAAAATATCAAGTCTTTTTTTTTTTTTCCACCAAAGCTTTTGAAAAATCACAATTGAGGTAAGATTTTAATTCTTTTTAAATTCGTCTAAATTATGTTGTATGAAAAAATTTTAATTTTAAATCGAAGCATCAATGAATACAAATAATTTCGTAATTTAACTATTTATATGGATTTTTTTACGTGTGCTTAAAATATCAATAGATATGAATAATATTTGAACAGATACTTGATCTTGATAATAGTTTTTTTTTCATTAAAAAAGTTTGAAAAAAATATCAATATCATTTTTAAAAAAAAATTAAGAAGTCTAATACTCCCGATATCTTGATTAATTAATAAATAATAGGGATAATTATTGAAAAAACCCTCTAAAGAAATCTTATATTCAAGAAACCTATCAATTTATTTTTAAATCTCTCAAATATAAAATAATATTTTTCTTATCAAAACACCTAATAGTTAACCTCTAACTTAACACTAGTTAACTATTAAGTCTTTTAGTAAGAATTTTTATTTTTAGGTTTGAGAGATTTAAAAAGTAAATTGATGAATTTTTTGATAGAATTTTTTTTAGAGTTTTTTATCTAATAATAAACTCATTTCATAGTTTTTAATGAGTTTGATATTTATTATTTTTTTTATGATCACGTCAAGTTTTTTTTTTTATTGCATTCAAAAGAAAAAAAATGTTTTTAAGATTCCTCGACTTTTAAATACTAACATTCAACTACTTTTTTTTATTACACTAAAAAATTCCTTGTATTAGAGTTTTTTTATTTATTGATCGATTGTTTCATTAATTACGAAATTAATTTTACTATCTAGTAACTATAGCAACCGAGACAATTTAACTAATTAATATTGATGAAATGAGACTTTTGTTGTTCTTTTGTAATTTAATAAAAAGGTTATCATGCAAATAAGAAAATTCATTGTATGATTATGAATATCAGTAACTTCTTAAATTCTAATATATTGATAGAAAAAAAACATCATCGATAATACTAGTTTTTAATTAATCAAAACTCAATATTTTTTATCAAACAATTAAATTAAATTACAAGATGAATGTATAACATATTTTATTGCATTAATTAAATAAATCATGATCATCCGTGATAGAAAAATATATCTAGAAAGATAATGGTTTCATTTAAACTAGGGATAATTACCAAAATACCTTATAAAAAAATCTTCCATCTAAAAAATTCATTATTTTATTTTTAAATCTCACAAGCCTAAAATAATATTTTTCTTACCAAAATAACCAATAGTTAACATTAGTGTTAATTATTAGGTGTTTTTTGTAAGAAAAAAATTATTTTGAGTTTAATAGATTTAAAAATAAATTTGTGAGTTTTTTAGATAGAAGATTTTTTTATAAGGTTTTTCTAGTAATTATTCCTAAATAATAATAGAAAAAAAGAATTGGAACGCAGCGTTTTACGTTTGCGAGGGGTTTGACTTGACATTCAGGCTCAACCCGACCCGTAATGAAGCGATTCGGGACGGAGATTTGGATATCGTCTTAGCGCACGCAGAAAAACCACGAGAAGTCCAATTCTGCGTAGCTTAGTTACTTGGTGTTCTGATCTAGGGTTTTATCGGGGGGCTTTTTTTATCAGATCTCCAACCAATCAAATGGCGCCACCTCCAGGTCCCTACTCCGGTGCCAGCGCTCTCGCTGTGGTAAGCAACTCGCTCTTCAGTTTCCACAATCAAATACTTCACTCTCTTCCTTTTCGATTGATTCCTGACCTTTAAAAAATGGATTTTGTTGTGTAGGTGGCCCGTGCATCAGCATTCAGTTTTGGCCTGGTTTATGGAAGTGTGAAGTTCAAGATTCTCAAGGTAGTTAACGCACTTCTTATTTGTTTAAGCTTTTTTGATTTTGCTGATCAACTGTTAGCCGGATCTATTTCTGTCATCAGTTTATTTTAAGCATTTATTAATTTGATTTCTTTGTTTTTATGGAATAATAAACAAATAGATTTTTTCACCAACAAATGAATAAGTTGATCGTGCGAAGAATTTGATTAAGTTGGCCTTAATCTGGAAATCTTGCTGTATTTTCTTCACGTTTCAATTCAAATTTGTTACGCAAATGAAGATGGTGTTGTTATCGTTATCTTCGTAACTTTTGAATTATCGATTTTGTTGATAGAATTTATCATCTTATCAGCTGTTGGGAATGACTATTTTTTCTTTGCCTACAGATGAAAGCAAATTCACGTCAGAAGGCGGAAGCTAAGGCACATCACTGAGGAGCTAGTCTTTGGATGATGAAATAAATGACCTTTGATTTCAAATGGTTACCATAGGATTACTCGTATAGAAGAGATGATTCTGGATTTAGAGAATTGTGAGTTTTTTGAATTTTGTTATTTCCACATTTCTGAGAAAGTGAGACAGTTTTCTATAAATTGAACAAGAGGAAGAACAATTGTTTTGTGGATCATTGGGTATTCATTCATTAACTACAACTTTAGGCTTTTACAATCTTCTTTTTGAATGCGAAACAGTTATGCATTGTGATTCGTACCTGGATAACTATTATCCAGTGGCATGTCTTTAGCTGTATAGTTATGCTGTTTCAAAATTTTGTTCTATCAGTTGATGCACAATTGAATTGCAGAAATAAATGTTTTTGAGAGGGGTTTTCCTTCTTTTTCTTTTTTTGAATGATTTCGTAAGGTCATATGTTAAGATTCAAGATTTTGTGTGTACTGCTCTTACCTGTATGTTTAGTGTTGATCCTTCAATCACCCTTTTGTTCATAACCTATGAATGCTTGATCAAGTGGGCATTCATATTCACGAATCATCATTTTCATCTCAGGAGTTGAAGAAAAATTTGTTCAAGATCTTGAAGAAATGTAAATGATGTTTGTTCAGTATGGTTGTGATGCTCCCTTGTTACAAGCACAGTAGTTCCCCAACCTCTTCTTTTGTTTTCCCTCGTTTTCCGTTTTGTACGTGGTTGGCTGTCGTAGGCTTGTGTTTGTCTTCTGTTACTTCTCATGCATCTGAAAGACTAGAACATACTCTGTATGTTATTGTTCTTTCTGTTCGTGACTTTCTTCTCTCGTTCCTCTTCACCTGGGCACAGATTGCAGCTTCGTCTACCACCCGTGACTTTTTTTGCTTTTTAGATTCTTTGGCGTTTTCTGATTGATTTGTCATGACACAACATCAATCACTATCAATGTTCGTGACAAGGATTTAATCTTCCAATTATGTTCGTGTTCTTCATCCTAACCTAAAATCAGGTTTGACAAACTCGACCATACCTCGCTTTATGTTGCAGCCTTGGAAACTCCAACGCTGATTGAATTTTTTCGCCTCCATTATTTTGGGTTTGGTCCTCAAAAAGACAGATCAGATGAATTCATATCGGCAATTACTGCGTTTCTAATTTCAACGATGTCAATTACATATGAAATTAGGTGGGGGTGACATGTCGTTCAATGATGCAGTACGCTAATCCCTATGCCCACCTGCTCGTCAAATTGTATTTGACAAATAAAGAAATAGAGTGGGGTCGATGACCCCGGCCATGGGAATGGGATTGTCACGCTCCTTTACCGAGGCCGTTTTATGGACAATGATAAGGCCCTTAGTGAGAGGATTCCATCCTTTGATGCGCACACGTGGAGGGCCCAGATTGACCACTGGAAAAGGAATTCCTATACGGATCAGTCCTCCTCCTTGCCCTAGTGTCACTTTTTATCCCACTTGCCTAACGCTATACCATTCCAAGCACGGTTTTTTTTTTTCCTCTGACAATCAATCAGGTATTTTAACATTTTACCTAGCTCAAAAAATCATCCAATGATATATAAGATGATTACCTTTGTTGAAAAACATTACTGTATTTCAAATTAGATTAAGATTAATCTCTATTAGTATTCAAGCCCTCATTAATTAAAGTCACAAACTGCAAATAGAGAACCAATTAAAAACACTTTTGAAATGTATGGCTGATATAAAAATTAGATTTATTTCACATTATCAATAGCTTTCGAATCTATCAAGAAAATGTTATAAGTATATCAAGAATACACCATTCAAAGTGTGAGTAAATTATAAATTAGTCTCTCTCATTTCAAGAAATGAATCAATTAGTCCTTCTAATTTCAAAACTCAATCATTTAGTCTTTTTTGTTATTTTTTTTAATTTATTTTGATTTTTTTAAGAAATAGAAAAGAAAAAATTAAGTAAAAAATATGGAAAGATTGAGAAGATAATATATTTTATAAAATAAAAAAAATATCAAATTAATTATGGTCTCGTTAAAAACATTAAATAATTGAGTTTTGAAAACGGATTAACTAATTAATTCGTTTTTTTGAAAACAGAGGGACTAATTTATAATTTACTCTTCAAAGTGTTGCTAGATTTACTTGAGAAGTTTTTTTTTTAAAAAAAAAGCCTTAATTTTGGAGTAAGAAAACTAATACAAAAATACTAAAAATATTGGGACTGTAAATAAAATCCCGCATTACTAATTAAAAAAAACCTAGCTTGACATAACTGCAACCGACAACTTGCTCTCCAAAGCTACTTTGTCTTAACTAATCAAGCACTAAAATCTCACAACTTGCTTCACTTCACAAGTCTCACTCTCCCAGCACTGGCACAGATTCATTATCTCTCTCTTTCCGAGAAGGAGAGACCAAGATGGGATCAGTATCACTGAAAATAGGAGATGGAACAGCCAGATTCAAGAGAGCAAGTTTCTTTTCATCAGCAGTGAACATTCTCATGCTCTTCTCTGTTTTAACCACTAATCTTTTTGCATTATATGCCTTCACATCTTCTCCAAAAGAACATCAAAATCATCTCGTTCACAATCCCCATAAAAACATATCTTTGATCTCTGAGCATGTCTCCTTAATACTAAGAGAGATCGCCTCTTCTCAGAAAAAGCTTGCCAAGATGGAAAAGGAGCTTTTGGGCTATGAAACTATAGATATTTCGAGGCCCAATATTGCAAGTGAGCTCAAATTGTTTTTACAACACCATCAACTCCCTCTTGGTAAAGATTCAAGAACTGGGATCACTGAAATGGTGGCCTCTGTAGGTCATTCTTGTGAGAAATCTGCAGACTTGTTGTCTCAGTACATGGCTTACAAGGTTTCTGGGCCTTGTCCCGATGATTGGAGTCTTGGCCAGAAGTTGATTTTGCGTGGATGTGAGCCTTTGCCCAGAAGGAGATGCTTTGCCAAGTCTGTTCCAAAGTTGGGTCTTTATCGTTTTCCTGATTCACTCTGGAAACCTGTTAGTGAAAAGATTTTAACTTGGAGTGGTCTAGGTTGCAAGAATTTTGAGTGCTTGAATAAAAAGAAATTGAGTAGGGATTGTTTTGGTTGCTTTAATATTACTAGTGGTTTTGAGACTCAAAAGTTTGTTAAAGCTAGAGGCAAGAATGATTTTCTTATTGATGATGTGTTAGATTTATCAAGTGGAGGAATTAGAATTGGATTTGACATTGGTGGCGGGTCTGGAACTTTTGCTGCTAGAATGGCAGGGAGAAATGTGACTGTGATTACTAATACTTTGAATGCGGATGCTCCATTTAGTGAATTTATTGCAGCAAGAGGGCTTTTCCCTTTGTATTTGAGTTTAGATCATAGGTTCCCTTTCTATGATAATGTGTTTGATATAATTCATGCTTCTAGCGGATTGGATGGAGGGGAGAAACCTGAAAAATTGGAGTTCTTAATGTTTGATATCGATCGAATTCTGAGGGCTGGTGGATTGCTTTGGTTGGATAACTTCTACTGTGCAAATGATGAGAAGAAAACAGCTTTGACTCGATTGATTGAGCGGTTCGGGTATAAGAAGCTGAAATGGGTTGTGGGTGAGAAGGTAGACACAGCTGGGTCAGGGAAATCGGAAGTTTATTTGTCTGCCGTGCTACAAAAGCCAGCGAGAGTGTGATGATTGCTAAAGTTTTTACATGAAACTGAAACAGGTGAGAATATTGCTTCCATTACTAGCTTTGTTCACACAGAATTTTGTGTTAGTTCATCGCCTCAAACATCCTCATGAATTCATTTCTACATGCAATAAGTACATCGATCATTACTTCTCTCAACTGTAAACCAGCACTAGAAGATGATATTTGTGCTTTGTAATCTAGTTACTGCCCTATCTTTTACTGTATTTTAGGGGATTTAATTGTCCAAGCTAAAAGAAATGTTAGGAAATGGGCAATTCATACTGTATTTTTGAATCTTTGAATTGTGAGTTAGGTGGTTTTTTAGCTCTTAAACCTGCCCTCTTTTCTTCCATATCCATTCTGCTGTTCCAAGTTTGAGTTTGATAACTGGCCATCTTAAGTAATGCTAAATGTGATGAATTTTCCCCCATCACCATGATGTCCTTGTTTAATAAATTTGTTTTCATATAGAATCCAACAGGTTATGTGCTTTAACGCTCTGTATTTATTATACTCATCAGCTAAGATAAATGAGGTCTTTGTACATGGCATGTATTTGGGAGGCGATCTCTCTCGAAAATGAAGGGAAATCACTTTTCTTTTCTTTCAAAAGAGAATCAAATTTAGCAGCAAGGTTGCTGCTCATGTTCTTATGTTTTCTTGTCCAATGGATAGATTTATCGGACATCAAGTACAGAACTTCCCTTTAGGACCCATTTGCTTGATTGATGTGTTTCTGGAGAATGCCTGATCGGTGTTATTTCGTCTACTTATTATATTACAATCAGCATTCATGGGATCTAAATGGGAAACTGTCTTAGCAAATGTTAAGCTAGGGAAGCGACTTAATCAGGGGTTGCAATCACCTATTTCCTGGCCTGTTCTCTGCTTCAGGATTTAGACACCAATTACACTTGGTACACAAGTACCTCTGGTTCGAAAATGTGGGAAGTCAAGAGGAAGTCCTAGCTATAGGTAAACCTGAACAGCACTTGGATGATCTTTGATGCTAAGGGAAGATTTTGTTATCGTTTCACAAATGGATATTGACAATGCTCCATCCATCTTGTGGAGGCAATAGAATTTGTGCACAAGTTGTTCTCTTTATTGCTTAGGTTGTGTTTGGCTCCAGGTAAATGGTAAACCCTTAACATTTAATCACCCTTAATCTCAATTTTTTTTTTTTTTCTTTTTGGGTTGAACCAAATATTAACGTTTTCTCTTCCATATTGAACACAAAGGTTCTGGGCTTCAAGCCCAATCCCTACGATAAATGCATTTGTCCATTGCTATTTAATATATCACAAAGGAATACATGAACAGCATAAAGGACAATGGCCCTGTAACCCAACAACTCTTCTTTTAGATCATTAACTCTCGAGAGGCATGTAATTAATGAAATTTCCAAAATCACTTCTGAAGCATCCGAGCCTGGTATTTCAAGGTAGGGTGAAAAGATTGCTGGAAGGCAGCATCTAGCGCTGGCTTTTTCTACATGATTTGCAATGCCTCCATAAACGGAGATAGAACTTTCAGTGTTAATAAATATAGTAATATTTTCTCTCTCACTGTCCATGGCAAGTGGTTTTAAATAGAGGAGATCATTGCCTAATAGGGTTGACTTGAGCAAAAGATGTTCTAGTTGTTTATACAAAGAGTCGATCCCAAAACTATTTGTTTGAACAAGAAACTCCAGTGGCTATGCCTATCTTGTGCGTCACATCAAACAACCAAGAATTAATCTCGACCTTTGAACTTGAGATATCTTGAGAGGTGATCATTTGTTTTTTTAGGTCTATTTTTTATTAATCGAATCAATAAAAACAGAAACCAAACTACAAACCCAAATACTATTTGGTTTTTTGGTTTAAAAACCAAAATTTTGGTTTAAACTGAATTTCTTTTTCTGATTTTTATTAAATTTTGAAAATAATCTAAATAGATCAAAAACATTATCAATCTATCATATATCTATAATAATTTTAAGATATTGATTTTTTGGTTTATATTTTATTTTAAAATTTTAAAAAATAAAAAATAAACCAAAAAATTCGAAAAAAATTATAAAAAATCAGTTTTTGATTTAAACCAAATCAAAATTTTCAAAAGTCAAACCGAATCAAAAAATTAACAATTTGGTTTTTAACTCAAAGATTAAAAAAAAATTCAAAATGAATTTTTTTTTAATCTTTGAGTTAAAAATCAAATTGCAATTGATATTTCGATTTGATTTAATTCGGATTTTCGGTTTATGCTGAATGGTGTTGCACTTCCGGTTCTGAACGTTTAGGTGATGTGTAGTTAATGCTGTAGGGTTCCGTTTTTGTTCTTCACTTAAATTTTCTTCTGACAGGGTGGGACTTAGTAGAAGAAATTTTGAAGCTCATTTATTTGGCTCAAAATCGATGGTTTAGTACCTTATCTGCAAGTTATTAACTGCTTATGGGACAATCCTTACTTCGATTTCCAGCTGGTTCGGCAATTTGTTAACCAACTAGGCTCACAATTGTAGAGTAAATTATAAATTAGTCCCTCTAATTTTGAAAAACAAATCAATTAGCTCTGCTTGTTTCAAAAATTAATTATTTAATCTCTCTATTTTTTTAATTTTTCTTGAAATTTAAAATTTATTTTTTTCAATTTATTTTGAATTTTGTTTTAAGAAATAAAAAAGAAAAAATAAGTAAAAATATGAAAGAAATTGATGAAATTTTTTTAAAATAAAATAATATTAAATTAAGTATCATCAACACTAATTAAGAGACTAAATAATTAATTTATTTCTATAAAATAGAAGGACTAATTTATAATTTACTCCCAATAGCCGATGGTTAGCTCAAGTGTTAGCTTGTAGGATGAAGCTGAGACCCGGCCCAATCCTCCTTTTAAATAATCATAGTCCCATTTAATTGTTTTGTAGTTTTTTTTTTCCCTCACTAATCAGTTTATAAATTTTTTAGTAGATTACTAGTCACTTTCCCGCACTACGCAGCGGGTTCGGTAAAACAATTATTTTAAAATTTTAAAATTTTTTAATTAAAATTTTTTATTCACTTAATTTTTGTAATTTTTTTTATAAATTTTCTACTTAAAAAACATAAATCATTCTCCTTTATGGATTTATTTTAAAATAAAAAATATAATGATTTTAACTAAAATATCAATCAATAATTAAAAAAAAAGTTTTCAAATATAATTTTTATAATATCGTATTTCAAAAAATAAAGTTATAATTAATTGATAGACTTTTACAAAAATTAACAAATGAGAAAAATTCTTATTTTAATGTTGAGGAAAAGGTTAATTTTTAAAATTATCTACGCAACGCTACGAATAGACAGAACACCTAATTAAATAAAAAAACATAAATTTATGAAAATTATAAAAAGAACACCTAAGTGTGTGTGTGTGTGTGTATATATATATATATAGTAGTCAGTTTGTATAAAAAAAATAACGATTGATTTTTTAAAATTTTAACACCTAATTAAATTAAAAAAAGAACATAAATTGATGAAAAAAAGCAAATTTGATTTTTTAAAATAACATAAATTGATTAAAAAAAAGAAAAAAATGTATAGTGCATCGGTTAGGGGATTAAAATTTTTATTTTAAAATTTTAGAGATCAAAATAAAATAAACTTAAAAATTTTTAAAAATTAAATAAAAAAACCTAAATTGATGTAAAAACAAAAAAAAAAGCAAAGGGGGCAAAATATGTATGGTGAAAGTAAACTAAAAAAAAAAAAAACACTTGCTACAGAAACAGTGAAACCAAACCACTTAGAAAAAAAAAAAAAACTTGCTTGTAAAATGTTGAAGAAAGGTCGGCAGAAGGGAAAAAAAGTAGTTAACACTTTATTGTTTTAGAGGTACAAAAAAAAAAAAAAAAACGAATAAGAAGCGATTTGTAGAGAATTTATTTATTTATTTATTTATTTATTTTTAATAAAATTAGCATCAACCTATTTTAGTTTTCTTTTTGCCCTACTTATTGAAAAGACTTTATGTTGAGACATTTGTTTGCATCAAATAGGCAAATTGTATTTTATATAAATAATTTCTAAAATGTTATTTTATAGTTGTTATATTTAAATAATTCGATCTAATTAATTTTAATTGTTAATAAAAATATATCGCACAATTTTGACTCATTGCTCTTACTAAAAAATTACATGATGATCATACGAATTTCTCATAAAAACCCCTCAAATAGCAAATTGAGAAAACTAAAAATAGAAAACTTGCAAGTCTTTTGATGCATATTGTTTATTTTAAAAATTAAAGCTGAACATTTTGGTCAAAATTATGTTGCATATGGCTAATATTTTTCAACGCAACAAGTTTTAATATAACAAATAAATTTTTGTTTACAATTGAAGATGGTTAGATTGAAAATTGTCCAAAAGAACAATTATAAAATAAAATTCGCCAAATTATTTACACAAAACACCATTCACCAATTTTTTTGCAAATATAGGGTCTCCAAATTGGGATTTTCCAATTTTATTCCTCGAAATCTCTAGAAAACTTCCAAACCCTATCCCAGACGCACTATAAATGACATGTCGCTTTAGACCTTAGTGGAATTAGAAGAAACCATCAGAGTTTCAACCTTCATGGCTTCAACTCAAGTGATACCATTTTGTCAAGGCAAATAGCAAGCTTGTCAGGTCAAGTAGTACAAACAGAGCTATAAACTAGCATGTTACTATATTATAAGCTAGTAGCAATGTCTCAAGATAATCCATCATCCCATTAATTATAACATCAACTAACATACACATCTATCATACATCAGGAATGCATCTTAACAAAGTGAGGCTAAACTGGAAGTGCCCACATTGCTCACCCTCTCCGCCGTGGGTGATACAAATTAAGTTCGCCGGGAATGCTTTTAGGTTTGAACAAGCGGAGAACCATTCCGGGGACATTCATCTCCACCAGGTGGGAAAACGTCATGTTAATTGTGAGGGCACATCACTTAGTTGAGTAGTTTATCAAGCATGGCTACCCTCGGTGATGGGGGCATTTGTTCCTTGGATGTTAGCGCTGTTAAGAAGCTTCATTCCCTCCTCACTCATCTGCTGAACTTCTGAGGGAGACAGAATCCTTATGCAACGGACACAGCCGACAAATTCCCTACACGAGCACATCAAACTTAGGCCTAGAAATTGAAAGGACTACTTGCTGATAACTAGATATAGAACGATTAGCATCTACAAAAGATAAAAGAATAACCACGAGCAAGCCAGCAAAAAATGGAAATAAAGGGCAAAATAAAACTTACTCCCAAGGATCATCACCGATGAGTAGGACATCATTTTCGTAGTCCACGTACACTAATTTCCAGCCAGAACCTTTAGGATTATTCAGCAGCCCGTCAAGTCCAAACATGCATTCAATAGCGGAGCATAGTTCTTCATAATTTTTAAAACTTGAGACATCAATTGACCTCCCAACAGACCCTGTCTTCTGAACCTGTAACCATAAGCAATGTTAGCACCTAAAATCGAAAAATTGAAATGCTTTCGACCACACTCACAAACACGCACACAAAGGGCTTAAAGTCTAGACAAAGCATAATGTTTAAGGTTTAACATCATTAGACTAGAGTCGTCCAGTTTCGTATAGTTATGTTAATTATCTGATGTGTGACACAAGCAGACGGTTAGCAAGGATCTTTCATATAAAAGACAAGCATGCATACCTTAGTATATGTGCGCACACGTTGGGCTACTTGCTGCCATGAGCTATTCTGGAGCAGATTGCTATTATCAAAATCAACGTTGCTTGAAGATGTGCCACCTGAGTTGTCAGGGAAGTCTTGCCGTGAGAAAGCCTGTGAATCTGCTAGGCTTGCTGAGGTAATCTGAGACTGAACATCCTGGTTTGAGCTGAGGTTGCCAACCAGACAATCTGAAGCATTCTGCAAATCAGCATCCTTCAATGTGCAAAACTCATCTAGAATAGCACTTGAGACAGAAGGATCAACCACAGAACCACCACCATTGCCAGCGTCAACGTTAAGAGAACCATAAATCCCACTTTGGTCATTGCTCTCATCAGATAGATCCTTTACTGCACCCGAGTTGAAGTTACATGGCTCTTGCTGAGCCAAAGGAATAAATTGGTTTGCTTGGGATAAAATTCTTAAATTGCTCATCTGATGATCCCACACATCTTGATTCATATAAGGTAAAGAGGGATTAATTGCTTCCGGGAAAACTGCTGATGGGTCCTGTAATCCAAACATAGACAACGGCCCTGATCTATACATCCCAGCAATAGACATGGGATTTGTTATCCATTCATCAGCTTCCAGAAACGGAAGTGAGCAGTTAAGTGCAGCAGCATCAGCAAGAGGTGCATGGATCGGTTGGGGATTAAGTTGTGATGATTCTGGTAATGCCTGTGTTGGCCAGAGGCTGCTTTGTAATTGTGAGTGGCCCTGATTCTGGTTTTGGAACGCCAGATGATTTGTAGCATTCTGCTGAGTCGTATGACCCGAGGACAGTTTTTGCACAATGCATTCCCCTGTCGAGGTTAGCTGGCTTAACTGATCTTGCAAATGCTCAGCTTCTAATTTTAATTTTCCTTCACTAATTCCAACTGATGCTTGGTTTTCAACTTTGCTTGAAGAATGTGACTTCCCAGCTACATTTATTTTTGATGAAGATGAGTTCATGCCAGCAGATTGGTCTAGACAGATCTGGGAATAATTTTCGTTTTCTATGGACGTAACTCCTGACTGGTTTTGCTGAGGAGTATGATTACTTGTTGCCTGCATGTTCTTACCATCCAATGAAGCCACCTTAGCAGCAGAAACTTCTGGTAATGCAGTTCCGCAGATTCCAGGATAGTTAACAGCGTGAGGTTTCATTAGCAGATTAATCAGTTGTTCAGAACATATGTTTGGCATTGAAGCATATGGAAGATTTGCATTTCCACTACCCGGAAGCCATGCAAGGGGCTTCTTTACCAAACCCCCCATTCAGTATCTCCTGATAGAACAAATAGCATAGAATGAATTTCCAACGACTTTTGGAACAAAAAGACTGAGCACCGAGATAAAGCTCACCTAAGAAACCAGACTGCAAGGGTCGTTTGAGACCTGAAGTCAGAGAAGGAAAAATAAAGAGACTTTCTGGAGTCTCAATTTCCCATGAACTAACCCGGATCTGCTTATCAGAACATCCTGGTTCATCCCACTCTACCTGTTTGTAAGACAAAAATACAAAAGTGAATTACAAATTAGCTAAGCAGAGAAAGAATATCAATAACATACGAACTACCATCACAGTAAACGACAAGAATTTAGTCAGTCCACAAGTCGCCTAATCTACCTGAAGATTCCGCCACTTGGAACCAGGCCACCTCAGTGGATCTAAGTCGCTAATACCAACTATTGTGCCCATATATCTGCAAAAAAGATTACAAACAGTTAATCAAGCTCTATATATACAAACGATAATTATTCAGAAGTCAGAACCTTGAGCATGCAATTAAAACATAGATGACTTTGAACTTCACAGAGCAAAAAACATCAAACAGACTCTCATCCTTATCACAGGTAAGAAAAGTAAATGATTGCTATCCGTGCAGAAGTTTTACCCATAGCCATTGCCTAATTAAAGGTGTAAAAGAATTCAAAGAACTCAGAATATTACCTGCGTTTTCCTGACTCTTCTGTCTCAAACATCATTCCAAACCTCATACCGACAGAGACTTGAGTCCCAAATACAGCTTTCCGGAATTTAATCAAAGGAATGACAAAGTCTGAAGGGCATGCCCTATGAATTTTTCAAAGCAGCAATCACTAATTAGAGTCAGATACCAGACAAAAAAGGGCAAAGGACCACTAGAATTTGATTGCATATTTCACAAACCTTGGATTGTAAAAAATGGTGAATGGGCTTCGATTGGCAGCAGCATGAGCTGCAGCAGCAAGGACACCAATGTGCATGCTATCAGCAGATAGAACTGATGATGGTAATGTTGTTTGTTGACGGTTTGCACGCCTCACACCCACCATTAACTGTGACTTTTCATCCCTGATAATTACAGAGAATGAGTTGCTTTAAGATTAGTCTGGTGAGTTACATAATCCATGACGATTACCCATTGTAAAGCCAATATTTTCTTAACCATTAAATGTGGTTAAACAGCATAACAAAGCTTCTCGTAATTTTATAGAATTGAGAATTTCTTAGAGACAGGTTTATTTATATCACTGATTATTGGTTATTATCGTAAACCTAACTTAAGAAGACAGGTTTATGTAGCATCCAGGCAACAAGTGCCTACAAAGGATATGACTTACCTGATAAACAGAACAGAATCACCTGCTTTAAGTCTTTTGGAACCCACAAATAAACTCCACCCAGTTGTAAGAAGATGTCGCTTTGGCTGCCCTGCATAAAAGGAAAGAAGGGAGATGAAAAATAGTCAGATCCACAAGTCCAATGCTAAGGCCAAACACAAAAATAGAATTTAAATGCCATATATCCTTCAAAGTTAACCGTCGATTTTACTAGAAATAATGGCGAAGGGACATCTTCTGACTCTGTGAATGTGATGTCTTCATCAAATAAACTACAACAGGGATGGTTCCTCACCACGGTATATATGGCGAAATGTCCAGGTATGATCATGCAAGTCCCTGACAACAAGCTCCTGAGTTGGTGGTTGCATTGTGTAATCCTGGGACATACAAAGCAGATTTAATATAACAGCTCGTTATTTCCTCAGGGCTTGCAAGGATTTTCAAATTAGCAAGATTATCTCACCAATGGAGGGAAGAGCTTTTCTGCTGCCCTGCGTGGCACTGAGAAGCCACCATGTGTGCTTGTATCACTAGCAGTCAAAGTTTTGCAGAAAAATTCACTTGGATGCTTGCTGGGCTTTAGCCCAAAATCTGGTATAGGGAAAACATCTTTTTCCTACATGAAAGGTAGATTCATTTGATATTTTTAGGCTGGATGAAGGAATATGCAAATGGGAAGAAGTTAAGATACGTATTTAAGCTTACAGAGTTCACTGGTTGAAGACTCATTTGAGCATAGATTTCATCAGTATCTTTGTCTGCCTATCAGCAAAAGGTAAATTATAGGTAAAAGACTGATCTTCTAACAAGACAAGAGTAGTGCAGTAGTAAATATATGAAGAAGGCAAAGAAGAATCGGAAAAAAATGGCATACATGTTGAGTAACATTGTGCACTTGGCACAATAACTGAGAAGGGAGATTTGGGTAGTTGGGGATCTGTGAAGTAGCTGATCTTTTAGTGGAAACTGCAACCTATACATGAAAATCAACTGGTCGTCAGTTCAATAAATCAGGATGGAAAAAACAGCAGCATTTTAACAGAGAAGCTGTCAAAATTTTAGCTTGGCAAGGCTTCCAAGACCTTGAAATCATGAGTGCCTAACTTTGGAAATGAGAAGAACAAAGCACAACATTCAAAATCACAGAAATGAGCACCTTTTTATTTGTGTTAAAACCAACGCAAACTAAATTAAATTACATTATACCATACCATGCTTCTACTCTTCCCGGAATGAAGTCCTAATTCTTACTGTCAGTTTAATGTTTTAGAATTGCAAGGTTACTACACTGCTAAAGAAAAATTATCCCACTTAAAAAGAAAATGGCAGTGATGAGAGATCAAGCTCCAAAATGCAATTTGGTACAGTAGAAATCTCATGAGAATGTGCTTTGAGTCAATATAAAATCAGAGGAGAAGAAAGGCTCGAGATTAAAAGAAATAAATGCAAACCTGCTCACTGTGCCCTTGAGGGAAATAATACACCAGACTTCCAACCTGAGGCAAGGAAACTAGTGGGCCTGCACAAGCGTACCACAGCTCCGAGTTTATTGCCTTCCTTATACCTGAAATCATGCACAGCAAATTCAAAAACATAAGACACATACTCTTGGACAAAAGAGTACTGTTTGGACTTGTAATTGTGGAGAAAGTTGAGCCTTCATGATAAAGATTCAACGATAAAGATTCAACGTTTACAGGATCATTTCAGCCAATAAGCGAAAACGATTAGAAAAAGTCCAACTTTTATAAGAAATAAGGATTTGAGTGACATGAAACAAACCAGACTGATCTTGAAATTCTTTCAACAACTTCATTTCCTCAAGAAGATTTGTTTGAGTTCCATTAGCAAGCCCTGCTGTTTTGATTTTCTCTTCAACAGACCCCATCTTCTGCTTTTCTTTGTGTTGCTATGTACTCTCTACCACAACCAGAGCAACTCAATAGAAAAACCCCATCTTTACTTCTTCACCACCAAACCCCTCAATTACAAAAAGCCCCCATCAAACAGAAAAGAAACTAGAGCATTAAAATCACAAGCCTATGTTCCTCCGAAAGAAGCTAACTTCTAGGACCAACCCTGTCAAGGAATCTTTAAGTTCACCAAAAAGACCAATCCAATTGGGCACAAAAGAGAAACAAACCCCTCCTTGCCCGTGAGGAGTCCTTGGTGATCCAAAATCTAGGAACAAAACCTGCAAAAAGTTATTCACTAGACTAGATACAGATCTTTTTATGGAGTGGGCCAGAAAAGGAGAGCTTTTTTATTGACACAACAAAAACCAAAAGTTTTTTTGCATCCAAGCACGCGGACCAAAGCATGAGTGTGGTGGTCTTGTAGCTATTATTCATTCGACTTTTCATTGAAACCACTGATCTCCATCTATCATCATCAAGAAATCCAAAAACACAAAAGGAGAACTTCTCTCTATCTCATGAATTTACATCTACTCTGTAAATGTGAAGCAGTGACATACTGGTATTTGCTTGAAAGTAGAAAGAGTGTGCATGCTATTAACCTGCACTCACACTTTCCGGAAATGGCTATTTCTTTGCAGCTTTAAACTGTTTTAAGGAAGTCCAAATTAAAACAAAAGTAAAAGATGCAATAAATAAAATACAAATAAAGCAGAGTAAGACTAGGAGAACACGAAATCAGGTACAGCAGAGAGTGATATCCACAAGAAATAAAATAATGGAGTCTTGTAGGAGGGGAGAGAGTGTGTTGTGTTTTTAAAAAGGGAGGGAGAGAAAAAAGAAAGAATGTGAAAGTGGCGCATTTTAGCACGTGGATTACGAGGATTTATCAGGAGCTATTAATCCCTCAAGGCCTCAACTATTTATTGATTCTTCATATAGTCTCCAAACGAAACATTTTCTCAATTGAATCCTCCACTTATTAATCATCACAATTTTTTAACATGAAACTCTTAATTTTATTCAAAAATTGGGTCATTTTTATCTATTTCAATAAAATTAATAAATAAATAGGATAATGGTACTAGTTTTATGGCATGAAATTATATCATTATGTTTAAATGTTTCTCATTTGTTCTTGTAAAATAAAAAATTATGAGTAATTTTATAATTTCACACGTGTCTATTGGTTATGTTGATCAGCTTTTTACTAACAAATATTCATAAATAATTCAATACATGTTTGGCTTTCTAAGGGAGGTTAGCGTTAGAATTTTTTTAATCCAAAATTCGATTTTTTTTTTTTTAATTAAAGTTTTGTGTGAGATTAATATGACGTCCAGATAAGTTCCACATTCAAGATACAAAAACTAGTGTTTGATGGAAAACTTCATTTTTCGAGCTTTCGTGATATTTTCATCGGGCTTTTTAATACTTTCTAAATATACGCATACAATATATATTTTTTGCCATAAAAATATACTATATGACAAAAAAACTCAATGTAAAACATATTTCTTCGTCTTTGCTCCTCTTTTCCAACCCAAGCAGAGCCTTCATTAAGTACTTCAAAGAGATGGGTGACTTAATTGATAATTGTTTTAGTTTGGGGACCTAATTGGCTGCTAATTTGGGGGACTAACTTGGAAGTTCTCCCCTATCCTTTTTTCAAAGCTCTGGATTTTGGCTTTTTGCCATATGGATCTTCTTGTGCTTTTTGATCGGCTTTACATTTCACCTGCCCAATTACGGCAAATTTTGGTTTGTTTGTGTGTTTTTTGGCATCTTCATTGTTTGGAAATTAAAAGGAGGGAAGAGAAAAAGCTTTTATATCAGTATGCGCTTCAGAGTCTGATTAATTTGACCGTTCCTCACGCGTGCGGTCCACGACAAACCAATGGGGGAAGGCGCAGGATACAGGAAGCGATATACGTGTCATGGCCCTGTGTTCGTAGATGCACGGCGCCGTTTCTGGCTTTCACATTTGGTTTCAACTCGGTTAGAGACTTCATGGTTCACATACAGTCTCTGTTTTGTTTTTTGTATTTGTTCCGGTGTGCAAATCCTCGGATTTCCAACGTCAGTCCTTTAACGTGTAAGACCAAGGAATTCTTGAAAATTATACATATATTTATAAAATTTTGAGCACTATCCTTAATAGTCTATGGTCACTAATTTAAAATATTAGAATTAATGTTGACGTACAAAAAACAACTAGAAGCATTAACAGGTTTAGTTTAACGGATTCAAATTAGCTTTTTTTATTGAATAAGATTCAAAATTTTCGATAATTATGTAACAAGAGAGATTTACCCCCATTGTATAATCTAAGACCTATGGATCTCGTGATGACTAAAAAAAAAAAAAAATTAGGAACATTTTGGAGTTAAATAAAGAAAATTATAAAACAGAATTCGAATTCAGATGGTTTGAAATGATGCCATATATTTTCATGGGCTAAAAGAAAGCAGAAGGAGTAGCATAAAAATAGACTTTCTGCATCAAAATACAAAAGGGAACGTTTGATTGCTTACGTACTTCGAATTACAAGATATTTTTTTGCCACGAATAGTGAGATTTGGTTGGTTGAGATTTGAAAGCACCAAAAGTGAATCCACCAAGGAAAAAAAAGAGAGGGGAGACCTTTCCAAAATAAATGGGTCATGCCATGTTCATGAATTTTTAGCAGCAAGGAAAAATAATGGATCTGTCCATGCTACTTGCTACTGTTGCATGGTTGAATACGCATGGGCCAAAGCGTCACGCACAGATCTCCATTTATTATGATTTCTTTTCTATCAATCAAATAGCAAATACCAACCTACCACCGTTAGTGGCCCTATCCCAATAGAATAAAGAGCTTAGCCTTTCAAACGGTGGGACTCGTCCAAAACAAAAAAGAAAAAACTCGAGGAAGACCTTGTTGATTTTTGTCTTCTAGTTATGCACCATGCCACGAGGATCTTAATTCTTGCAGGCTTTGATCCAAATGGAGCCCGTAATAATCGAAGGACAATTCCTTGGCAGTGGCACGACCCCGCATCCAAGCGGAGACAAACTTACATCCTTCGGGTAACGTTATATTGCATCTTCATTAATCCCAACAAATTCTGCGTAAATACAGTATAAATGCTCGGTAAATTCTAAGTAACTACTTTTTGAATATTGGCAAGTTTACGAGGTAAACTTGTTCAAACAATTACTCATTGTTTCACTTTGACTTTATTGGGAATTCTATTTTTACAATCAAGCCTTTGAGATATTATTTTAGAAGAGGTAGCTATCACTTCACCTTGACCTCTAAGGTTAAGGAAAAGAGTGTCTAATTATTAATAAACACTGGTAAAATACCAAATAAGATTTCGATTTTAAAGTATCTATCGGAAATAACTCAAATATGCTTGCAAGTGTAGTTACTTTTATTTTTAACCGTAAAACACCAAGATCTTGTTTCGATAAGAGAGAGAGAGAGAGAGAGAGAGACGATTTTGTGATTGCTTGTCCAAAGAAATGTCCAAACATTGCTGCTTAGGTCCTACTATAGCGCTATTTTACTTTTTTTAAAATAGATTTCCAGGGCACATCTAGATTGAGTAAATTATAATTTAGTTTATCTAGTCCATCTAGTTTTTTAAAATTAATTATTTGATATTTTTGTTATTTTTTAATTTATTTTGACTATTTTAAAAAATAAAAAGAAATATAAAAATAAGTAAAATTTAGAAAGATATCTTATAAAATAAAAAATATTAAATTAACCATGATAATATTAATTAAATAATTAATTTTTAAAAATAAAAAAGTCAATTATTTAGTTTCTCAAAAAGAGATAGACTAATTTATAATTTACTCCGTCTACATTTGATAGTCAGGTATTGCCACGTGATGCGCGCACGCATTATGTGGATGTGGAATATGATCGGACGGTCCAGACGTGACGCTAAAATCGAGTGGCACGCGGAGTACAAAAATTTTAGACTGTCTCCTCTCTCCAGTCTTTCTATAGCAGCACACAATTCTATGGCTTTGGAACTTAAAACTCACCGCAGTCCCAGCTTGCCAGGCACTTGATTCCTAGATTAACATTGCTAATTCGTATGTCCAAACACTATTGATCTTGTTCCACGTGTCAGTCAAGGAGACGATTTCGTCTGATGTGAGGAATGTGGGTCCACCAATCTCATCTTAATATTTCACGTTTTAATCCTATTTTATTGATGTTTGACTTGTCATTAAGTCTAATTAAACCAGTAAATCTCTTATATGACCATTAAGATCAACTCAATCCAATCCCCTAAATTGTAATAATAGTGGGTCCTACCCACTCTGTTTAAGCAAGTGACATCACCTGCAAGGATAAAAAGCCTTATCATTGTCAAAGAATAGGGACCAGAGAGTGTTCAATGGAAATAAGCAAGTTCCACAGATTAATTTTGTGGGCCCATAAGATATCTTGTGGGGTCCACATTCCACCTCAAAGCCTGATTTCAACAGCTCAAGTCATCGAAGAAATTCCATAATTGTGACATTTATTTGATGTCATTAAATTCACAAATCAAATCATTATTTTTATATTTTTTAAAATAATTATCAATATATCCTTTTATTAATAAATATTATATAACAACTATTGATAAAGAATGTATTACTAATTTAAAAAAATTAAAATAATAAAATTTTGATTGATGAATTTAACGATATTAATTTTTTATCGTCAGAATATCTCTTCAAAATACTAAATAAATCTTCACTATTTGATTGAATATACAAAACAAACATAATTATTTAAAAAATAATTTATCTAAATAAAATCTTGAATTTAAAATAATTTACTTGAACGGCTAAAATTTATTTCACTCAAAGCATTATTTTTAAATATTTTGACATTTGTCTTTTATGGTGGATATACATAGCTTTAGGTATAGATGGCTAAAATTGTAACAAGGACACTACAATAATAGGTGACATAAGAGAGAGAGAGAGAGAGAGAGAGAGAGAGAGAGAGAGCCTGGGGCTGGGGCTGGGGCTGGGACCGTTCTACATTATGCCTGAAGGCACTAACGTAGTTTACTCATTCTCTATTCATAATTAAAACTAGGGTCAATGCCTAATGATGTGATTTCTCTAAAATAAAGAAATAGCATGCAATGTTTATTTCTATCAAATTCCCTAATGATGTTTATGTTTGGTTTATAATTTTTTCTCAAAGAAAGCAATTTGTTTTTTTTTTCAATGGTAAAAAATCAACATATTCCTTAATCATTTTTTTTTTAATAATTTTAAAAACGGCATCTTCTGCTCTATGTCGATTCAATACATTGAAAAGAAAAACAAATTCTCTTAAATATTAGTACAAAATTTAGATTTGAAATAATTTAAAAACAACATCTCTCCTGTATAAATTTTATGTATTTTAAAAAATAATTTCACACGAATAAGATTCGGAATTTAAAACCACAAAAAGAGACCATTGGACCAACCTTCGAGAACAATTGAGATCTCAAGGAAAGTAATTGGTGTGACTAGTGTTTCACCTCCAGGGTTTTAAAAAGGTGGGGCCCATCATCAAGTTGATGACACGATCATAGCCATCCAATAGATGGGTTGGATGATCACTGCATAAACTTTACAGAACAAACAAATGATTGAGATTATAATGGAAGGTTTCAGCTTTTTGTTAGGGTAGAAACAAAAGCATTAAATAGAGATTAAAGAGGAAGCCGATCACCAATGTGATTCATGCAACCTTGAGTAATAATGATTCATGCAAAAAAATGAAGGGAATGTGCACAAGGAAGCGAGGGGTCCACAAGTGATAATTGATAATGGAAGAACCTAGAAACGAGCGTGGTACAAGGGGAACATGAAGCAGTGTAATTTGCTGGGATGTAAGGGGACATTTGCTTCTGAATCTTCTGATGAGAAGGACCTCCGTTTTGTCTTCTATAGTCTTCCACCATCTCTATTTTATTCTCGCTTTATTCATCCAGTTTATATTCTCTTTGGTCACTGTGAACGGGGGCCGATATTCATTATTCAAGGTTTGCTTTGTGGGCTTTTTCATCAGTAAAAGGAGGGAAAAAAGAGCCCTCTCTTTCCCATGTTTCCTCTCTCTACTGATTTACCTTCCACTTTTGATTTTGGATGGACCATTGTGTGGTATGGTCTAGCGCTAAAAGATGTTGATAAATCAATCCCCTTATCCTCGCACCCTAATGGAAATCATTTGTTTTGTTTCTTCAAGCCTGTAAGGCATGGCTCTGTCAGGCTAGGGCTCGAGGTTAGAATGCCTAGATTTAGAGCCACTTTTTAATGCTTTAATAAGACAACCTGGGCTTTCTTGCTAGTAAGTCGTAATCTTGATGCTTTATTGGTACTCTAGTAAAACAAGAGAGGTTTAGTCTCTCTCTATCTCAAAAAAAAGAAAAAGAAAAGGGATATAATAAAAATCAACATTTCCCAGATCTTTCCTCATAATCAAGGATTACACAACCATTTATGGTCATCTTCCATTGATTGTGAAATGCAAGGAAGGGCGAGATGGCATCGAGGAAAACCATGCTTGCCTTCGTCAGGCCTCCACGATTGGGATTTCTAAGCACATTTAGAGATGCCTCCATGACACTGTTTAGATTAAAGATAAGCTTGTATGTCAGTATTTTTCTTCGGTGAAGAAAGCCTTTAAATCCCAGTAACTACAGTTTTCTTAGTTATAATAATAATATAATAATAATAAAAAGCCCACTTTCTCGTGTAGTTGAAGATCCGATAATCTTACCAATTAACCAAAAAAAAAAAAAAAAAGACGCCTTACAACAAAATCATCCAATAATCAGAATATATATTAAAAATCTCAAGCATTTGGAAAAGATTGAAGTAATTATCTTTTTAAAAAATAACTGGAGATTTTTTTTTATTTCTGATGATGCCACGTAGAATAATGTTATTTTTTTTTAATTTACTTTAATTGTTTTTTATTATGGATGTTGGAATTAGTTTAACAGTCGATGAACACAATTTTTTACCTCATAAAAAATGGTATCAATACATAAAATATTTTTCGTGGATTTAAGATCTTCCATTTTCATTGGGCTAGATCGTTTTTTATGTAACTTCCTTGATTTGAATAGTTACATTTTGAAGTTGTGGCATCGTTTTTTTTTTTTTTTTTTTTTTTTCGGAATTGGGACCTTTTTATATTTTCATATAATCCATATTTTATTATACGATAAACTGATCAAACCTCCTCAAAACTTGAAATTATTTGAAAATTAGTTCTTGTATTTTCAATTTTAGTTTTGATCCTTTTGTATTTTGGTATGTTTGAAACCATGTCCTTCTATTACATTTTTTTGGACCACTTCCCCAGTTTACACATAAAACAAATGAAAATGATTTAAATCCTATCAACTTCAACAACTTTTAACCCAACTTCAATTTTAAAATTTTTGCATAGAATTAATTTTAATTCTATGTCTATGAATTTTGTTTCTTTTTTAAAAAAAAAAGAAAAGAAAAGAAGAGATTTTAAGGCTAAAGGTGTTTTTTCGAAACAAAGATGAAAGGAATCAAAGGATTGCCCGTGCTTTACTGCGATTTATTATTAAAAAAATATTTTTTATTTATCAAAACCAATGGATGTTCTTGTAATTAAAAAGGAACAGAAAAAAATTACAAACTACATGTAATTAAAAATAAATGGATATGAATTTCCAAACAAAAAAATTACACTTAAATAAAATTTATATAAAAAAAGAGAGGTAGATATGCCTATGAATAGAATATAGATATAAATTCTCGTAAAAAAATTGTAGTGAATTGTGTATTAAATGAATTTTTTTCTCAAGTACTTATCTTTTTTCTTAGAATTTTGGATATTTTTGTTAATCTAGTAATGCTATGTAGGATATTATGTCATTTTCTATTTAATTTAATTTATTTTTATTTGGAACGTTCGAATTATTTCTTTATGATGTGAATCTTAAAAGTATTATAGATTGAACTGCGTTTCTATTCTTCTTCTTTTTCAGACTTTTTCGACCTTACTGTGCATATTTAAAATTATATATATATATATTTATAAAAAGGGGGGGGGGGGGGGAATATTTTTTACACGGAAAAAAGAGATAGGAAAAGAAAAGGGTCGGACCATTTGCTCAGGAAAAAAGAAAACGGACCTGTTGGCTGTAGCTTTATTCGGGCTGAGATGTAGCCCATTAATGTCAAAAGGCAACTATTTCGAGCCATTCCAATTTCCAAAAGATCCAAAACATGAAGGCCCAATTAAGGTGGCCCAAGTTCTCTCATCAACGGCTTTAACAAACGGGGAAACCTCAATCCAACAATCTATGCTTTGCTTTCGAAGGTTTTTCTAGGGTTTTGCCGCTTCCAATTAAAACCCTAATCCCAAAATTCCCATACAATTGAATTCCAAATCCAAAAATCGAGCTTTCAACAATGGAGGGATTGAGTAAATCAGTAGCTAATTTCGTGGTTTACGTGCATCCATCGCAGAGCAAGAATGTTGATAAAGCAATCCTCCGTGAACTCAGCTCCTTGCTCTTCAAGTCCGTTCCTTTACCCTTTCACTTTCTATTGAATTTTAGATTAGTGGCTTATTTTTCTCACGCCGGTTTTTTTTTTTTTTAATTGCAGGTATTCTCAAGCTTTTGATGGAGTTGTATTGGCTTATAGTGTTGACCCTCAAGATAAATGTGCGAGAATTCTCTCTGGGATTCACCCTTATTTTGGTGTGAGACTTCAAGCAAACCTGCTAATTTTCTCTCCGAAGCCAGACATGCTTTTAGGTTTTTTTCCCTTCATATTGTTTTACTATCTGTTAATGTTATATTTTGAAAGTTGTTTCCTTTTGTTTTATTAATAATCAGTTAGGCATTTTTAATGTTAAAGTGCATAAATTTTTGTTGTGGTCTGGGTGGAGTTTATTTGAAATCGATGCTGAAGTGTGAGGTTATTGCTTTGCTTTAATGATTTGTTTTATTCTACTGACAGAAGGGAAAGTGGTGAAAATTACACGGGATTCTATTCATTGCATCGTTCTTGGTTTTTCATCTGCAATTATAACAGATGAGAATATCCGCAACGAATTAAAGTATAAAACTGTATGTTCATCGATACTTTGGTGCTTTGAAGTTCGTATCTTTTTCCTCTCTGTAGCTAGAGAGTGGATGTTGTTGGTTTTTCATGTGCTTGATCTGCATTATTTGCTGTAGAAACATGGTGAAGGGGTATATGTTAGTAGATATCACAAGCGACATGCGATAAAGGTTGGAGCTGTGATACGTTTTGCAGTCAAGAGGTGACATTATTGTTTTTATGTTTATATTTTAGAATGGCTTGATCTCTATGAAACACACAGTCCTTTTCCTTCCTGGTGTATTTAATCTGTTATTCTCACAATTGCAGTCTTGCATGCACAAGTATATGCTGCACAAAAACACACGCTTTCAACTGATTTCACTAAGGTTTCTAAAACTGAATTTGGGTGGGCTGGCTTCTAGAAAGATGCATGACCACTCAACTGTCTTTCATTTTAGCTCTAATGCCTAAACAGAAAGATATGTATATGGAACAGAGATCAATCAATCAACTTTTAGTAACATAATTGTTGAGGGGCATATGGAGTGCATCTACTTAATCATTAGAACTTTTATTGTGGACAATTTGACACCCAATTGTTTAGATTTTATTTATTTGGAAGATTCTGTGTGGACACCTTAGATAGTAATACTTGTTGCTCAGTCAGGACCTTGGTTTGTTGCTAGCGAAATTAAAAAACAAAAGAAAGAAAAACTAGAATGTGCAAAGCATTCTCTCTCAACCATCAAACAGTAACATATTACATGCGTGATTTTGCTATATCAAGTTACTTGATCTTCTTTTTTCTTTTCAAGGATTGCAAGAGGTTCACAAAGGACTAAATTAGCTAATTATGAGAATGTGAGTGATGAACAGGCTTACTGTGTAGCTTTTCTTTTTGGTTTCAATTTTAAAAGTTTCATGACAAGACATGCCTGATTTTCTCATGCTTCTAGTCTTATAAACGGACTGAAAATTGTGGAGGCAACATTTGTCACTTTGTTGCTAGTGGATATTTTTAATCCCATCAAGCTTGGATTTTTTTGTTATTCTGGCTGTATGATACAAGTAATTCTTCTTCTGACTTCGATAAACTGTTTGTTTTGGGGTCTCAATCTCGACATACAATTGAATCAAACTTCTCTTTTTTCACAGGGGGCATGTCAAACTCACTGCTGCATGCTCCCCTGTTATGAAACTGGGTTAATTCAGCAATTTTATTGAGACCTATACAGCATAAAGCAGATTTTAGTTGATTTGTATATTATACAGTGCACATCACTTGATAAAAGATCTTTTAAGTGTTTGGATTTGGTTAATTTTTGCAGTATGGATGAGGAAATACTACACATTTCAGGATCCTTGATTCCAGCTAATACTGGAAGTGTCCATTGGTTGGATAAACATCTTGTAGATGCTGCAACCGAGAGGTTTTCAACTGAACTTGCTGCTCCAAACCTTGGGTGAATTTGTTTTCCAGTTTGTGAATTTTAACTTTTGGTTGACTTTGAATCAGTAATAGGAAAGAGACAAAGACCGAGGAAGATGTGGAAATGCAAGGTGGAGAGACATCGTCCTTGGTTAATGACCATGAAATTAAGAAGTCAAAGAAACGTAGAAGAGCAGAAGATCAATGAAGGTTGTTGTTGCTTCGTGGTTGTTTACCATAATCTTTGTTTCTTTTCTTTTATCTCAGCTCTGTTGTATAATTAGTCAAACAGTGTTAATTCTTACTATAATCCACATTTTTTATCTATTTGTCTTTGGGGTTGAATTGTTATGCATCACCTATCTTAACCCCAAGCATTGATTGACATGGATCTCCCAGCAAGGACATTTCTTGGGATGCAATTTTGTTGTAAATACAAACATTATGTTTGAAGTAATTTGAATTTCTGGTGAGATGGCACTAAATTAACTATTCATGATTCATGCATTTGTGCTATGTAGAACTGGAATTTAGATAACAGGACTTTTCATCATTTTACACTGGCTGCTAACGCTATTACATGGAATAAACCCAAAGGTAAATGAACGGGATGAGATGGATATTTCAAGCGTGAAAGATATGGTATAGGCTCTTTTGAGCCGTGTGATCACGCATTGTCCCAAAATGGAAATAATGTAGGTTTGGATTGTGGTGACCGACCTTTACTTGCTGCTGGATTGTCTTCATCAGCCAATCTGGACGATACTCAAAAGGTGTACCTTTGCTGATTCTCCATTATGTTGGATTACAACACTCTGTAAACTACAGCTAGAAGGGCAGGTGTCAAAAACCTAGGCCTCCACACCTGAGATTTCGTCAATCTGATTTCTTAATTAATCACATAAAAGTTGGAGGACATCTAGCGTCAGTTTGCCAATCATTTTTATGAGGATTTGGGTGTGCCAAAAGTACATTCCATTTGCACCATGTACTTATGATTGGCATGGCATCTGCATATTCATTTCGGCTCACGCTATACAGATCTGTATTGGTGGAAGCATGATCGATTTTAGCATCATCATAAGGTACGGGGTTTCTTTCCTTCAACACCCCATATTCGATTATGGACCCATTTGGATAAAAGATCTAAACATCTCATAATTCAGCATATATTAGATAATGTGAACATTGATATATAAATGAGGTATGAGGTGAGAAAAGATTAGTGAGAGAAGATGGGTTTTTTCAGGTTGGTGAATGATTCTCACTTCCATCCAACTTCCATGTGAGAGTTGGATTATTAAAATCAGAAGAATACAGAGACGATCATGACAAACTTTCCCCGTATAATCCGGTCTTGTAACATGCTCTCTTAGCTTACCAAATTTATAAAGTCTATTATCTTTTTTCTTGATGAAAATGTAACCCACTCTTCTTGTGTCACATTTAGCAGCTTAATGCATGTGTATGAGAAAAGGACGTAGTAGTTAACTTCGAACCTTCGTTCGTTTCACATCACCTTATTTGACCCACAACTGACATGCATTTTCCCTTTTGAAATGTTGTAGTTAGTATATATGGTTTTCGAAGATCTTTTATAGATTCGAAGATGGGATTGCTCATTAATTATAATGGAAACGCCGTCTGGTTTTAAAAAAGCATTCCTCCCTTCTCATGCATGTTAAGAACGTGAATTCCATTTTTTTCTCTAGGTAGGAGGAACTAAACGAAGAGGGATTATTTGGTTAGCATATATCTTCAAAGTGTTGAAAAAAAAAAAAAAAAAAAAACCCATAAAAATATAAAAACACTCCTTGGATCTTTAAGGACGAGCTGATATAAATCAAAGTAAAAGCAAAAGACAAGTGTAAATAATCAAGAGAGATCTTACCTATATATACTTATTTTTTTATTCTATTAATCGAGATTTATTAAAATATACGGATATAGATAACTTGTTTAATATTCGAGTATAACATAATTTAATCACGGTATGCTAATAAAAATATTTTTAATTAGAAAATTAACAATAACTTTGAAAGCATTTCTGACTTCTGGAATCAATTGTTAAACATGAATTAATCCACAATGATGATTAAAAATTCTTCAACAACAAAGAAGTTTAAGACCTCATTGCTAAATTGAGCCAATAAGTGAAATGAAAACCTAGCTTGAGTCCATGACTTTCCATTGTATGATCGCGCGATTAAAATATAAGGTTGTAGATTATATTTATATGCATGAGGCATGCTATAGTCTTCTTGGTCAATTTTGATTAATACTCTTAATTTAGTTCATCATCCTATAAAAGTATATAACAGTTAGACTCATAACTATCAACTTCTTATTGCCATCTTAATTCTTGACAATATCAAGAAAGAATACCAATCATTTCAATCATATGAAGTAATTAAAAATTAAAAATGTTAAGGAATGATTAGCACTTAAGATTACTTTGACTTCAACATCCTAACCACTAGCTCAGGCTTGCCGGTTGCACCATACACTCCAGCCTCCACCCATAATCCATTGAAAAAGAGGTCGTTCACGTCTATCATTGTGTTCCCTAATCAAGTCAATTTAGATGGATGACTAAATCTATTAGTAGTAGTAGTTGCTCCTTATATTCATTCTAATCATCATCACTAAGATAAATAATTAATAAATTTAGATTGGAACCAAAAAATTATGAATTTAATATCAATTGACGTGAAAACTAGTTTGAAGATGACACATCCAATATAAATATATGATAATTAAAGTTTAAATATAAATAAAAAATACGGTGGAAAAAATATAAAATTATAATGGTTTTTTCAAAAAAATTAACTACAAAATGGGGAGAAAGGTCGAATTTTTTTTAATAAAAAACTATGAGAGGATATATTGAAACTCACCTATAAAAAGATATGGTGAAAGAAACATAAAAAATGATGATCTTGAGGGACTATTACGAAAACTATTGAGGATGATGGTTTATTTTAATAAAATAAAAAGCTTGATGGTTTTCTTTTAAAAAGTGAACTAAAAATGGTGATAAGAGTTGAATTTCTTCAAACTTTGAAAGGGTGGAAAAGAAAAAAAAAACTAAACTTCCTCTGCCCAAAAAGCCCCCAAAGCATAAAGTAAGTCCACCGTTATATTTTTATTTTAGTGCTAAAGCAGCTAACCAACGGTACACATGCAAGTTTTATAATACACGTAGCAGCTTCTTCATCTTTAATTTTTTTCTTAATGCAATTCTTAGGTCATCTCTAAGAATGTTTGGTTTCTTTCAATAACAAATTTATGACATATATCTTACTTGACGACTGCTTTTATTTTATCAAGTAAAGGAAAAAGATGCCTGGATGTGACGATGAAAGAACACAAAGTTACAACTGTTTGTGGAATTTTGAAGGGCATGGGTGTTATGGGCTCTCAGCGTCGGTACGGATTTATTGGGAATGACCAATGGAAAAATGGCCATAAACAATAGTAAATAGCGTAGTTCATAAACTATGTCGTAGCTGGCTGGTTATTTGCCCTAGATTTAACACCCCCCATGTGGGGATCATAATGTTCAAAAGTGAACCCCCATAATCCATAATATTTTGTCCATCCCTCTCGTATGAGTAAATTATAAATTAGTCCTTCTAATTCAAAAAAATTATTAATCAATTTTTTTATTTTAAAAATTGATTTTTTAGTCTTTTGATCAGTATTAATCATATTTAATTTAATATTATTTTATAAAAAATATTATTTTTCATTAATTTTTTCATACTATCTATTTTTTTTTCTATTTTTTAAAAGAAGACAAATTAAAAAAAAATTAAATGATTAGTTTTTGAAATATGAAAGATTAATTATTTTATTTTTCAAAACTAGAGGGATTAATTTATAATTTTTTCCTCTCATGACCTCGGTGTCAAATGATTAGTAGGTTTGGTGCCAATCAAGTGTGGTGTTTTAGAAGCTTAAGATTATCTATTCACCGTCCAATTTATGGTACGAAAAAGCTGGAACAAGAAGACTTTTGCTTTTATCGTGTGCGTGGACATAATAATAAAAGCAGAAATCCAAGGAAGGAATATTAATTTAAACCCATGTAAGTGTTGGGTTTCGTTGCGTAAGGTTAGGTTTCTTTTGTGGAAATTCTCTTATTTTTTGAACTTTGGTCTGTATAATAATATTAAGTGTATGTGCTAGTGCACTTCTATCTGTACTGTCTTGTCCATTGGTTGCATAGGAGTGACATTATCCCACTAATGTGGTAGGTTACAAGTTGTGCAAATGATGTTGCTTAGCAGCGATGGTGCAGGAGAAATTATAAAGGGTACTGGCAACCATTGATGCTTGAGGTGCTTACTCTCTTAGTCCTATACCATATGCTAGCTAGCTAGCAAATTAAGCTGGACTAGCTTCAATCAATGCTTGAGATTAGGTTGTGTATGGTGCAGTCAATTCTTCGATCTAGTAATGTATCCATCTAGTAACCTAAGGAATAAGGAATATGATATGGAGAATGCAATCAATGCCTCAGTCTCATGCCCCCCTAGGAATTGGAGATATTAGAGATGCAACTATGTTTGGTAATTTGATTTATCAAAATCTTTTTTAAAAGAATTTTTCAATTGAAAACGAGAGAAAAGTTGTTTTGGTGATAAGTTTTGATTTTTTTATGTGTTTTAGTGTCCGAGATGAGGTCTAATTTTGTTGACATGTCCGACAAGATTTTTCACGTGGTAATTAAAAAAAAAAATATCACATGACAATCAACTCTACCACGTCGGCATCTTATACTCTTAGATAACTATGGACAATCAAATAGAAAAAATAAAAAATAAAAAATTAAGCATCAAAACAAAAAAATAAAAATAAAAATTGGATACCTAAATAGAAAAAAATATTAATGGTCGGATAACAAAAAATATAGTTTTCTCAAAAACTTTATTTCATTTCTCTCACACTAAATGTCTATCATCTTCTTATTCTCTCGATATATATATTTTTTATTATTATAAATAAATTTCATGTGTGTGTGTGTGTGTGTATATTTCAAAACTTTCTTTTTGATATTGAAAGTCATATAATTTTAAATTCTATAAACGTCAACAATTACATGCATGCATATTTTCTTGTTATTATGCTAATTGCATAAGCAATTTTAACAATGCATTTAGTTTTTAGCTTAATTCATAGTTTACTTATTATCATTATCGTCATCGTTACAAAAAATATTGCATTTTAAATGTCAAATAAAAAAATTTGATCATTAAACTTATTTATGTTAATTGTATCCCATTTCAGCTTATTATAAGAAGTTTAGCAAGTTATTGGCTACATCAAGTTTATGTCACCTATGATATGTTGGTCAATTTTCTAAAAGGAAGTAATTTTTATTTTTTATAATTTTCTTCATTAACCAACCATTTGTTCCGCAAATGGCAATCATAATTGGATCTTATATATTTTTTTTAATTAAATCTTAATTGGACCTTGTATATATTTGAATTAAATGTTATAATTTTAAATTTGTTTAGACGTGTAAAAAGGTTTAAAATTTTTTAAAAATAATTTTTAACCGATATAGAGTATTAAAAATTATAATTGATAAGTAAAAAAATACCATGAGCATGATATGAAAAATATTTATTAGAAATTGTTGGACTAATTTCGCAATCAAGAGACAATAAATTTCTTTAAAAAACTAAAATTTTGGTACCCAATCTTTAATTTTTTTTTCTCGTTTCAATGCCTAATTTTTTTATTTTTTTCTATTTGAGTGCCTATAGCTATCCGAGAGTATGAGATGCCGACGTGACAAGGTTGATCGCCACATGTCAAGATTGAATACCATGTGGTTTTTTTTACTATCATATGGTAAATCTCGCCAAACACATTAACAAAATTAGATTTTATTTAAACTCAAGCATCAAAACAAACAAAAAATCAAAGTTTGGATAGAAAATCATGAGAAATCAATGGTTGGGCACCAAAACAGAAAAAAAAAATAAATCAATGGTTGGCCTAACAAGAACCCTACATAAAAGCCATTCTTAACCAAACAAAATGTGATGGCGTTTGCAGTAAAAAACTCTAAAAGCTATTACTATCCTTTACTCGAAACAACCCTTAACTTGTATTTTCTTAGATTAGTTGTAATGGTGGCAATGTAAGCTTTTGGAGATGTTGAACTTGTGTATTTGACAATACAAGTACATACTTTTTTGCAAAAGCGTTTTTCGGATAAAAAGACATCAATTTATTTATTTATTATTATTATTATGGATTTGAAATCTTCATATCACAATTATCCAAAACATCAAAAAAAAAAAAAGAACATAACTCATTTAAAAAGATATTATAATCACATTAATACTAAATCTAGCAAATACTATGACATCTTGCAATAATTTTTGTTGTTTATAAACTTATAAGCAAAACCCTTCTCGTCTACACAATATGGTCCATGTTAATTAGACCTATAGATATGTCTTAATGGCATTTATTATCTTAAATTGCTAGTTACATTCTTTTTGTTTAACCTCATTTCTAGTTTTCCAGTGCTGCTCCGGCATGGTTGGTTTGACTCTTTTTTTAATCGAAGTTTCTCTCTTGGGAGAAAGTAGGCAATGATGGAGGGGTTTCAAAGTGAATGCAATGTAGAGAATTGCTCGAAAACAAAGTTAAGAACGACCAGCTACTTAACTAGTCGGTATTTTTTTAAATGATTATCACCAAATTTCCAAGTTTTTTGGTACAAGATTACATTGTTATGTCTTAAATCAGCTTGAAACCTAGAAATGTCTTATAAGTTTCAAAATTGTAAGATCTTTGATCTTTATATTCTCCCTTTCCATTTTATCTTTGTGTAACAAAATGATTAAAAGAAGGAAACTTACTCACATGTGAAAACCGAGACCTAAAAATTTTCAAAAAATATCATCATAAAGTTATGTTAGTCGTATATATGTCAAAATTTACAAATTAATAGCTAATAATGTTGCAACAGGTCAATAACATATTGTTATCGTCATTTATATAATTGTGATGTGTCTAAAGTCTCAATGTTTAGAAATATGAATTTCTTTTGTTTTGTTAACATGTTGATTCATTGTTAGCACTATTCTTATTTTAATTTATCAACCTAGCCATATGGTAATACAAGTGAAGGAAGGATTTATTACAATTCAGATTGGGATTTGTCCATATATGATTCTTATATTCTTCAAATTATTTTGATTGAGATCTTATACTCGTTTTTTAGATTGATTGATTCTCACCACTTTTTATTTTATTTTGTTTTAGTTCTTTCATTATAATATCATTAGTTCATGACCTAACATGACACGTTCATTTTTATTTTTCATTTAGAGCTTGCAATAGACATGTTCATTTTTATTTTTCATTTAGAGCTTGCAATGACTTAGCAACCTCTCGGTTGTTATAGTTGATCAAAAGATAACTAATTTGAATTATTATGGTTGTCTCTTGTTAAAGTCACTAGTATGATGGCTTTCAATAATGCAGTTAGCATTGACAAAAAAGATAGGTTCTCAACAAAGATGTCCAAATATCCATATTTATTGGAAATATACAAAAATGCTAGCAATCATTCTAATTTTGGAATTAACGTACCCGATGTATGTCGATCGTGAGTAAATTTCTCTTCTTATTAAGATACTAGTATTATGATTATTTTAAATGTAGCTAGTATTGAAAAAGAAGATAAATTCTTAATCGAGATGGTTAAATATCTATTTTTGCCCAAAGAATATAAAGACGCTAGCAATTACTTTAATTGTAAAATTAAGTTTTTTGATAAATACAAATTGTGGGTAATTTTTCTGGATGCATATTGTATAAAGATGAGAAAGACTCATTTTTTAATTATAGTATCATATTGTTACTCGATGGCATTTATCATTTTAGATTATGTGTATTTGAGATTGAATATTTTTTATTTCATATTATGTTGTACAATGTTTGATTTTTTATTTTGAGTATTTATATCTTTTATTATTTGATAAATGTTCATATACATGTGTCATCTTATGAGATTTATACAAATGTACCTCAATTTTATCCCAATTTGAATCTTCAAAAAGTATGAATTAGACATCGAAATCTTATTATTATAATTAAAGATCAAATTGGCATTGATAAATTTCATCTTTATTTATTTATATGTTTTTATATCTACTTATTATTTTCTTAATTAACTATTTTATAAATGGATAGGTTTTAGTTTTGTTTGAGATAAAATATGTGACCATTTTTTGTTTTTTCACAGTCTAACGTTCCCGAAGCTTTAACTTCATGTATGCAGATTTTGATCTTCTTACAAAACAACAAACATGTAATATTTTATCTAAAGAGATCATTAATTGTTGTGAGGATTTTTATATTAAAATAAGATTTATATGATTAAAAGTCATCTTATGGTTATATCGACATAAATAGTATTACTTTAGAGGCTAATTATCCTTAGAATACATAATATAGTTCATGTTTTATTAATGATTCCAATTTGAAAGAATAATTTGTGTTTCATTGTTATTGATTCGCTTTTATTAAATGTTAATACATATATTTTTTTATTCTAACAAATAAAAATTCTACATGGATGGTTATGCTACCATGCTAGCACAGAGTGAAAAATGGATAAAACTTGCGTTAGCTTAACACCTCGTGGTCGTTAAACTAAGATTGATCAAAAGATAATTAACTTAATTTGTTTATAGATGTCTCTTAGTAAAGACACTAATGTGGTATCTTTCAACAATGCAGCTAACATTAACAATGAAGATAAGTTCTCAAACAAGATTTCTAAATATCATCATTTGTTTAAAGCGTGCAAAGCAATCGCTTAAATTCCGGAATTAACCTATTTGATTAATGTAGGTCATGAGTAAATTTCCTCTCTTGTTAAAGACACTAGTATTATCGTTTTTAATGATGTAACCGGTATTGACAAAAAAGATAGTTTCTCAACCAAAATGCCTAAATATGCACCTTTGCCTAAAGCATCAAAAGATGATAACGATCACTTTAATTCTAGAATTAAATTTCTAATGAATTCAAATTGTAGGTAAATTTTCTAAATATCAATGATATAAAGATGAGAGAGTGTTTTTTTTTTTTTTTTAATTATTGTGTGATATTGTTCTTTTTCATCTTTTAAATTCTCATGTGATATTTGTTTCTAATAACATCTCTCCTTTTAGATTATGAGTATATGAGATTGAACTTTTTTTTTTTTTTTGATATTATGTTGTATAATGTTTGATTTTTTATTTCGATTAGTTATATAATTTATTATTTGATAAATTTTCATATACAAGTGCCATCTTGTAAAGTTTATATAAGTGGACCTTTATTTTATCCCAATTTGAATTCTTCTTCAAAAAGTATGGATTAGACATCCAAATAATATTACGAAGTTGGCACGGTTAAGTTTTATCTTTATTTTATTCATGCGTTTTTATATCTACTTATTTTTATTGTCAATTAACTATTTTGTAAATCAATGGGTTCAAGTTTTATTTGAGATAAAATATGTAATCACTTTTTGTTTTGTCACTCTTATGTTACTCAAGCTTTAACTTAATGTATAAAATTTTAGATCTTCTTACAAATCGATGAAAAAGTAATATTGTAAGCCAAACAAATCATAGATTTCTATGAAGATTTTAGTATTAAAACTAGATTTATATAATTAGAAGTCGATCTATGATTATAATGCCAGGAATGGTGCTACTTTAGAGGCTAATTATCTTTAGACTACACAATATCGTTCATGTCTTGTTGATGAATCTAATTTGAATGTATAATTATTTTTATTCTTACTAGTATTTCATTTCGCTTTTATTGAGTATTAATCCATATTTTATTTGATTCTAAAAAAAAAAAATTCTGCATCGACGGTTATGCTTCCATACTAGCATAGAATAAAAAATAGATAGAGTTTGCAATAGCTCAAGCAACTCCGTGGTTATTGAGCTATGATTGACCAAAAGATAACTCCGTTCAATTCTTTATGACTATCTCTTTTTAAAAACACCAGCTTGGTGGCTTCCAATGATGTAGCTAGCATTGACAAAGAAGACATGTTTTTAACCAAGATATTCGAATATCAACATTTTCCTAAAGCATGCAAAAACGTTATTAGTCGCTTTAATTATGAAATTAACCCTACTCGATAGATGTAGGTCATGAGTAAATTTCCTATATTGTTAAAGACATCACTATTATGGCTTCTAACAATGCAATCGATATTGACAAAAAAGACAAGTTCTCAACCAAGTATGCCTAAATATCCATCTTTGCTAGCAGCATGCAAAGACGCTAGCAATGGCTTTAATTCTGGAATTAATCTTCTTGATAAATGCGATTGTGGATAAATTTTTTAAATACCAATCTATCATTTTAGATTATGAGTATATACGATTGAATATTTTTTGTTTGATACTATGTTGTACAATGTTTGATTTTTTATTTGATAAATTTTTATATACGAGTACCATCTTGTAAAGTTTATATAAGTGGACCCCTATTTTATCCCAAATTGAATTCTTCTTCAAAAAGTATGGATTAGACATCCAAATACTATTATGAAAATTAAAAATTAAATTAGCACCATTAAGTTTTATCTTTATTTTATTCATGTGTTTTTGTATCTACTTATTTTTATTATCAATTAACTATTTTGTAAATCAATGGATTCAAGCTTTGTTTGAGATAAAATATGCAATTATTTTTTGCTTTGTCACTCCTATGTTATTTAAGCTTTAACTTCATGTATAAAATTTTTTATCTTCTTACAAAATGGTGAAAGGATAATATTCTTAGCTAAAGAAATCATAGATTACTATGAAGATTTTAATATTAAAACAAGATTTATATAATTAGAAGTTAGTCCGTGATTATATTGGCAAAAACGGTGTTACTTTAGAGATCGATTATCTTTAGATTACATGATATCATTCATGCTTTGTTAATGAATCTAATTTGAATGTATAATTATTTTAATTCTTACTAGTATGTCATTCTTATCAATTCACTTTTATCGAATTTTAATCCATATTTAATTTGATTCTAACAAAAAAAAAAAACTACATCGACAATTATGCTTCCATATTAGTGTAGAATGAAAAAATAAATGGAGTTTGCAATAGCTCAGCAACTTATGGCTCTTGAGCTATGGTTGATCAAAAGATAACTCCATTCAATTCTTTATGACTATCTCTTGTTAAAAACATTAGTTTGGTGGCTTCCAATGATGTAGCCAGCATTGACAAGGAAGGTATGTTTTTAACCAAGATGTTCAAATATCAACATTTTCCTAAAGCATTCAAGAAACGTTAGCAGATGCTTTAATTCCGGAATTAACCCTACTTTATAGATGTAGGTCGTGAGTAAATTTCTTATATTGTTAAAGACAACACTATTATGGCTTCTAACGATGTAGTTAGCATTGATAAAAAAGACAAGTTCTCAACCAAGATGCCCAAATATCTATTTTTGCTTACAATATGCAAAGAAACTAGCAATTGCTTTAATTCTAGAATTAACCTTCTTGATAAATGCAGATTGTGGATAATTTTTTTAAATACCAATCTATCATTTTAGATTATGAGTATATGAGATTGAACATTTTTTGTTTGATATTATGTTGTATAATGTTTGATTTTTTTTTATTTTGATTAGTTATATATTTTATTATTTGATAAATTTTCATAAACAAGTGTCATCTTATAAAGTCTATATAAGTGGACCTCTGTTTTATCCCAATTTGAAATCCACTTCAAAGAGTATGGATTAGACATCCAAACAATATTATGAAAATTAAAAATCAAATTGGCACCACTAAGTTTTATCTTTATTTTATTCATGTGTTTTTATATCTACTTATTTTTGTTATCAATTAACTAATTTGTAAATCATTGGGTTTGGGTTTTATTTGAGATAAAATATGTAATCATGTTTTGTTTTGTCACTCTTATGTTACTGAAGCTTTAACTTCATGTAAAAAAAATTTTTATCTTCTTACAAAATGATAAAAAGCTAATATTGTTAGCCAAAGAAATTATAGATTGTTGTGAAGATTTTGATATTAAAATAAGATTTATATAATTAGAAGTCGAGTCTATGATTATATTGGTAGAAATGGTCTTACTTTAGAGGTTGATTATCCTTTAGACTACACAATATCGTTCACGTCTTGTTGATGAATCCAATTTGAATGTATAATTATTTTTATTCTTACTAGTATTTCATTCTTATTAGTTCACTTTTATTGAATATTAATCCCTATTTTATTTTATTCTAACAAAAAAAAAACTCTACATCGACAGTTATGCTTCCGTACTAGTATAGAATGAAAAATAAATGTAGTTTGCAATAGCTTAGCAATCTGTGGCTATTGAGTTATGGCTGATCAAAAGATAACTCCCTTCAATTATTTATGATTATCTCTTGTTAAAAACACCAATTTGGTGGCTTCCAATGATGTAGCTAGTTTTGACAAGGAAGACATGTTTTTAACCAAGATGTTCAAATATCAACATTTTCCTAAAGCATGCAAAAAAATTAGTAGTCACTTTAATTCTAGAATGAACCCTACATGATAGGTGTAGGTCGTGAGTAAATTTCTTATATTGTTAAAGACAAGATTATTATGGCTTCTAACGATGCGGTTAGTATTGACAAAAAAGACAAGTTCTCAACCAAGATGCCTAAATATCCATTTTTGCTTGTAGTATGCAAAATACACTAGCAATCGCTTTAATTGTAGAGTTAACCTTCTTGATAAATGCAGATTATGGATAAAAATTTTAAATACCAATCGTATAAAGGTGAGAATGAGTCTCATTTTCCAATTGTCATGTGATATTGTTCCTTTTCATTTTTTAAATTATCGTGTGACATTGTTTGTCGATGGTTCTTATTATTTTAAATTATGAGTATTTTAGATTATATTTTTTGTTCATATTATGTTGTACAATGTTTGATTTTTAATTTTGAGTATTTATATCTTTTATTATTTGATATATTTTTATATACATGTGTCATCTTGTAAGGTTTATACAAGTGGAATTCTATTTTACCTTTGAATCCTTCTATAAAAAATGTGGATTGGACGTCAAAATACTATTATGAAAATTAAAAATTAAATTGGCACCAATAATTTTTATATTTATTTTATTCATATCTTTTTGTATCTATTGTTTTTTTAGTTAACTATTTTATAAATCGATGTGTTCGAGTTCCGTTTGATGTAAACTACATGCCCCATTGTTGTTTTCTTATACTCTTATGTTGTTAAAACTTTAACTTTGTGTGTGAAAATTTTGATCTTTTTTACAAAATGGTGAAAAGATAGTATTGTTATCCAAAAAGATCATAGATTACTTGTGAGGATTTTGATATTAAAAATCTTTTTTAGTTAACTATTTTATAAATCAATTTGTTTGAGTTCTATTTGATGTAAACTATATGCCCCATTTTTGTTTTCTTATACTCTTATGTTGTTAAAACTTTAACTTCATGTATGAAAATTTTGATCTTTTTTACAAAACAATGAAAAGATATTATTGTTATCCAAAAAGATCATAGATTATTATGAGGATTTTGATATTAAAAATCTTTCTTGAGATGATACATGTCATCCATAGAGATTTCTAATGCAAAAAATCAACATGTTTCACGTTATCTAAAAGATACAACAAGCCAAGTCTGTCTTGTCATGTTTAATAAGTTTGAATTACTTGTAAGACTTAAAACCAAAAAAAATATAGTACCATTCTTATCTAAATTTGTAATAAAAAGAATATGACTTTTTAGTTAAATAATAAAAAAGAAAAAAATAGATAAATTTTTTAAACTGATGTATATGATATTTTTTATAATTATGAAAAATAGACATTTCAAAACTTTTTTTTGACAATTTCGACTATTCTGAAAAAAATAATTATTTTTTACTATTATGAAAAATGATCATTTTTTACCACTTGGACAGAAATGATTTAAGAAAATTTTTTAAATATAATTTAAAAATTTCACTATTTTTTAATCTACATGTGGGAAACTTAATGTTCAAAAGTGAACCCCCACAATCCATAATATTGTGTCCATCCCTCTCATGTGAGTAAATTATAAATTAGTTCCTCTAATTTTAAGAAACAAATTAATATGATGTTTCTAGAGTCTCAATATTTGGAAATATGAATGAGTTTCTTTCGTTCTATTAACATTTTTATTCATTGTTAGCACTGTTTTTATTTTAATTCATTAACTTAGCCATGTGGTAATAAATGTGAAGGAAGGACCTATTGCAATTCGGATTAGGATTTGCCCATATATGATTGTTGTATTCTTTAAATTATTCTGATTGGGATCTTATAATTTTATTTTTATTTTTTTGTTGATTGAATCTCTCTACTTTTTATTTTATTTTATTTTTTTCTTTAATTATAATGTCATTAGTTCATGAGCTAACGTGACATGTTTATTTTTGTTTTTCATTTAGAGCTTACAATAGCTCAATAACCTCTAACTCGTTATAGTTGACCAAAATATAACTAACTTGAATTATTATGGTTGTCTCATGTTAAAGTCACTAGTATGGTGGCTTCCAATAATACAGACTAGCATTCACAAGAAAGATAGGTTCTCAAGCAAAATCACTAATCATTGCTCTAATTCCGGAATTTTAGTACTCGATGTATGTAGGTCATGAGTAAATTGATTTTCTTGTTAAGACACCAGTATTATGATTTTTTAAAATGTAGCTAGTATGGACAAAGAAGATATATAGATTCTCAATCAAGATGCTCAAATATCAACTTTTGTCGAAGAATACAAAGGCGCTAGCAATTACTTTAATTCCGAAATTAAGTTTTGTGATGAATATGGATCGTGGGTAATTTTTATGAATACATATTGTATAAAGATAAGAGAGATCCTCATTTTTTTTAATTATCGTACGATATTGTTCCCTAATGGCATTTTTCATTTTAGATTATGAGTATTTGAGATCAAATATTTTATAAATCAACATTGTACAACATAATATCAAACAAAAAATGTTCAATCCTATATACTCATAATCTAAAATGATAAATGTCATTAGAAAAAAAATATCACATAAGAATTTAAAAGATGAAAAGGGACAATATCACATGATAATTAAAAAATTAGGATCTCTTTCACCTTTATATGATTGATATTTAGAAAATTTACCCACGATTTCCATTCATTAGGAAATTTAATTCTAGAACCAAAATGATTGCTATCATCTTTGCATGCTTCAAGCAAAGGTGGATATTTAGGCATTTTGATTGAGAAACTATCTTTCTTGTCAATGCTAGTTACATTATTAAAAGCCATAATACTAGTGTCCTTAATAAAAGAGGAAATTTACTCATGACCTATATTCATCGGATAGGTTAATTCCATAATTAAAGCAACTACTAGTGTCTTTGCATGCTTCATGAAAATGTTGATATATGGAAATCTTGGTTGAGAACCTATATTCATTGTCAATGTTATCTCGTGTCATTGAAAGATACCACATTAGTGTTTTTAGCAAGAGACATCGATAAAAAAATTTAAGGTAATTATTGTTTGATAAATCTTAGTTTAATAACCACAAGTTGTTGAGCTAGTACAAATTCTATCCATTTTTCACATTGTGCTATTATGGTAGCATAACCATCCATGTAGAATTTTTATCCATTAGAGTAAAAAAATACATGTATTAACATTTAATAAAAGCGAATCAATAACAATGAAAAACAAGTTATTCTTTCAAATTGGAATCATTAGCAAAACATGAACTATATCATGCAGTCTAAGAGTAATTAGCCTTTGAAGTAATACCATTTCTATCAATATAATCATAAGTCGACTTTCAATCATATAAATCTTATTTTAATATCAAAATCCTCACAATAATTTATGATCTTTTTGGCTAAAATACTACCTTTTTACCGTTTTGTAAGAAGATCAAAATCTTCATACACGAAGTTAAAGCTTCAACAACATTAGACTATGAAAAAAAAATGGTCACATATTTTATCTAAAAAAAACCCTAACCTATCCATTTATAAAATAGTTATTTGAGAGGATAAAAATTAGATATAAAAAAATATAAATAAAATAAAGATAAAATTTATCGGTGCCAATTTGATTTTTTAATTATAATAACAGGGTTTCGACGTCTAATTTATCCTTCTTGAAGAGGGATTCAAATTGGGATAAAATTGACGTCTATTTATATAAACCTCATAAGACGACATATGCAAAATTTATCGGATAATAAAAGATATAAATACTCAAAATCAAAAATCAAACATTATAAAACATAATTTCAAATTTATATATTGTATTATTTGATAAACTTTCATATACAAGTTCCATCTTATAAAGTTATATAAGTGGACCTCTATTTTATCCCAATTTGAATTCTACTTCAAAAATTATGGATTAGACATCCAAAAAATATTAAGAAAATTAAAAATCAAATTGGCACCATTAAGTTTTATATGTATTTTATTCATATGTTTTTATAGCTATTTGTTTTTATTGTCAATTAACTATTTTGTAAATCAATGGGTTCGGGTTTTTTTTGAGATAAAATATGTAATCATTTTTTATTTGGTCACTCTTATGTTGCTCAAACTTTAACTTTGTGTCTAAAAATTTTGATCTTTTTACAAAACAATGAAAAGGTAATATTCTTAGCTAAAGAAATCATAGATTACTATGAAGATTTTGATATTAGAACAAGATTTATATGATTAGAAGTCAACTTATGATTATATTTGTAGAAATAGTTTTACTTTAGAGGCTAATTATTTTTAGAATACACAATATAGTTCATGTCTTGTTGATGAATCCAATTTGAATGTATAATCATATTTATTCTTACTAGTATTTCGTTCTTATCAATTCACTTTTATTGAATATTAATCCACGTTTTATTTGATTCTATCGGACAAAATTCTACATCTATGGTTGTGCTTCCATACTAGTATAGAATGAAAAATAAATGGAGTTTGCAATAGCTCGATAACTTGTGGTCGAGAAAGAGTTTACCTTCTTGATAAATGCGGATCTTGAATAAATTTTTTAAATACCGATCATATAAAGGTGAGAAAGAGTCTTATTTTCCAATAGTCATGTGATATTGTTCCTTATCATCTTTTAAATTGTTGTGTGATATTGTTCATCGATGGTATTTTTTATTTTAAATTATGAGTATTTGAGATTGAATATTTTTTGTTTCATGTTATGTTGTACAATGTTTGATTTTTAATTTTGAGTATTTATATCTTTTATTATTTGATAAATTTTTATATACATGTGTTATCATGTAGGGTTTATAAAAGTGGAATTCTATTTTATCCCAATTTGAATCCTTCTCCAAACAAATGTGGATTGGACGTGGAAATACTATTATGAAAATTAAAAATTAAATTGGCACCGGTAAGTGTTATATTTATTTAATTCATATGTTTTTGTATCTATTGTTTTTTTTTTAGTTAACTATTTTGTAAATGGAAGGGTTCGCATTCTATTTGAGGTAAACAATATGCTCCATTTTTGTTTTCTTATGCTCTTCTCGTTGAAACTTTAACTTTGTGTATGAAAATTTTGATTTTTTTATAAAACGATGAAAAGATAGTATTTTTTGCCAAAAAGATCATTGATTGTTGGAAGAATTTTGATATTAAAAGTCTTTCTTGAGATGATACGTGTCATTTACAGAGATTTTCAATGCAACAAATCAACGTGTTTCACGTTGTCCGAGAGATACAATAAGCCGAGTTATCTTGTCATGTCTAACAAGTTTGAACTACTTGTAAAACTTAAAACTAAAAAAATATAGTACCATTTTTATCTAAATTTGTAATAAAAAGAATATGACTTTTTAGTGGAAAAAAAATAGCTATTTTTTATTTTTAAATAATGTATGTAATATGTTTTTATCGTTATGAAAAATAAACATTTAAAAAAAAATCGACAATTTTTGGCTATTATAAAAAATAAATTTTTTTATTAGTATGAAAAATATTCATTTTTGACCACTTGGAAAGATATGATTGAAGAAATTTTTTTAATATAATTTAAAATTTTCAGTATTTTTTAATCCACATGAGGAACTTAATGTTCAAAAGTGAATCCCCCACAATTCATAATATTGTGTCCATCCCTCTTGTATGAGTAAATTATAAATTACTCCCTCTAATTTTAAGAAACAAATTAATCAATTCTTTAATCTTTTAATCACTATTGATCTTTTTTAATTTAATATTATTTTATAAAAAATATTTTTTTCCCATATCAATCTTTCCATACTATCTATTTTATTTTTCATTTTTTAAAACAAATTAAAAAAACACAAAATGAATGAAAAGAATAAAACAATTAGTTTCTAAAACATGAAAGATTAATTATTTTATTTCTCAAACTCAGAGGTACTCGTTTATAATTTTCTCCTCTCATATATCGGTATGAAGTGATCAGTAGGTTTTGTGCCGATCAGGAGTGGTGTTTTTGAAGTTTTAAAATTATGCAAGTATAGTGTCAATTTTGACCAATACTGAACTCTTATTTGAGTAGTACTTCATAGTATTGATGAATCCACAGCATATGCACCTTTCTCCACTTAATTGGACATGCAATGCCCATCTAGATATTTTTGACTTTTTCCTCTTGCAATCTATGCATCATCAATGGCGCCAATGGCCAATCTGATGAGCTGGTGGCTTAAGTGTTATTTAAATTTGGATGGATAGTACTATTGGTTCACAAATTTGTTTTATATATATGTGGTTGTTGTTGTGACAGTGATAGGACGGTGTGGTTCAATTTAGATTTTCCTGCAAATATAACCGCAAATGTGGTGAATAAATTAAACATAATGAAAAAAAAAAAAGAGTCAGAATGACCAAGTCAATCATAGAGATACTTCGGGGATTCAATTGAGAAATCGTTTTCTTTAGGAACTGATCAATTTGAGACGTGGGAATTTTTTGGAGGACTAATTTGCTATTTACTGAAAAAAATAACATTTGTCTTTTGTCTTTTTAATTTTCATTCGAAATGATAACGACTGCTAAAACAATCGTGAACTAAGATTGAGACAATGCAGGGTCATTTTCGTTCGTAATGGGATTGATTGCCAATATATTTCATGCTTAGTCGATGGTATTAATTTCCTCCCAAAAAAAAAAAAAAAAAAAAAGTTTATTTTGAAGGTCAACTGCATGCCCGTTGGCTTTTTATGCCAACAAGATACAGCAGCTGCAGGAGGGAAGAACACACCTACCAATTAGCATTTTATTTGTTCATTAATATGAAAAAATTATTTTTTTAAAATCAATTTTTACATCATTGTGCCAAGTCAAATCAGTCTAAATCTAATACTATGAAAAAATAATTATAACTAATTAAATCTATTACTATTGAAGAATAACTATAACTGATTATTTATAGATAATAAAAATTAAATTTTAATCCTACTTAAATTAAAATAATTTTTTTATTGTTAAATCATAATGATTGTTTGTCTTTATGGACATATAACTGTGGAAGGAATTTATAGTACTTATCGATTGCTATATTACTTGCTAATTAATATGAAAAAATTATTTTGCTAAAATGCTTATATGGATTTTTGACTGTTTGTCTTCCAATGGACATTGAAATTCGGAAGGGATTTATCGTACTCATCCAAAAAATAACAATATACACGTTACTTCATAAGTACATGCAGACAGGCCAGGATAATAACCTAACAGTTAATTAATTGAAAAAGGTCGGGTAATTTTGAGACCGGGACACAGACATAATCCACTATAATTTGCCATTTGTCATTTTCTTGGTAGACTTAGCCTGCAGAAACGACTCCCATGATGCCTGATCATCAGTAGATTACTTAACGAACACGAGGAGGTCGGGTAAATTCGAAACCAGATCATAAACTAATTTTGGACTGTAGTTTAGTTTTAATCATAGACTAGCAATAAAATTTATGCGCATGCGTGGATTCAATCTTCTTTCTGACAATATGATGGATTGTGAAAATAAATATACTGAGTAACCTTAAATTTGAAGTTTCAGTTTATTCAAGAGCATCAAACCATATCCATTGTCGGTCATTTCTATACTTAGTTTGTCACATTAGCCTGTAATTTGTCTGAAGACTGAACTGAAAGACAACCTCCCGTTTGCATTATCTCAATGGTGATCTGTACTTAACATAACAAGATGAAAAGAAACAAAGACAGAAACAAATTAACCTAAAAACCTCAACCGCTACGTGTCACTCTCCCAAGATCATTTTATATCTGCCAAAAGTTGATGAATTATAAAATAAAATGCAAAGCATAAACCGTGATAAAGTAGCTACTCTCAATTAAAGTAATATAGGTATTAAAGTGCCTCCAATCTGGCTTAGCATGTGCCAGCTTGATAAATGGCATAAAATTAACAACCTAGCTACAAGCAAAATGGTCAGCTTAAACACAACTTAATTATTACTAAATGCTAAATAGATCAAATCTCTCTTAAAGTTTAATCTATTTGAAAATCAATATCTTAATTTCTAATATCAAATTTAACCTCTCATAAACATTATTTATTTTGAAAAAAAATTAGTCTACTCTTTATTTTTTTAATATATAAAAAATAGTGATTATATAAATATCTTTATGATAGAAATCATTCAATAAGATTTATATAGAGTTTTTTTTTAAAAAAAAATTAGGATTATTCCTGGTTATTCTTTATTTTTCTGATTTTTTTATATTTTTAATGTTTAATAAATAAATAAATATACTTTTCAATCTTGAAAAATTCTAGAATTATTTTTAAAAATAAATTAGATTTTTTGTAAGATGTTTGCAAAATTTCAGATCAAAATTTAGAAAAGTGGGTGAATTCTGAAAATCATAGAATATACTAAATCTAAATAAAATAAAAATTAAAAGAGATCAAATTTGAAATTAAAAATTTAAAGATTTTGACTAAACTTTATAAGCGATTTGACCTATTTAGCCTTACTAGAATTTTAAAATTAGGTTAACAGATAAAAAAGGTGATTTAACGAGCTAGATTCCCAAAACAAAGGACAAACATCTGTACAAACTAATACTAGTTAGTAATAATAACAAAAGTTTTCTGTTATAACTAATTAAACTATGGCAAACACACGTCCTCTTTCCACCTACCAAAAATAATTAACAACCTTTTCATTCTTGTCTTTGAAATCCTTTTACTAGTTTGTGGTCTCCCTTGTTATCCCCCAATATTACCGCAAGAGAATTAGAGAAATCAAGCTGCTGTTTGACTCTATATGTTCATGCAGCCAATTGCAAACGACAACTGTAGCCAACACGCGTATTCTATGAGGAGATATTTTATAAAATTATCCACATTCATGTTAGAAATATTTTAATACCACTATCCAATTGCTTAAAATAACTTACATTTCACGCATCAAGAAAGAAAAATGTTCCCACATTTATGACTTTCTGAATGTTTGACATTTGTTCTTGAATCTTTGTAAAAAAAAAATCTCTAAGTCTAAATGCTATATAAATACGTTTCAAACATTAAGATTTCGATTTCGACTTTAAATTAAAAAAATAGAGAAAATGTATTTTTATGAATAATTAAATTTAATTTGTCTAGGTGAAAAATACGTCTACCTTGAAATGAAAAAGAAATACTCCATGCCAAAGTTGATGTGAGATCGTATTATATATAAAAAAACAAACCTTTTACTATTCACTTTTAATTTTTCAAAATAAAACCAGCCCGTACGAGAAGGAGACGACGAGCATAGGGTCCGTGAGGCCCGTGACGCGGTCTAGTACAACTAAGCTGCTACGAACCTAGACGCCTTCCTAAAAAGTACTGTCCTCACTCCACCATTTTTCAATTTCTTCTTGTTTTTAAGCCACCTTTTCAATCTGGTGGGACATAAATTATGGTCTGATTGGCCCATTGGATTGTTTAGTGGGTCCCATAATTAACCCCTCTCCCATTGGTTAGTTCTAAGGCGGGAAACGGTGCCATGTCAGCCCTGACAAAGACTTTGGATAACGGTATTCCTTGAATACTGTGCATAAACGAAGCTCCTTGAAGGATTGTGCCATGTCATCACCTCCCATGGGACCCATAATCCTCCTTTCCCTTCAGAGTCGAGATCGATTTTAACAATTTACACAGCCATCAGGTTTCAGGGCCAGATGATAAAATGCCACCCATAGCTAAGGAAAATAGAACAGAACCTTGTAGCTAGAAGCTAGTTGTATAATGTCAAGAATACCCTTCCCTAAATCATGCATATATTCCCCAAATCTTCCCGCATTTGTGTCTGAAATAAGAAACAAAACGGGGAAATTTTAAATGAAGAAGAAAACAAGCCAAGAAAAATAATACTGTCATGCACAATATATTTGTGTTGGGGAAATCAGAGTAGTCTTATTTTTTTTTATTATTATTTTTCATTACTAATGGTTTTGTTTGGAGATGCATTAATTGTGTTAAAACATTGAACAATGGAACTATAAATAGTGCGATCCTTAAATCTTAACAAGTAGGGTATTTAGGCTGCTAATGTGACGTTTGGGGGGATGCATCAAACCTCAAATAACATGTACGTGGACCCATGAATCCTAATTGGGCCATCTTGACAATTCAAAGGACTGCTTTGCTATTCTGACTTGAGAGAAATGGATATGTATATATATATATTTCTTTTATAAGTGGCAACAATGAAAATGATTGATCTTGGTGTGGTCACATAAAAAGTGCTATATATATATAGATTATGATTTTGGGATTAAAAAGAAGCGAATTTAATTTGTTATTGTGAAAATGGTAGGATGCTCAAATATGGGCAATGTAGTGATTAGGAAGAGGTATTTTGGCATTTTGTTTTGGGATTATAAAGAAAGGGAAAGATGGGGCATCCTTGCACATGGAGCAAGGTCAGATATGAAGAATACAAAATAACTTTAAGAAGAGCTGAGTATTATTTTAAAGAAATTTTTTAGGAGGCAAAAGCATCTTCAATGGCTACAAAGCCCACCCACCAGCTATAGAGAGAGAGAGAGAACCTTTTTGTTCCAACTTTGCATGTGGTGGGTTTCCAGTTTCAAATTTCTACTTCGTGCGCTAGAAGCATCACGCACGGACGAAGCATAAACTCCCTCTTAACTTTTATTTATTTTTTCTTTGAACCCTCCTTTTGCCTTACATTTGGCGGCTTATGTAACCAGCTACAACTGTCATTCTTGATCAAAATATTACATTGGTTTATCTTCTTATCTATATATTTTTTTTAATGAATTATTAACAGAACCTAGGAGGGCAGTTTGCCGCACAAAGATTCAGAATGCTCCCACAGTTTAAAACGACCATCATGAAATTACATCAACACCTTTTGCTTTCAACTTGATCTTACACATGCATTTATTACGTTAGGCTGATCAGTTATTTGCTTCAAGATGCCATTTCACAGCCCAATGTTCTGCCTTCTTGCAACAATGTGGTGCAAGTCTAAACAGATGACAGATGACATATGTAGTCTCGAATGGGAAACTCTAATTGATCATGCACCTATTTTGGAGTTAGCATCAAGCGTTGGTTCGGGTTCTACTACGAGATTAGACAAAGCTCTTTGCCCAAATTGTCATTCTTGTAGCTAGTCTGCCTTTGGCGTGTGGTTGGTGCAGAAAGTATTCAAAGTCTTGACCAAAGCTTAAAAATTACCGCTGGCTCTTAGCACCAATAGCGCTGAACGTACGCATTTACTATGGCCAGCACCTAATATGCACATGAACTGACACAAATTTAGTAGATTCTTTTAACTTTCCCTCTTTCTCTTAGCGGTGTGTGTGTATATATACAAGGGAAATTAAATAAGGCGTGAGTTTGACCAATCAATGATCACTGCTCTAATTATGTTTATAATTTCCCAATATAATATCTGCTGGTTAAACCATATTGTATAATAATAATTATTATTATAAAAAAATATAGCAATTTCTTTCCAAATAGATTGTCTTGTCAAAATTTTAAATAATATATATATTCAATCGTTCTAATTAATATTAGTGTTATGTCATAAATGATTAAACTTAACAACTTAAAATTCAAAAAGAAAGATATTTTAGAAAAATACCAATAAAACATATTGATATAACGTAACAATTAATAATATTCTCAATTTATGTAAAAAAACTAAAGAAGAAAGTCTTTTGAAAAAAAAATTACAGACGAAAAGATTAATTTATCCTTCTTTAATTAAATGTGATCATCACAGAATTAGAAAGAAAAAAATATAATTGATGAGCACGTTTTTGGTTCATAAAAAGTGAAAGTACGTACCAAAAAAAGGATCAAATTGAATAAATAACATAAATCTAAGATAATGCATGGAGATGAAGAAGCACTACACATGTTTTGGAGAAATTTTGTTTTGTATTAAGTTCACACGACAAAGTTTTCCAAACCATTAGGCAAAATGAAATGTATCAAAAGCAAAATCTTTCAAAAAATCTAACCCCTTACTATAAATATTAGTGTTATGTCTTTTGTTGTTAGTTTCATCTAAACACTACCATATATATTTTTATGTTGTTTCACAATCATATTATTGACACATTGTTATCTCCATGTTAAATCCATAATCTGCCAAAAACATAAGACATTTAAAATTGTTGCAACAACAGCAGACACAACCTTGTAATTATCTCAAAACCAAAGGGCACTTTCAAACTCCACTCTCTATAAAAACCTTCTCCCTCCCACCGTCCAAGACCCCTCAAAACTTTCTCTCACCTTCAAAAACTAAAGCTAAACAGAAACAACTCATCAAAGGGCAAACCAAACCCAAAAATACTCTGTTTTCCTTTGCGCTCCATCAAAGTCTGGGAAAATGTCAGCTGGGTTAGCAAAATGCTCTAAAATCCGCCACATAGTGAGGCTTCGCCAAATGCTAAGACGTTGGCGCAACAAGGCACGTGTGTCGGCCAATCGCATACCATCGGATGTTCCAGCAGGACACGTGGCAGTCTGTGTAGGGACTAGTTGCAAGAGATTTGTGGTGCGAGCGACGTACCTGAACCACCCCATCTTTAAAAGCCTCCTAGTACAGGCCGAAGAAGAGTTCGGCTTCTCTAACCAAGGCCCATTAGCGATCCCATGCGATGAGACCGTTTTTGAGGAAGTGATTCGATACATTTCACGGTCTGAGAATGGAAAATCCGGCCGGTTTGTGAATCTTGAGGATTTGCAGACATACTGCCACGTTGGTGTTAAAAATGCTAAGCTTGATTTTTGGGCAGATTCAAGACCTTTGCTTCATGCTGATAAGACATTCTGGTAAAGGTGAAAAGGACAAGCCAAGAAAAATAAAGAGAGAAAAAAAAATCTGATTCGGACCCGGGTTGACTCAGTCCGAGTTAGTGAAGCTCTCCACAGGAAATTTGAAAATACAATATAGTTGCCGAGTCAAAATTCAATTTGACTTGTTAGGTGTTAATGATTTATTGGGGTTTCTTACCTATGTACAAAGAGGTAAGTTTGGTGGGTTATTTTTTCTTTTTCCCTTTTTTTTCCTTTTTTCCTTTTGAGACATTACTGGGTTGGGTGGGGAGTTACTGAGTCACACTCCGGAGAATGCAAGGAGATGGCAAGCTGGGGTGGGTGAGTTAACCGCCGAGTCGTCCCGGGTTCCAATCGGAGTGAGAGAAAAGCATTGGAGCCCCTTGAAAATATTGGACAGAGAGACAAGGAAAAGAAGTGATTATCGATGGAGCCACTTTTGTAAATTCTGTTATTTATTGATTTATTAACGAAAAAAATTTGTAGAGATATTCCAACATGCTTTAACTATTATCCATTAATCTCCACCATAATTCCCTTTTGGAATTATTAATTTAATTTTCCCTTAGTAGACATCTGGGTTGCTAATGGCTATAATTAATTAATAAAAATTTATTTGGATATTTATTTTTTTATCTTTAGAGGGTTTTTTATTCAATCATGGTAGCCGTTGTTTTGAGCTTGTGAGAGTTGTAATTGGCATCAACCCACGTGAAAGAAAAAGCACCCTTTGCTCTGTTTCACCTGATTCTACTTTGTCTTTTTACCCCTTTAAATTATTGTGCTTGACTTCTTTGTGGGAAGATCTTGGCTGCAGCCATAGGACAATGTGTTGCTTGAACTTCAAAACACCCCTTTTGATTTGTTTTCGGCTTTAGTTGCTGCATTTTATAATAAAGTGTATTTACATATCATTCAAAATCACTGTCTTTGTTTTATAACTGAGCAAAAATAATCAAGGAAAATGCCAAACCATTGAACCATCAGACAATTATAAATGTCTGTTACTTGTTGATCTTTGACCTTTTGCTTCCTTTCAATGGGCCAATGCACAGAACCAAGAGGCTTCGGCTCCTCTTCCAATAAAACCCATATGGGTCTGGTTTAAAAATTAGAGGCATGTCAGTTTTCAATCAATTAAATCCACTACCTTAAGGTGGGACGATCGGGCCCGTAATTTGGTCAAAGCACTTAAATTACGGGTTAGTATTGTTTTGCCGGTTCTGTGATGCATTTCGCATGTGAAAGAGCATCACTTAGTTCACTATCCATTCGAGCAATCTAGACTGGACCGATCCACCGCATAGAAAGGGTTGTCTTCGTTGAAAATGACAAGGTCGTGGACAATTGAAATATACCAATTACCAAGAGAAGTTGTCTTCTTGGAGCTTCCAACCCCTACAAAGTGGTGGATGTCTTAATCAGTGATTCTTTACCTTATAACCATCAAAGATCTTTAAGGCATGATTGATAGATTTGTACTCGAAGAAGCAGAACCTGAAGTAGTGGGGAGCCATCATTTTCTTGGGGTATTTTCAAGAGAGAAAATGGATGTCGATTTGTAGTGTAAAGAAGCTTGGTTTTTATTGCTTTATGGTGGACAAAATAGAGTCAAGTTCCCAACTCTGGTACTGTCTACTGATAGTAGAATCCGATTAGGGTAGATTTTCTTTCATTTCAGCTCTAAAAAGTTAGATGATTTCACATGATTGGTTCAAGTGATAATTACTACGTGTCAATTGGATTTTAGATCAACGAATCATTCTTACATAACGACGAGGAAGTTTGTCTCTGTGCTGTTTAAAAGAATCATTATAAGAAAAATATGCGTTGAAGACAAATTTCTTTATATATCCCTAATTCCCAATAATAGAGTGAATATGATTGGGTTCGTCCATGATAATTTGAGTGAGTTATAATTTAGTCCTTTGTTTTCAGTATGATCATAAATTGGTCCCTTGATAGTTGATTCTTTTTACCGTTGTTTTTAAAAAACATCAATTACTTTTTCTTTTTTCCTTCCTAAACTCTAGCTGTGATGGATTTTCTCTAAAAGATTAGATTATCAAATAATATATTGGGGATTTGGAAAAAAGCTAATAGATGTTTTAATAGGAAAAGACTGATATATAGCTTCTCAAACGTGAAACTTCAAAACAAGGGACTAACGAATAATTTACTCTGATAATTTATCACCCAATAATAGCAAACCAGACCTTTTCCCTTGTTCAGACACAAGACTAGTTTGAGCCCAATGTATATCAGCTGGGCTTGTTCTTCTGGCAACTGGGACCATACAATGAGATAGATGGGCTCCAAATAAACAGAGTTAAAGCATGCCTAAAACAGTCTAAACCATTCCCAATTTTAAGTCATTTAGTTCTTAACTTTTTTTTATTTATTGATTTTAGAGATTTCTAAACTTTTAATTTTTTTTTAGATTTACTCATCCTTTAATTTTCTGTCATTTATCTCAAAAAATAACAATCACATAAACAATTTTCTCATAAAAATCATTCAGTAATATTTATGTATAAGTTCTTAAAAAATTAGGATATTTCGAAGTTATTTTTTATTTTTTCTGATTTCTTATAGTTTTGATGTTTAAAAATTAAAAAATGTTTATTTTTTTATTTTGAAAATTTTTGAATTTTTTTTTACCAGATAGATTGAATCCTTTTCAAAAAGAATTGAATTTGTTTTAGAAGAAAAAATGAAAGCTAAAAACATTGGATAGACTAGAATTTTTTAAAAATAAAAGTTTAGGGATCTTTAAAACCAAGAAAAAAATTCATGAACTAAACCTCAAATGTGTTAAAGTTTATGAATTATTAGATTTTTTTAATCTCAAAGCATCTAAGGTCCCATTCACAAAAGCGATCAAACTTAACCCCTTACTTGGCATGTCGAGCCGTTACTTTTTGCTTTTTTGGTAACTATGTTGACCAGTTACCAACAATCAAATTGCATCTAGCCACTAGTTCGTGGAAAATTATTAGCGCCGTTAGTAGGAGAGGCAATGAGTCAAATACAAACATGATATCCATTTTACCAATCTAATAAATATAAATTAAAAATATTTAATAAGTATTAAAATAGATAAAAATAAAAAATATATATCAACTGATGTCTATTTTATACTATATTAATATTCACTATTTAAAAAAAATTAACACACAAAGACTTGATAGTACAAATATTATAAAGCAGGAATCAAGATTTTTTTTTATAAAAACTTTGAGAACAATAAAACATATAAATAAAAGGTTAAAATTGTATTTTAAAGACCAAAACTACTTTTTTTTCTTTCTCCAATGACTAAAATGAAAGGATTTGATTAACTCTTTTAAACGAATATTGAATAAACTGATAAATTGAGCATGAGTCACTTTGAATTTAGAGATAATTTTTTAATAAATGTGAACGTAGTATTTTTTTTAAAAAAATAGATAGAATCAAAAATTAAATTAATAGGGTTGTGTTTGTTTGGAGGAAAACAAGTTTCATAAAAAAATCAATTCTTGAGTAAGCTACTTTCTAGGAAATTGTTTTTCAAAAACATATTTAAGAACATATTTTTTACTATTTGACAATTACATGAAAAAACTACTCGAAAAATATATTTCAGCATTTGTTTGATGCAAAAAATTAAAATACCAAAACATATGATATTGTTATTTCAACAAGTTAACATATTTTCTGTTGTTTGACAATTACATGAAAAAGCTGCTAAAAAATATATTCAAGTATTTGTTTGATACAAAAAATTAAAATACCAAAACATATGATATTGTTATATCAACAAGTTTTGAGAAAACTTCAAAAAGACATATTCATAATTTCACAATATAAGATACATTTAGAAAAATTTAATAAATTTTCATAAACACTAACTCTAAAATTTTAATTTAAAAAATAAAATGTATTTTTTTAACCATCAAACTAATTCATCAAAATTGCTTGGGACAAAATCAAGTCAATATTCACATTTAGTGAAAAACAAAAAAAAGATTTTAAGTAATCCTAGCATTGTTATTTTGGTAACTTAATTAAGAATTATTTTTTTTTAGAAATTGAACTGATAATTTAGTCTGAAAATAATTTCATAAATTATTAGTCATCATCTATAGATAATTAATAATTTGTTCTCAAAAGATTAATATTGGAATAATTTGTAACTAATTATTCACTACAATTACCAATAAAATTTTACAATTGATTAAAATTACAAATTATTGATTTAATTACAAATGAATAGTGTTGAAAAAATAATGTATTTATTGATGAATTAATTAATTTTATTTTTTTTACAAAAGATTATAGTCTTGTAATAATCATTTTCAATCATTTCAATATAGTTTAGGTGGTATTTGAGATAATAGTAAAAAAATAGAGATAAATTATTGAAATATTTATTATAAAAATAATTTGAAGGTGTAAAATGGTTTTTAAGAATAATTATTGTATCCATGAATCAAAAAATCAAATATTAGTAAAAGTAGAGAAAAAATAATTAAATAACTAATAATAATTGATAAGGAATAATAAAAATTAATTTGATATATTTTAAATAAAAAAAGATATAGAAAACATTTGTTAAAATATATCGAGAAAGAGGTAAGTAACGTGAGAGCAAGACAACTCGTGAGAAGTAAAATGTTTTCCTCTTTTAAAATTGAGAAAATATTTTTTCAAAAATACTCTATCATTTCTCATTGACCTTTTTTTAAATGTAAAATAAATACTGAAAAAAAAAAAAACAAGTTCCTAAAATTTGTTTTACTCCAAACAAACACAGCCTAGGTTCCGTATCTTACCTATTGTCATCTTTAGCCGTTGAGAAATTCCACCCGTATCTGGCTTACTAACTACGGATCACCAAGTTTGATAAACCATTGAGTAGTTCTTATAGTTTTCGCTTATGGGCTCTTATACGGGCTTGGATAGCCTCTTGGACTGCACAGCTCAGTTTTTGGACCTTGGACCCCTTCTCGTACAAAAAAACAAAGGCACCCCTCATGTCTGGCAGCTTGCCGCCCAACCCTGGCGACAAAGTTCCTGGATAATTTCTTGGAATGGGTATTTACTATTATAAGTATACTTGTTTTAAAATTTCTCACAGGACCCAAACTAGTCATATAACAGGAGTCAAGGCAGTAAAAGAACAAATTAGCAGCCTTCTGTGTCAACACCCATTCCAAGAAATAACTGGAGTGAAAAAAACAATAAAGAAAGAAAAATTAATACGCATGGGCTTTTAATTTTATTTATTAAGAGAAACTTCATTTTGTTGACGAGGATCTTGATTCCTGTGCATGCCAGCAAACATTGTACACTTATGTTGAAGCTGCTTGCTCGGGACTAGCAGGAAAATTACAACTCCCCATCTACGTTGATCAAAGCTATTTTTGCATTCGATAAGTACAATTGAGCATTAACTTGGTACACGTAAACCGAATTTATGCAATAATTCTCCTACACAAATTTATACCTTAATTAGACGTATCTCATGTGCTTAAAAGAAAAAAAGAAACTTCATACCTGGAGAGGGAGAGAGACGACGGAGGAAGGAGGAGTTGAGCGACAAATTACCGAAGAGAGAGAGAAAGAGAGAGAGAGAGAGACGACGAAGGAAGGAGCCATCCACAGATAGAGAGAGAGACAGTGGAGGAATGAGGAGTTGGGCGGTAAGCCGCCAGAGTGAGAGAGAGACGTTGGATGAAGGAGAAGATGAAGTGTTTTTTTTAATTTATTCAGAGTTTTTTTTATCTTATATGGAAAAAAATTTACACGTGACACAATTAATAGAAGGGGTCTTGAAATTCCATATCAGATAAGTATCCCATTGGATAAGGACCACTGGATAATTTCTCTTAGTTTTGACATATAATTCGATTTTTCAATTTTTTTTTTCCTAACAGAGTATGATATAGCTTTGCACCTTGCATGGAAGAATCGATTGTATGCTTTGACTATTTGCCGTCAGTATCTCATATATTTCATTTTTCAAAGGAGGTAATTCTTCTATTTTCACCGAATCTTGCAAGCCCAGCCTGAAATAATTTACCCAAACTTAGCCCATGAACCTGGGGATATATGTAGCCAACTGGACTTGACCAGTTGAGTCTGTTCTAGTTGGGCAATTACATGTTCAAAGCGTAATCATGGGCCTAATTCTGTGTGATCGATGAAGTAGGGTTCGCGATGGTGTCGGCAGTAATACTGACCATGCATGATAACCACATTATTGAACCGTAAGGTTTCACGCCTGAATTGTTAGTTAATTAGTGATCTTGTCGAAGTTTATTAGGATGGATGGATTAGTTTTTCCCAAACTTAGTAACAAGACTAGACATGTATGAAGAAGGTATTGATAGAATTGTCGGTTGTTGCAGATCTAAGGTCCCAAGAGTCAACAAATCCTTCTTCCCGTTACAGTTCCTCTCTGGGCCAGTGGGGACTTGAGCTGGAAAATTGGTTAGATCTAGATCCAGACACTGATCATAGAAAAGCACACCAAATTGGTTAGATCTAAGTCTATCAAACACACGTACGCCTGTTGAAATCTTGCAAACTGAAGCATTAATTGGTTGGTCTCACTCACAGGTCCCAGATTGTATTTAAGTCCAGAGCTAGAACAAGCATTGCATTACCAAGTGTGCTTAGGTTGTAAACTTTTTTTTTTTTCTAGTGGGTGTCATGTGAACCATAAACGTGCATATGCAGTGTTCAAGATTGCTGACCAGACCTGACCTGGCCAGGCCAGGCCATGCATGACAAACCCACTAACTACCCTAACCTCCATACACAAAACAACAAACGAGAAGGTTATGATTATGAGGCATGCCTCTTTTGGTCACTGAATAGGACGAGTTTGGATTCTGCATGTACAAACTGAGAAGGGAGGGAAAAAAAAAGGCAACGGACCAGCGGATCACTGTACGTATATGTGACATCAAGCAATGGATTACTGGTTTGGCTGCTTTCTTTTTTGGAATTTTAATTTTTCATGCTTCCCAATCAAATTCCAACAACAAGCAAAGCAAGTAAAATTATGAGATACAGTAAAGAACCTTTTTAATTTTATATTAGTATTTGCTATTTAGAGAGTAAATTATAAATCAGTCCCTCTTATTTAGAAAAACTAGTTAATTATTCTCTTTTAAAAAAATTAATTATTGAGTTCTTAATGTTTTAATTCTATCAATAACTTAATCATTTTATCAGTTTTTTTGTTAGATTAAGAATTTTTATTTTCAAATTGTTTCTTTTTTTATTGGGAAAGAAAAAGAGAGTGAGTATAAAAAAAGAGCATTGAGAAAAAAATAATTTATTTAACGAAATGCAGATAAAAAACTAAATTACTGACGGAATTAAAATATAAAGAATTAAATAATTATACAAATAATAATATTATTTTTTCCTTATTATTTTTTCTAAAAAAAAAAATGGAGTCGTGCCCATTACCTTGCGGAGCTGGTTGTTCAAAATTTTGGCTCTAGCTTGCCATGGGTGATGGATGATTGTCCGTGCATGTCTCAAGAAAGAATCTCACATCATTTTTTAGCCCATCAACCACCAAATCTCCAGCTGAGGCATGTAAGGACAAAGAGTTGTTCCTGTAGTATTATTAACAAAAACTATATGCTGTTTCGACATCATTATGAATTCATGATCATGTTGCTTTAGTTATTGGTATTCTTTTGTTGTTGTTTCTGGCTTGTAAATTGGACGGGAAAACTAGTATTAGTTTCACTTACTCACCCAAAAAGAGGATTAAAATTCAATTAGTTATCATCAGTCATAATTAAAGTGAATGGCAACCATACAAAAAAATATAATACTTTACCACTTTTTGGCACTTGATGAATAAAGAAATGTTAAAATATGCATGATTAGTTTATTCCAATGTACTCTCTAAACGGTACAATATCAATTAGAATGATAATAATATGTTGCAATAGGTCATAGATTCAAATTATAATAGATGAGTTTTAATAAAATTTTAGATGTGTGAATTAAAAAAAAAAAACAATTAGAGATACTACAAAATTAGGAATTAGTTTTTTCATAATCAAGTTAACAAATTAGATCAAAATACTAGGGAACAGAAAAATATTTTTTTAAAATGATTATTATGTTTCTTTTTTATTATTCACATAACATTAGTTGGATGATTCGTTATCTAATTCTCAAGCAAAGAAGATGATTTTTTTTAAAAAAAAATTTAGTAAATTAAAATACGATGAACGTCACTAGTCTTTTTTTTTTTAACAAAAAAATAAAATTAAGAATGGGAAAATGGCAACAAAACGAGAAAAGAAGGGATTGCAAAGGAAGAAGCCAACCCTTGGGACTAAAAAGGGAAAGACTTCCTCGTGGAAGAGATGGTCCGTAAGGAAGAGCGTGCTGGCTGTAAGCCCTTTAATACCCTTTATGTCACCATGGGCCCTCGTTGAAACGCATTTATCATCCATGCCACTAATAAGGAGCTGGGCCCTATCTAACTTGCATCATATTCGGTTACTATCAAATCACAAGCCCCTTGGCTTTGCACGCAAAAAAGAAAATCTTTAAGGGCAAAAAAAAAAAAAAAAAAAATTCTCAAGCCCTTGAAGATTTTCCCTTTTTTTCCCTGGTCATGGTTTTGTCACGATGGCTTTCACTTGCCAAGACTATCCCTTTTTGGTGGAAACTTCATCCTGACTTGGATTGAAGTTCATATTATTTTTACATGTTAATTTTAAAAATAATAATTCATTAAACATTGATGAAAACTTAAGAAAATAATTGTAATTTTTTACTCTTGATTAGAAACAACTTTTAATTTAAATCAAAAGGTTGTTATAAAATAAAATCAAACTTTTATTTTAATCAAAATTTAATATTTGAATATTTAATTTATTGATTTTAACTTACCTCACCTCTATTGAAAGGAAAAAAAATTTTGAGTTATTTTTTAATTAATTATACTTTCAATTTAACTCATTTTTATCATAAATTGTTTATAGAAATAGCTTTTATGTTATGGCCCGAATTTTTTATTTACGTTCGTAAATTATATGAAACAGGCTCCTAGTAAATTTCTTCATTAGGGCTTGGTTTTGAATTCAAACTTGTCAAGCCATAACATAGAGAAGAAACAGGCTTATGGACACAAACATTCAAAAAATCCTATTTTATCTGTAATTCTTCCAGCTACTCAAACAGAAAATGTCAATTGCACACGGCGTCCCCCATTAACCCATACCGCACTAGCTGGAGAAAATGTAATTTAAAGAGTAATCTTGATGCTTAGAAAAAAAAACAAAAAAAGAGTAATCTTGATGCTTAAAAAAAAAACAAAAAAAGAGTAATCTTGATGGGAAAGTTAATTTCTGTTTTTTCTTTTTCTTTTTTTTCTTTTTTTGTTTTTAGGGTGAATACTTTGTCATCCTTAGCCATTCGCAGTAAAAAGAAAATTGCATGCCTTTTCCTTTTTCTGGTGGGATCCATAGCTCCACGTGGCACTTTTAATGTCAACAGTTAACATAAGACAACAAGAAGCTAATATGATGGTCATCATGACCAGCGTATGGCCCAAACTGGGAAAAGAGGATGGAAAATCATGATCGCCATAGAGAGAAGCGAAGGAAAAGTGGAGCGGTGAGTTGGCTTGGAGAAGTACCGAAGACAGATCAGAATCCAAAGAAAAACAAACCCTACTTTTGTGCTATTAAATGTTACAAAGGTAAACAGGAGATGGCCTAAAGCTGTGTCTTGGGCAAATGTGGGTCCCTAAATGGTATAATTTGGTTCCATTTCTTCTATTCCACCCAATAAAAATTCTTTCGTACCTCGAAAGCAAAGGTTGAAAATTCCCACAAAAAAAAAAAAAAAAAGAATATAGAATGTTAAATTGATGAGAGGCTCCATGTTACTCATCATTTTCATCCACTACTGACAGCCCTTTTTGGGTACAATGGAAGTTAGCATCATTAACCACTGACCTGATCTAGCCTCCACTTCCATGGTAGGGAATGGAGTATCCATGTGAGGCACAGCTCCATAATAGCTACCAAGCAGTGGCTTTTCTCACTTTGATGGTGGATCGTGTCCTTCCACTGAATTTAGTATCAATATTTGTCGAAAACCGTTAGCCTGTAGGCCTAATCATACTAGGCCAATGGCCATTCTAATTAAAACAAATTATCGTGGGTGCATGTTTTCAAACAATAATAATACCATTTGTTTGGAAAAAGAACGTGTACCGAATGAGTTTTCTGAAAATATTCTCGAATAATTTTGTTCTATATGGATAAAATGGTGAGACCAAATATGGATGACACAATACAAAGAGAATTCTATTATTAAAAAATATGTCATTAAGTATAAAAGTTTAAATATTTTTAGGTTCGTATTTTTTAGACGGGCTATTAACTCATTCCTTCACTTATGAAAGGATGAGCATTTTCAACTACCAAAAAGACCTAAAGAGTCTTCGAAAATGAATATAGATTTTAAAATTTATTTTATGACACATCAACAATAATCTTATTATTATAATATCAAATCACTTATGAGTCACATTATAATATATAATTTAAAAAAGTCACATTAGAATATATAAGTCCTTTTAACTTGATGTTAGAAATCATCACCAACCGAAGAACAAACATTTTTATTTCATTCAATAGGTAACTTGACACAAGTTTCATCTTTTTTGTAATAAGTCTAACTGCTAAATGTTTTAGGTTATTAATTATGTTGTTTTTCTGTTATATATTATTGTTTATTATCCATTTCACGTATATAAAAATATACTTAAAATCTGATCGTGTTTTTACTCGTTTCTATCATTGTTTTAACCATCAAAGAGCTTCTTAATCTATTGAGAAAATTTATCTTACATGTAATTTTTAACGAGTAAAGATCTCTATAAATTAACGAGTCTTCGTTATTTATCATCAATTATAAAAAACTATATAACCATTCATTATTATTTGAGTTTTTATGATTCATTAAATTTGATGTTGAGTGAAAGTTTATACATAGAATAGTGAAATTTCTAATAAATGGTTGTTACAAACTACATTTGAAGTCACAACTGGAATAGGCCAATCACCACAATTTTACCTCAATTCCAGAATATATAACTCAGTTATTTTCTGTTCAATTGAAATGACTAAAGGGAAAACAAATTGCTAATCAGTGACTAATCCTTTTAGCAATATCGATATGAAATTGAATCATTCCGAAAAAAATGTTTCACTTTTGACTTACAAAATTGACAGTTTTAAAATTGTTTTACACCTTTTTCACAAGACACGAACGCATATTAAACGAGTGAATATCCATGTGCATGCTATTTCTAAGTTCAAACATAAACAATCAAAACCTTTTGTATCTTACGATGTGTAGAAATTTAGAATTCTTACACGACTTTTTAAGTGCATGGATGTCTGTAAAAGAACAAAGTTACATACTAAATCTCTACTTCTAACGGTGAGTCAGCAAATTAATGCCTGGTTACTAACATGATTGCATGCTAAAAACAAAATTTAGCCCAATTTTTCAAAGAGAATTCGATCACTGTCCGATTTACTTGCATGCCAATGTTTAAAATATAAAACACAAATAGACAACCTTAGCCACTTCTGGCTTATCAGGTCACTATCCAATAGGGAGATGCTATCATTCTAGCTGGCAATATGGAATTTTTCTTCAGCAACAGGTTCTCTTGAGGATTTAGGCGAACCATCTGTCTTCTTTCCTCCATCCTTTTCTCTTTGCAGTTCCAATATATTTTAATAAAGAACAAAAACTCGATTGACAGCTAGCTATATAAGCTATTGATTTTGCTAACAATGAGAAGACTGGGGGCAATAAAAGAGGCTGGCGGTTGCGTGTAGAGCTGGATCTTAATTTGTTATTTTTTTGTTTTTGACATCCATAGGATTATTTGAAAAATATACAGTATTAGATATTAATTCATGTTTACCATTTATAATTTACTTAATTGAACTGTCGCTGTCTACTTAATTATTACTAAACTCGAAAGTCAATAGTATTTGTTTTTTTTAACATTACATTAATTCTCTATTAGGTTCCCAAACTGACTTTTTACTCAATTAGGTACCTGTTGAGTTCAAAAATTTCAATTGAGTCCCTTTAGCATATCTTAATATTTTTCTGTTAAAATCCTAAAAGTTCCTGTTTTATGGAGTAATAAATAACACATTTTAAAGAGAATTTTATGATCCGTTAAAATTTAACATGATTTTAGATACACAGTCTCAAATTGAGAATTAAAATAAATCGGGAGTCAATCACGAAAAAAAAATATTTTCGGATGTAATTGATAATTGATACGTATGTATTTGAGGATTAATCCGAGGTTATTCCTTTTTTTTCCTTGTTTGTTATTGCCAATTGTAGTTTGAATGTTTGATGTTGGTACTGAATTTTCAAGGCTGCTGTGATAGCTTCGTTCAATTTATTAAAATTTAATGTGATTTTATAGAGAAAGACTAAAATTAAAATAAATGAAGAGTCAGTCACAAAAAATATATATATATTGGGATGTAATTGATAATTAAAATATATTTGAGGATTAATCCGAGGTCATCCGTTTTTTCTCATTTTTTGTTATTGCCGATTGTAGTTTGAAAAACCGTTATGATAGCTCCATTCAACTTATTAAAGACTTGATTACAGAGAATCAAGAAAAAGACAACAAGGGTAAAGTTATGCAAAATTCACATGATTTAAGACTATGATGTGATGGGAATAAGAATATTAACGCTTGATGACATAAACTCTAAACCATGAGCACCGATAATTAATTTTTATTGTTGCAAGAAAACGACTCAGTGCCTAATCCCCAATAGGGCTTGTAGCTAATGAGGGTGGGTCAGAGTAGCGACAGCCATACGGGCACGATAAGACTGAACTTGTTCGTACGCAAAATTCAGGTTGGTGATTGAAAATTATGTCTTTCGGTTTTTGTTATGGAAAAAGTTAGCAAATTATTTTCTGATAACTTTGTTTATTAGTGGGTTTATGCTTATTCAAATCAAGTTGTTAGCTTGTTACTTCAGTCGTAGGATTGAAACCCAATTGTAATATTTTAGTACGGATTACAATACAAACTGTGAGACAAATACAACCTTCTATGCTTGCCCCTGGCTAAGTGTTCCTGGTGACCTACGGAAGTGTGATTTATAAAGTCTTGACATTTTTCAAGAAGTGATCAGGGAGGGACATGCGTAGTACCACTGTCTCAGTCGATTGTTCGGTATTTGGTGCTTGTGAAAAAGAGCGGTAAGAACTTCCTAACAATGTCGATCAATTGAATGATGTGGATAAGGGAAAACTACTTGATGCCCACATAAATTGCAAGCGTATTTAGTACTTTTTTTTATAAAAAAAAAAAAAAAAAAGGACAAAGGATTTTGTGTCGTTTTCCAAATATAAATAATACTTTAATGAGGTTTCAAAGGAATATATACCAACTTAATTAATGCTAAATTTTCATTTTTTTCAGATAGTATTTTGGAAAAAAAAAAAAAAACTAATTTCTGTTTTCGTTTTTTTAGTGACATAAGAAACCCATCAATAATTAGGAAAATAAAATAAAATAAAATATTGAAAAAACTACCTACAATAGTTACTTTATAAAAGCATATATTTCTTTTTAATTTAGGTATTTTTTATTTCATATTAAAAATAAGACCAATCATGCTTCAGACAAAAATGATAAAATTTAATTTCATTCAACAACTATAATTTTAAAATTCGAATTTTATATATTGACAAAAAATTCACTTAGAGACCAATTCGTTTATAACATAACCTATTTGTTGGTGGTCTATAAAATCACATTAAAGATAGAGATAAAAAAAAAAAAATCATGTCTGAATCCAAAAAAAATGATGAGAATATTTCCAACCCATCTCAATTATTTTTTCAATTCTCTATCTTATTCTTTCTCTTTTATGTTTATCTCTCTTATGTAATAAGTATTGTTAATTACTTATTGAGTAAGATACACTTTGGAAAAAAAAACCAAATAAATAAATCAATCAAAGTAAGCCGATGCTGCATCATCTTCTGATTGAATAAAATTAGCTATGGTTATGTAGATATTTCACCCTAAGTGCGCTCGAGAAAACAACTCAAGAATCCATGTGATGTAAGGCCATGGATGGGCCACAAAAACGACTGATCACGGAAATAGTTCTAACTTCCAATCAATAAACCAATCTCGCTTTACGATCTTGTTTTGGCTGAAGTGAGAAAATGCTAATTTTCTTGCCAAATCAAGCCACGCCACTGCTTCACGAGTTTGATGTGGCAAACACAAACTCCGAGCCAACTGTTTTTTCTCCGGAAGAAAAGGCCAAATGAGGAGGGAAATACCATTGCACGCACGAGATAATAACATGAAACTTGCAATCCGGAAGCCAATTGGCTCATGTGATCAAGATTTCTTCTCATATTAAAAATAGCAATTGGGGAAGGATTTAAGCTCTATATATAATAGTTATTATTTTTTTCATTAACAAAAGAGAATTTTGAACTTAATATGTTTTGAAGCAGCAAAAATGTTAATACCAATTGAATTATAATTCATTAACAATACATGATGATTTTTTAACTATAGTTTTTGTTGTAGTTGGAGTTTTAAATTATGATTGTAGAAAAAATATCTGGTGATAATGGGTGCTTGATACTCGTGCTTGTGTGATACATTAGAATATGAAACAATAATAATATAAGAATAATATTTTTAAATTAGATAGAAAAACTTAATATCTCGATAAAAAAAACTTTGAATTGTACTGAATATCAATATACGTAAAACTTATAGTTATTATTATTTTTTGTCAACAAAAGAGAATTTTAAACTTAATATTTTTTGAAGCAGCAAAAATATTAATACCAGTTGAATTATAATTCACTAACAATACTTGATGATTTTTTAATATAGCTTTTGTTGTAGTTGGAGTTTTAAATTGTGGTTGTAGAAAAAATATTTTGATGATAAGTTGGGTAGCGACAATATATATGTTAAAATATTTTTACGTTAAATCACAATAAGATGTTTTTAAACTTCATTTTATAATTTTCAATTTTAGTTTTAAATAATTCAGAGAAGCCTCAAACGAATATTATAAAAGAAAATAGTAAAAGGTTTATCTCCAGAACAGGTGAGAGGATATAGAAGGTGTTATAAAAATTGTGCGGTCTATAATTGTAAAAAGAATTTTTATTGGGGATATTTAAGTACAAAGCATATTGTTTTTGTTTTTAATGGGTTTATTTGGGCCTTTTGAACAGAAGGCTTGATTACATTGTTTGTCCTTACCGGCAGGTTAGAGGCTCTCTCTTCTTCTTCTTCTTCTCCTTCTCCTCTCTGCCGACGCTTGTCGGTTTCGATAATTAAGGACTAAACGTCCGGTTTTTATGAAACGTGGTCGCTTTCTTTCGATCGTATTTTCTAGTGGTCCCTACTCGGTGAAAAGGCAGATGTAGCAGACCACAGAACGGAAACGTGTGGGGCGTGTAGGGTCCACATGTTCTTTTTTGACCTTTTAACTGCCCTTGGATTCTGTTCCTCTTTTGCGCTCTCCTCTCTCTCCCGCTGCTCTGCTCCACTTAGTACCATGTATTTGAGAGCGTTCTGGCGGCCTTTTTAGGCCCTTGTCATCTTGGACGCGCCACTGAATTAGTTGGTTGGATCAAGGAAGGTCATAATTGTATTTTTCTTTTGTCCAAACGGAAAAATTATCTATCATTCAATTTATAATATTTGATTGATTTTTTTCAATTATTTTTTATTTGAAATTATATTTTTGTAGGTTTTGGTTAATTTTAATGTGCATGTTGTTTTTAATCACTTAAAAACATATCAAAATTCATAGATATTTTATTTTTAAAAAAATTGTTTCTTTTTTTACGTTAATGTTAAAAAATTAGTAATTATATAAAATTTTAGAATTAAAAAAATTAAAAAAAACTTCATACTTTTTATCTGGTAAAAAAATTTAAAAATTAACAGCGTACAAGTTTCAATATTTGCATTATTAGAATTGACATAAAATTAATAAAAAAATTCAAATACAATAAAGTTAAAAGAATATTCAATACGAAATAAAAGTTTGATAAATTGATTATTAAATAATTTAAAATTAAAAAAAATATATTTTTACTTTTTTTTTCCTCGATAAAAAGCTCATATAGTGGAGTTTGGTTATGTTAATAATAACAATTAAATAATGGAAAAGCATATGGTATGATTTTGATTTTTACATAAAGATGTGAGTTTTGTTGAACGTGTGTTTTCAGTGTTCATTTTGTATGACTGTTCACCTTTAGAGATAACAATTTCTCATCTTTTAACTTCTGGTATCAACCATTTATTCATTTAATGAGATTAATATCTTACAAGATACGGGTAGTCCTGCCTCCCATGCCTATAACGACTCCGTTAGGGTGGGCGTTCATTAGCATGTGTGGGTAATATAGAAACTTAGAGGAGAGAGTGGATGACAAGTGTTTTTCGTTTTTTTTTTTTATCCAACGAGTATTAGACTATACAATGGAATAGTCATTTTCCATCTCTAAAGTTTTTTTTTTTTTTTAAGTAAAGATAAAATTACATCAAATATTAATTTAGCATTTTTTTTCCTCATCCAACGTATCATGGAATATGCACTAAATCCTATAAATCACGTCTCATCGTTTCATAGATCTAATCTAAAATTTTAAATAAACATCTAAATCATAATCTTATCTAAACATTTTTTTTCCTTTTGAACGTCTAGCATTTCCCTTTCTATATAAAAGTCGTAGAAGAAATTATTCATTGAAATTTATTCCTAATAAAAAAATAGTATAAAGAAAGAATAATCAAATAGTAAATGAGCTCAATATTGATTTCATTTTTCATCACTGAGCTTAATTCACCCGGACGAATTTTGACCACAACATTGTGGCAAATCAAGGCATTTGTACGTTAAGAATTCATGTAGCTGTATACGAATATGTATAATTAATAAGTTAGATAGAAGATTGAGTTTTGTTGAAAAAAAATATTTATTAGAATAACAGATTCATTTAACATATTTTGTATTAGTTTATATTTTTATATTTATTCAATGTGAGTGACATTTCTATCATTTATTTTTATAGCCTATCAAGTTGTTTGAACTTCCACATTTTTTGTTACAACTTGTTTCTAGAAAGGAAGGAGAAGACAGGGAGAGCTAAAACTCTTCTATAGTATCGAGGTTGGGAAGCCTTTCTCAGGTCCCTCCCTTCTCCAACTCGAAAAATCAACCTCCCTTGCTATCTTTATTGAGTTTGTCAACAAAAACGACGCTATAATGTTGTTAGATTCACATCCATCCTAACATTTAAGCTACTCGAGGTTGAGATTTCTGTACACCATAAATAAAATCATGCCCTTTTAATTTATTGAAATGAGTTTTTCAGTGTGTAAATGATTTGTTTTACGAATAAAGCACGTCAAGATCACCTTTCTCGTTGAAATTGCATCATTGTGTTACCAATTAAGGTGCAGACACAATTCTTTACTACATTCCATTAATGGAAACTTGCAATTGAAGGCATGCGACATCTCAAATGACCTTGTCCTTTGCGTGTGTAAGCAGGTTTCCGTGGAAAAATATAGCTAAATCCGTAGCACGATTCCTTCTGTTACAAATTCCTTCTGTTACAAAAATGGGTTAAATCAATCTTCGCACTTTAATTTTGGATGTTACAACCTCCATATTTTTTATTCTTAGTCGTATATGATCCCTTGTGCATCTCATGCCAAAATAGATCATCTCCATGTATATATATCTAAGTCACACATTAAAAACTCTTAGCAAAAATAATCTATTAGCATTTGAATTTATGATCTCTTATAAGAGATCATTATCATTAAGTTACAAGTTATTTGATAAGTGGATGAAGGGATCGATTGCATGTAACCACTAACCACGAATTCAAAGTGTGAAGATTTTGAAGGACCTAAGTTGTAAAGGGGCTTAATTAATTAACTTTGAAAACTCAAGGGACAACAGGATGAATTTACCAGGTAAAAATACTGGAGGTCTCTTTGTTGGCTGGGAGAAAACTGGAAAATAAAGATGCTCCGGAGTTCCGGGTCGATGTCCCGAATCCAAAAGCCAGCAAAGGTGTGATTGCAACCCACGCGCCAAAATGCTTTTGGGGTTCTCAGCTTAGCACATTAAAAACCTTATGTAACACTATCGCGGTTGTGATTGGTAGATTGTCTAATCATCTGACCTTCTGTCTTGTGATTGGCCAGTACGAATTATTATCCAGCTCATTTATAAAGAGAAAAAAGTACAATTCAATTAATAACTCATCATCCAACGTCACATATTTGCCGCCAAATGAAGCCAGGAATCAACAGTGATGGCCAATCGCAGCCGTCTCTTTTTATGAAAAAGAAAAAACGGGACGAGGTAAAAAAAGAGGGTAAAAAAAGTGAAACGATTCACCGTCAAATGAAAAAAAATCAGAGAGGAGCTGTGCCTGGCAACTGAAGCAATGGTCAGATCAAGTAGACAGAGCCTTGACTTTGGTAACCTGCGAGTTTTTAATAGTACCAGACTGTATGGACATCTCATCAAACGGAAGAAATTATAAATTAGTCCCTTCGTACACATAAAAGAATTAATTAATTTTCTTTATTTTAAAAATTAATTATTTAATTCTTATATTTTAATTTTCCTAAATAAGTCAGTTTTTTCATCTATTAAAAACTAACTTTTTGTTTCTATTTTTTTATTTTTAATTAAGAATAGAAAAAGAAAATAAGTAAAAGAAAAAAATAAAACATAAAAAAATAGAAAAAATTAATTAATTTAATAAAAATTAATAAAAAGATTAATTTATTGACCAAATTAAAATATAAAAGAATAAATAATTATTTTTTTAAAAAATAAAAACTATTTAATTTATTTATCAAAACCAAAAGAACTAATTTATAATTTACTATATCAAACAGCAGCTTGTACTATACAGCAGTTGTAACCGTACGCTTCAATGCTTATGATGAATGCGGCGCCACAGTACCATGCAGTGGTATAAAGCAGATCAATTTTTTCGGCCCATAAATGCATTTTTCAAATAACGATTCTTGGAAGAATTTTCCTATGGTAATTATGTATTTGACAATATCTTTTGCAAGAACTTTTTTGAAGTGACTCTTTTTATTTATTTTTTATGAAAAAAAAATCAAAACGCTCGTAACAAAACCATCGAGAGAAGTAGGAATAAACATCATTGATTGATGCCTCTTTAATGGAAAGTACCTTAAAAAACATTCCAATAATCGCAATATCAAATATTATATTGGATTATATCCATGTTATTTTAGTATATTTCAGAGATTTTCTTTTTCGTAATTTTTCCTTATTCAATCTCAAAATGATAATTTGAGAAACAATATGATTCCTTCTAAACCTTGATTTGTTAAAACTTGATTTTTCTAATCGAAATTTGGTCAATTCAGCTAATTTTGAACCAATTGAGACTGAAAAATGTAAAGCACGTGCGTTTCAAAATTTTTCACACATATATATATATAATTGCATGCACGAGCACTCAAGCATATGTATTTTTAATAAAAATTAAATTCAATTTTAGTCTTACATACTTTTAAAGACCAATGTACACTGCCTAAGACCAACAATTTTTTTTTGGAATAAAAACTGCGCCTCGTTAAGACCAACATTTCTTTTTTCATTTTTTACATCTCTGTACGAATGTCTTTAGCATTCATGATGTAGCTAGGATTCAGTAAGAATCGACTATCTTTTTTTCCTAATGACAAGCGTATTTAAGAACAATTCAACAGTTTTCTTTTAAATTAACAACGGACTGTAGAGGGGGAATTTGAATTTTGAAACCCTATTTCTTTTATAATGCAAAAATTCTAATTAGACCGATTAGATATAATCTTCAACAACAAGAAAAGAATAAACACAACAACCTCTTGCAATTCCATATGTTGAAATAAAAAAATTCTAGTTATTATGATCTTTATTTTGTCTACGAATGACTGGCTTTGATTGAGTTAATAACTCTAGCATTTAACATCCCTTTTCAAGTCATTAAACGTTGTCATTAATAATTTTGCATATGTCATGTGCCGAATTCATTGCGAAAGCATTTTTATGCTATTTAGTATTATTTATTTTATTGAAAAATGATACCAAACAAATTATACTATCTAAAATTGAAATAGATTAGTTTTTTCATCTATTTTCATTAATTACGCGTCACAATATAATTTATCGAGTATTGAATAGAAATATTGATTTATTCCAGTTTTAGATAAAAAAAAGATTAAAATAAACAATCATAAACAGTACAAAAAGGTAGTACAAGGCAAAAAAGGAGGGAAAAAAAAAAAAAAACTAGAAGTTCAAGCAGAAACTGCTGAGATTTTACTATAAATTAAGGCTGTTTAGCCTTGTTGGTGGAACAATAAATTACTCAAACTGTATGCGTAATTTACAATGACGTGATTCCCACTTTCCCAGGAGAAATAAAACGCTCCAGAGGAGAAAAAGCTTTGACAAAGGCACAAAGATAATCAATTCTGCCCATTGCTTTTGTTGCTTTCGGTATCCAAAAACGATTGCTGGGGTTATTAAAGGAAAGCTGAAGCCTAAACATTCTACTGTAGAAAGAGACCCTTTAACTCATAGAAAACGACTTAGATACATACCCTAAGCTATTTCTACACATTCATAATCTCAAACCTGAAATATTCGATGCCCAGAAGAACACTCCAAAATGAATTTTAAAATTATTTATATCTAAACTCATTATCTTTCCTAAAATCCATAAATAATTGCAACAAACTCGAATAATTATCACTCCATTCTCATATATTATTGAATTGGAAAAGAAAAGTGACAAGGAAATAAGGATCTTTTAGAGTAAATTATAAATTAGTCCCCTTATTTTAGAGAAATGAATATTTAACCATTTGATCAGTCTTGTCATACTTGTTTTATATTATTTTATTTTTAAAAATGTAATATTTTATTTTTATTAAAATAAATTAAAAATGAGTAAAAATAATTAAGTTACGAGAAAATTTAAAAATAAAAAGATTAAATAATTAATTTTGAAACCAAGATAATAAAATAATTTATTTTTTGAAACTTGAGTGGCTAATTTATAATTTACTCATTCTTTTCTTAGCGTCACTGTCTACTATTTTTGAGACACCCCAGTAAACCGCATGATATCCTTGAGCGAGTGTTTTTGACAATATTAGCACTATTTTTGGGACACCCTAGTAAACCGCATGATATTCTTGAGTGAGCGTTTTTGACAATATTAGCACTGATTGTTGGCTACTGACTAGGCTCTACTGGTAGATATACAAAGGTGGCTGACTGTAGTCACTTTTGATGCTTTCCTTCTTCTTCACCTCACCTAAACACATCTTTCTGTGAAAAGGAAATAAAGATAATTCCACAGCGGCGGGGGAAGAGCCTACCTTGTCCAAATTCTTATTTATTTAAAAACAAAAAAACTGGTCGAAGTTTGAATTCTTAACAGGAAGCACACTGTCCGCTTAAAATTACTGCGTATATCACCGCCAAATACGCGTGGACTGGACTTTATATATATGGAGATATTTTTTATCAACGTTTTACATTAATTAATATAAAACTTATTATTTTTTAAATTGAATTAGTGTCGAAATATATTTCATTTTTTATGGATTATTGAATTATTTTTTAAATCTAATCGGTCCAGAGATTATATTATTAGAAAAAAGTAATTTTGTCTAAACCAAATACTTGTGGACTTGACTTAGAAATGTTAAAATAAAATAACATAATTTCCATGCATCCTCGTGTGTATGACCATGAAGGCGCAATGACCTTGCGTTTTTGCTTGTTTCACTTACAAAAAAATAAAATAAAATAAAATAAAAATTGGAGCATATGCTCCAATTTGCTCATTTGGGAAATAAAAAACTAAATTTTATTAAGATATGTGATATTGATTGATAAACTACAGCAACATTAGCATGAATTGTTTTTATTATACATAATGGTTGGAGTAATATGTCTCACATTAATTCCCTTTTGTTCCAGATACAAGAAAGGAACAAAAAAAAAAAACATTATTAATTGCATTGCTTTTGTCCATCTTCTTCACTCACCCTTCTCCAAAATAAAACAAAATAATTATTCCACTCCCATTAATTTAAACTTGCCATTCAAATTAGGCAACGACAGGGTCCAGTTCATCAAATGTTGGAGTTAAGGCACGGTAATGGCCAATGGGTTTGCTTGGTCAAAAGATTAGGCAGATTTATTGATTATCCTACGGATTAGGCAGCTCATCTATGGATTATGCCTGTCCCTCTAAAACCATGCAGTATAGCTAGGCAATTATCGTCTAAAATATGCATTATTCAACACCTACAGCAAAAATTTCCTAAAGAGGCCAAATTAAAGCACCACCTGTAACGCAATACAAAGTCTCTTCTTGTTTCAGCAAGATCAAAGGTGTAATCACCAATCAACGGCTCAGATTTATCGACCGATGGTAATAAAATGAAAGCACAGCACACCACATGGTGTGGCCACTATGCTTTAAAGGATTATGAGCTGTGACGGTGGTCCAAAGTCGTAACACACACACGCACAAAGATAACATAAGAATATTAGAATGCATTACGCTCACACTTTCCTAATATCGGATCCAGCTCATCATTTTTGCTTCTGGTACAAGCCTAGAGGAATTAAATTGAAAACAAAAATTATATATATATATATATATATTAATTTAAATATACATTATCATCTATCTTTCTACGATTTTAATAAGTTTTACAAAATTTATTAATTTTTCGATTCGGATTTAAAAACTTTTATCACAGAATTTTACTTTTATTTTTTTTTTGAATTTACTAAAATAATAAAAACGCAATCGAAATTGTCAAAATTGTTCAAAGATAGATTTAATTCTGAGTTAACATGTTAACTGATTCAAAAATATATTTATTATCGATAAAATATTGTTATTTTTATACATTTCAAATTAATGTATTTTATCACAATTTGGTTAATTAAAACTTTAGGAAAAATAATTACAATTGAAAAACAAGTATTATAAAGAAATATAAACGATAAATAATAATGAGATATATCAATTGACGGCAATTTTTTATTTGATTGAAATGTGAAATATGATGACTTTTAAAGAAATAAAGGAAAAACAAAAAATAGAATTAAAAAAGTAATTTAGCTTTAATACACGAAATCCGACAAGAAAACTTTGATTAAAAACAAAAAAAGAAAGTTAAAGAGTCGGAGGATTCCACCGCCAATTTATACTTTCGCAAGGGCACATCCGTCAAAAAAAGTACGCAAGTCCCTTTCAAGATTCCAATTAAAATAAAGGAAAAACAATTTCTTTATGTTTTTTAAAATAAAATTAATTTAAAAAGCTGATTGTCTTGGAGCATTTGCAACGTCTCCCATTTTAAGTGACACCTCGAACTAGAATATTTTCGCTCTCTCTCACCCACCTTCTCCACCTCCAACACCACCACCACCTCACCTCCACCACTGCCACCTCACCACCACCACCACCCCTCGCCTCTCTCATTTCTCATTCTACAGGCAACAATCCTAGATCTCCATTTCTCTCCTTAAGCTCAATATTCTGATACTTTCTTTACTCATTGAAGCTACATTTCTACTGGTGACTGGTAAGTGATATTTTTTCTTCTTCTTTTTTTGTTCATTATCCTTAAATTTGTATATTGGCGAGCTATTTTTTCATCGGTGGTGAGAAAATAAAAACGAAAATAGAAATGGGTTTTGTTTGGCGTCAGTGCTAATGTTTGTTTCTTCTTTTTGAAAAAAAAAATCTGGTTTTATTTGGACTGTATTTTTTTGTTTTTTTGCCAAAGTGGAGATTGTGATTTCTCTATCTGTCGGTGAAGGGTTCCTGTTGTGAGATTTCTTCCAATTTAAGTCTTTCTTTAAGCTTGTGTTTGTTTTCCTGTTTTGATTATATAGTCTATGGCTTTAGCCTTTTTCTCCTCGATAGCTAAAATGACTTTTTACTTTTATATCTCTGGAATTTTTCTTGATTGCTGTTTTGGTATCAGCCTGTCAGTGACTGATGTTGCTGGCATTCGGCAGCAAAATCACCTTTTGGTTTAGATTTTTTCAGTTTAGCAAACTCTCTCTTTCTGTTACTGTTTCACTGCTCGATTTTTTTTATTCCATTTGGGATAAAACATTTTGGTTCTTCTGAATGTGATTAATTTTGTATTTTTTTTTTTTTGTTATTCATTGTACTGTTATTGTGTTTTTGAGATCTTTATATGGTATTAATTACAAACTTGGTGATTAGATCTTGGCTGTAATTAACAGAGTATTACTGGCCTTAATGACAGAGCTTGCATGTCATTAACGAACGATGATAGTTTTTTTTCTTGAAGGATAGAAACAAGAGATTAAATTATGAAAATGCAGGTTATAATTTGGATGATAATTCATTTGGTCAGTGTTTTGAGGACTTTCAAATATTGATTATCCTATTTTATGGTATTTATTTTAAATCATGTCAATTTATCATAAAATTACAGTGTTTGTTTGGCTTTTTTTTTTTTTTTTTGTTATATACTGTGTTTGACTGCTGAGAAAATGCAGGATTTTAGAAGGGAAATTTAATGGGAGAAAATGCCACCTGTTTTACCTTTAAAATGGGTGGCTAAGAAAACCTGGTTTTATCATTAATTGGGTTTGCCATTTTAAGATGTAGCATGATTGTTCTGAAGCCATTTTCTCCAGACTTGGATTTTGAAATATTGAAATGGATTTCCCATTTCTTTATGTTTAAAGTCTAATAAAATTATGTGTTCTGTTCTGTCTATAAGTTGTACCAATAAAAACAAAAGAGTATCATACGTAAATTGGAATTTGTTGTTTTAATTTATCTTTAATTGAGGATGGCTTGTACTAGATTCGTTTTCTTATATATCTGCAATTTTTGGCATTGTTAGAGTGGATTTATAATTCATGCATTTTGTTAATTGACTTGTTTGAGGTTTGACCATTTGTGTACCATTATTGCATTATATAGTTTCTAGCTGATTTCTATCAATTTTGCTCATATTTACACTTGAAATTTCCAGTCCGATATGGATCGCCGGAGTTGGCCTTGGAAGAAAAAATCATCTGACAAGACTGAGAAAGCTGCCGTCTCAGCAGATTCTGGTGGATCACAGGGAGAGAAGGTATATTCACTGATATAAGTTCTGTTTTCACTTTGTTTACTTGCATCTGTATCAGACAATTCTATCTCTATTTTCTTCTGGTATTGGTTGGTTGTTTTTTATGTCTTGTTATCTCTGGCATACGTTTTTATTTGCATGGTTTATGGCATTGTATGCTTAACAGTTGCAGCATTCCCATGAATTTCTCTGCAACTGTCTCCACAAATGAGTGAATTTGTGAACTACAAATTTTGACATCATTAAAAATATCAGACAAATAAACTGCAGGCTTCAACTTGCTACATACCAGTTTAGTTTCTTGACTGCTTCAGATTTGTTAGATGAAATAGACTAAGGATAGGATTAACAGTAGCACCATGCACCTGGCTAACCAAATTGTCGTCTCCGTTCCTTTTCAAAAGTTACGAGTTTCTCTGATGAATTCCTTTTCTGGTATTCTTTTTGTGAGAACAGGACAATTATAAAAAGCCCAACTATGTTCAAATTTCTGTGGAATCATACACCCACCTGACTGGTTTAGAGGATCAAGTGAAGACATATCAGGATCAAGTGAAGACATATGAAGAACAAGTTCAGACACTAGAAGAAGAGATTAAGGACTTGAATGAAAAACTGTCTGCAGCCCATTCAGAGATGACTACCAAGGAAAACCTGGTGAAACAACACGCTAAAGTTGCTGAAGAAGCTGTCTCAGGTATGGCACTGTTCTTGAGATACTATATGAAGATAGTTGGGGTTGGTCCTTATTTATCATTAAAACATCCTAAATTTAGCTTGGCATAAATTGTATTGAATTTGGATCTTCTTTTCCTGCAGGTTGGGAAAAGGCTGAGGCAGAAGCTTTGGCATTGAAAAATCATCTAGAATCAGTCACACTCTCAAAGCTCACAGTTGAAGATCGGGCATCACATTTGGATGGTGCTCTTAAAGAGTGCATGCGGCAGATACGAAATCTAAAAGAAGAACATGAACAGAAAGTGCAGGAAGTTGTTCTCAACAAGAACAAGCAATTGGACAAAATTATGAAGGATTTTGAATCAAAGATAGCCAACTTAGATCAAGAACTGCTTAGGTCTGCTGCAGAAAATGCTGCACTTTCAAGGTCATTGCAGGAGCGTTCTAACATGCTGATCAACATAAGTGAAGAAAAGTCACAAGCTGAGGCTGAAATTGAGCATTTGAAGGGCACTATTGAGTCATGTGAAAGGGAAATAAATTCCCATAAATATGAACTCCATGTAATTTCCAAAGAGCTGGAGATTCGTAATGAAGAAAAGAATATGAGCGTGAGATCTGCTGAAGCAGCTAACAAGCAGCATATGGATGGTGCCAAAAAAATAGCTAAGCTGGAAGCAGAGTGCCAAAGATTGCGTGGTCTTGTGCGGAAGAAGTTGCCAGGTCCTGCTGCAGTTGCCCAGATGAAGCTAGAGGTTGAGAGTATGGGGCGAGATTATGGAGACTCTCGACTGAGGAGGTCTCCCATTAAGCCTCAAAGTCCTCATTTGTCCTCAGTGACTGAATTTTCACTTGACAATGTACAGAAATTCCATAAAGAGAATGAGTTTCTCACAGAGCGTTTATTTGCAATGGAGGAGGAAACAAAGATGCTGAAAGAAGCATTGGCAAAGCGTAACAGTGAACTGCAGGCTTCTAGGAATCTTTGTGCTAAAACAGCAAGCAAGCTTCAATGTTTAGAAGCTCAATTTCAAATCAGCCATCAGCAGAAAAGTTCCCCAAAATCTATCATTCAGATTCCTGCTGAAGGTTACTCTAGTCAAAACATTAGCAATCCACCTAGCTTAACCTCTGTGTCTGAAGATGGAAATGACGATACCCAAAGTTGTGCTGACTCCTGGGCAATGACATCGATCTCTGAAGTTTCCCATTTCAGGAAGGACAATCACAGTGAGAAGTCGAACATGGCTGAAAATGCAAAGAACCTTGAGCTTATGGATGACTTCTTGGAGATGGAGAAGTTGGCTTGTTTAAATGTAGATCGTGCCGCTACCATTTCAAATTCTCCTAATGAGAAGACTTCTGAAATTGCCAATAGTGATGCTTCGGGTGATGTCTCTTTGCAAAAAGCAGATGCACTGTCTGAAGAGAAGCGCGATTTGGATCGACTGGTGACTCCTGTCTCTTGCAATAAGGGTTCTTCAGCCATAGATTCAGGATCTGATGCAGACCTGACGTCATTCGTGAAACTGCAGTCGAGAATCACTGTATTACTTGATTCTGTGTCTAAGGAGGCTGATGTGGGAAAAATTTTAGAGGATATTAAGCAGGTTGTGCAGGATGCAGAAACTACTCCAAGTTGTGTTTCCAAAGAAGCACACAGTTCAGATGCAACATGTGACAGGCAGACTTGTCCTGAAGATGCTGGCATAATGGGAGAGAAGGAAATTGCACTGTCCCAAGAGAGTAAGGCAGCCACACGCATTATGCACACAGTAAGCCAGGAGTTGCTGTCTGCCATTTCTCAGATTCACGACTTTGTACTATTGCTGGGAAAGGAAGCAATGGCAGTTCATGACACTTCTTGCGATAGCATTGGTCTGAGCCAAAAAATTGAGGAGTTTTCAATCACTTTAAAAAAGTTTTATGCCGCAACGGAAGTTTGGTTGATTTTGTATTTGACCTTTCTCATGTATTAGCATTAGCCTGTAGGCTCAGATTCAATGTCCTGGGATATAAAGGCAATGAGGCAGAAATCAATAGTCCTGATTGCATAGATAAGGTCGCTTTACCAGAGAACAAGGTTGTTCAAAAGGATTCATCAGGAGAAACATATCAGAATGTTTGTGCCAACGTTTCTAGTCCTACCTCCAATCCTGAGGTGCCTGATGATGGAAATTTGGTACCAGGCTATGGATCAAATACCACATCATGCAAGGTCTCATTGGAAGAGTTTGAAGAATTGAAATCAGAGAAGGACACCATGGCCATGGATCTAGCTAGATGTGCTGAAAATTTTGAAATGACAGAGTCTCAATTACATGAAACCGAGCAGCTTCTAGCTGAAGTTAAATCACAATTGGCTTCTGCACAAAAGTCTAACAGCTTGGCTGAGACACAGCTTAAATGTATGGCAGAGTCTTATAGGTCGCTCGAAACACGTGCACAGGAGTTGGAAACTGAGGTAAACCTTCTGCGGGTGAAAACAGAAAATTTGGAAATTGAGCTTCAAGAAGAAAAGAAGAGTCATCAGGGTGCTTTGACCAGATGCAAGGAACTAGAAGAGCAACTGCAAACGTAAGCTTCCATTCTTTTCTTTTACAATGTTCAGATTAACCATCTATCTTGTGCAAACTTATGTCTGCCACGACCAATGTTTTTTGAATTATCTTGTAGATTTTTTTTATGCTGCATGTGGATTTGGTGTTTTCTCTAATATGAATATTTTGTTATTTTTAGGAATGAGAGCTCTACAGCCGCTGAGATTGACATCAAGAGCAAACAGGTGTGGCATTTTTCCTCTTCCTCATTCCTTAAATTTTCTTTGTTCAGATTGGCATTGTTCCTCGTGTTAGAAATAAAGAAGAGTTGAAAAAAACAATATGAAAGATATTTATGTACAGCGTTGTATATCATTACATATTGCAAGCCAAATTAAGCATCTATGGACCTCACTAGAACAGGCCAATAAATGAGCACTATATGAAGTTGATACTGATCTCTCAAAAACAAATGGGTATTTTCGTATAATGTGATAGATCATTGCCTTCCGAACTTCCATGCCAAGTATTTTATATCAAATAGGGGAGTGGGTGGTGGGAACAATATCATTTTTTTCGAAACAACAAATCATGCTGAGGGGGAGGAATATGATTTCTAGTTAACTTCTGAGGTCCTTGCCATAGTTAATGTGATATTTTGGACACAATCAGTATAAAGAGCTAAATTGAAAGTATTGTTTCAGGAGCAAGAAATAGCAGCTGCTGCAGAAAAGCTAGCAGAGTGCCAAGAGACGATATTTCTTCTTGGCAAACAGTTAAATTATTTGCGTCCCCAAACAGAGACCATGGGATCTCCTTACAGTGAGAGGAGTCAAAATGGAGATGGAATTGCTGAAGACGAACCTACTATAAGTGGCAAGAATTCGCAGGACTTTGATCAAGCTGAGATGGACACAGGTGCTTCAGCTCATACGCACAAAGCAGTTGCTGAATCTCCCATGGATTCGTACAACCATCCTTGTAGTCCATCTGATACAGAATCAAGCCTCTTGAGATCACCAGTTGGTTCTAAGATTCCAAAACACAGGCCTACAAAATCAGCTGCCTCTTCTTCCTTTTCTGCCCCAACGCCAGAGAAACATTCTCGAGGATTTAGCAGGTTCTTTTCTGCAAAAGGGAAGAATGGTTATTAGTCCTGCAGCTCGCAGGCATAATAATGTTGTGGTCGATACAGATCCATTCAGTAATAATCGGAATCACCAAACATGGAGTTATCAACCATAACTGGTGTTTGAATCACTTGTGCAATATTCAAGCTTTTGACCCTGGGTTTGTTTAGGTTTCATATTGTGAAATGATGCTTTGAACACTGGGTAATTTTTTGTAACTAATGACTGTATATGGTATCCGCATCTATTACTACTAGTTTCTTTTTAGTATTTGCCTTCTGTAATTCTGTGAATCGAAAATGACATAGTTTCTTATTAATGTTGTCAGTTCCCAGATACTTTTGTGAAACGTCCCAATTAGCTAGGTTTTTGGTCAAACTCGTCGGTTTTTTCGACTTTCAATTTTCCTAAACGGGCTTCTTCATGCCTTTTGCTTCGACTTTTTATTTCCACTAGGGCGGGTTTACTTTCGAGACCGTTGGAGAGCTGCGGGACTTAAAAGGTTGAAGTCTCCAAGTCCAGATAAATAGCTTGGAAAATTGCCATCGCGCCTCTACTCTTTTTCATGGGAAAAGAAATCGAAAAATGTTATGTGATATTAAATTTTTTCAATTACATTGATCCAAACCAGGGATTTTCAAAACTTTTCATTCCGAATATCTGTTTTATCTCATTCAGCAAAATTGAAAATACCCATTTTTCATTTTTTATTTTTTGGGTTCTGAAGTCTTGTACTGGGCTTGATGGGTGTTTTCCTGAGCCCTTAAATCAATGAATGGGCCTTGCACATTCAACCTGTACACTCGGTCCAGTTATTTTGTCTATGTTCCAGTTGGCGATTTCGTTTGGGCCTCTCTTTTCTCTTGGAGTACTGTGTAGTTGTAGACTTTTACATGGCCCATTGCATTTATATTTCTCGCCCCATTGCTGTTTCGAGTAATTTTAAAATTCCCAAATTGGTAAAGCTGAAATCATCCTGAATAAACTTAATGAAAACTGACGTTGATTTTACAATAATTTATTGTAGACTCCATTGAATTTCTTCCAACATACTTCGGTTTCTTCAATGAATTCAACATCGTATGGTAACATAAATGGGAGGCAGATAGACTACCTCAAATTTCCGACAAAACACATTGTACCCACAACATCTATACGTAGGAAAAGAATTCTCTTTGCATCTATATCTGAAGTCAAAATTCAAGATGCCTAAAGCACTAGCACGTAAAATCGACACCAACAAAGACCTATTCCTACGTTCGGGCATCTTAATTGAATTTGGCATTGTTCTTTCGTCCCCGGTGGAAAAATTGTGTGGTTGTGGACCTTTAAGTGACCCCTTCTGTTTATTTTTTAACTCATGGTGAGGAGAGGGCTGACTGTTAGATAGCCCAAAGATGATCTTATCCCACTAAATAAATTGGGCGTTTTCCACTAACTAAACCCTCAAATTCCTTTCATTCAATCGGCCAGCCGGTATCCCTCTGTTTTTAGGAGAAGGCCTTGAATTATTTAGTTAACGAGAAAGAGTCATGCAGCCCAATTGATGGTCCGGCATTCTAGAACAGGATAAGCAAAATGTTTCCTTAAAAAATATAGCTAAAAGGGCCAAATTGCTACTAAACTTAACTCTGTTTGAAAATCAGTTTTTGAATTTTGAATTTGTACTTTTATTTTTTTGAACTTTTTAAAAAAATTTAGTTCATTTTTCAGTATTTTGCCATTTATTCCAAAAAAATAACAATTATATTAATATTTTTATGATGAAAATCATTCACTCAAATTTATTTGAAGTTCTCCAAAAAAATTTGACATCATTCCGAGATTATTTCTATATTTTTCTCTTTTTTAATATATTTTTAATATTAAAAATTAAAAAATATATAATTTCTAAGTCTGAAAAATTCTAGAATTTTTCTAGAAAATGAATTAAATTTTTTCTGACGTGTGTATAAAATTTTATATCAAAATACCAATAATTGAATTTTTTAGTGGAGAAGAGTGATAGCTGAAAATTATAGTATAGACTAATTTTGTTTTTAAAAAATAAATATATATTTCAAAAATTACAAATTAAAAGATTAAAAATTAATTTTTAAATGAATTAAAATTTATGAAAGGTTTAGTCCTTTTAGTAACATATATATATATCATAATGTCAATACTAGGAATATATCAAACAATATTTTTATAAAGGGAGCTAGGGAACTTTCAACCCAGCTGCTTAAATTTGGAGAAGCTCGTTTGTCCTGTCTGAGCACTTCAAAGACAATTTGGTAACTCTTGAAGAAATATATAGCAGCAGCACACTCCATTAGACCTTTTAAAGTTATACAGAGAACAAGGATCCATATCCTCCCACAGCCATTCGTGCATGATCAGCATGTCTAGTTGGGCTAATTTTGGAAAACGGTTTTTGGTTGGCAACTTGGCATCTCAGCTAGCTCTATACATCCATCCACTTGATATATTGACCCGGTTTTAGTACATTCATGCATGCATTTTCTTCAACACCGAAGGAGATGGCAGTACAAGTAACTAGCTTTAAGCAATAATTTCTACAAAAAATACTGTAAACTTCCCATGTGTTTTTTACTTCTTTCAAGCAAGCATGTTCAGAAAAATAAAGATCGAGAAAGAGTACCGGTCTTGTACTATATCATTCGCTGTAATTTGGGAGAGATGCAGGAAATAAAATGATAAATTATACGTGTGTTTGCCTAGGGGGAGACAGCTAATAATGTAATTGGTCAACGGTCATATATATGTATGTATTGAAAACATAACTGGAATTTTTGTTAGGCATGGTTAATTATCCTATATTATGTTTCAACTTAATTATGCTAAAGAAGACCGTAAAAAAATTATTTTTTATTTCTAATGTGAATATTTATTTATTCAGTTGAAATCCGATCCGATAATACTGTTATTATTAAAATTAAACAAAGAATAACAATTAATTTGATCGGATCAAGAAACTGACTAGAAGAAGATTTATATATTTTTATTTGTTTGATTTATAATAATCAATTGAATATTTTCAAATTGTTATCAAGATTAAAACATGTGTATGATTTTCAAAGTTTGGCGCCTCACAATTGTTTTCGCCCTATGGGCTATATATATAAAAATGGATCAAGTCCTTAAAATTTTTGGATTGTCAAAAATGTTCTACAAACTATGCTCATTAGGAGATTGACTATCTTTTCATTGATGGGATGGTACGAAAATAATAGAACAAATTTTGACTAGGTATATCTTGTGTTAAATTTTAGTAGAATTGTTAATTTCTCTCTTGATAAGTATTGAAAGACTAGCAGTTGAGCTACATACGTAAATTGTTTGGTCGCAATGATTGGATATTCAACTTAGAAAAGCTGAAATCATATGTGGAATCAAAATTTATAGGCCAGGGTTAGTCAAGAAGCAAACACGCAAATTTTCTTGTGGAGTATGGTTGACGCCAAACATGCATGCCCTACACAAATGCCTGTCCAACACCAACTTGTTATTGGCAAAGAACAACGGGATAGCAAACGATTACACACATGCATCCCGAACATTATCAAACAAAAAGGCATGCATGAATAATATCATTCATGCAGAGAAGATATTAAATTCTCAAATTCATGAATAAAATCTAATATCTAACGATGGGATAGCAAACGATTAGCTTGTTTAGTATTTTTCTTCTTGGATGCATGTTTCCTACCATATATTTCATGAGTCAGATATAGAGAACAGATTTTTAGAAGGATCCATGAGGTCCTTAAAATTCACATGATCATCCAACAGAGGATTTTACTACCCACGTTTTAATACCAGAATTCAAAATAATAATTCCTTATTTACTTAGAAAAGAATATCCTTCCTCTTTTTTTGAATTAATGCTATGCGTCCTTAGGTAATATTCAATTTAATTTACTATAATTAACACCATTTTTTCAAAAAGAAAAAGAAAAAAAAGGGCAAATATGGTTTATGCATGCTATTGCAATTGCTAGTTTCTCTAGAGAGGAAGTACTTCGTAAATAATATAAAAACCATGTCAAATAGAATTTCATAAAAATTAAGCTCGATGGTAAGTTCTGTTTATCTTTGTTTTGCCTGCTAGTTAAAAGTTATTGAATTATGAGGTTTTGTTTCATCATTAGAAGAGGGTGTAGCTCTAATGGATAAATCAACGCTCCCTTTTTTTTCTTTCAAATCACTCTCCCTTTTCATCAATGCCAAGGGAGAGAAGATAGGCACAATGCGGCATTGTGACTAATTATTTAATTTGAAATGAATTTGTCTTTCATTTAAAAGAATTAAATTATGTAGTTTTTTTTTTAATCATTTTATCTCATTTATGTTGAAGAATTGTCTCAATTTAAATATTTAAAGTATTGGGTGAGGCTATAGAATAGCTTTATATTAACTTTTTAATATATATATCGCATCAAGTAAAAACTTTTTTATTTTAACCTTGCACATGCTCATCATACATTTTTTTAAATAATTTTTTTTAGGTTTGAAATTCGTATATTTCCATCAAAATTTTATACTTAATTTATAATTAATTATAAATTAAAAAATATAATGATGTGATTAATATTTAATTTAGTTAGAAAAAATAGAGTAGTGAAATTCGAATTCGCCACTGCTTGCATGTATTTAATTTCACAAAAATCAAGCTTGATGACAAGTTCTGTTGACCTTTGTTTTGCCAGCTAGTTAAAAAAATTTATCGAATGATGACGTTTTGTTTTATCATTAGAAAAGAGTTATAGCTCTGATGGACAAATCAATGCACTTTTTTGTCAAAACACTCTCACCTTTTCATTAATGCCAAGGGAGAGAATATAACCATAATGTGACATCGTAATTAATTATTAAATTTGAATGAGTTTATGTTTCATTTAAAAAATTTATTGTTGTTGTTATTATTATTATTATTATTTGTGGTTTTCTAACATATTAGGTTAGCTGTGTTAAAGAATCATCTCCATCTATAACATAAAGTGCTGTTGGATGAGGTTCTAAAATGGTTTTAAATTAACACCCTAACATCTCTTCAAATAAAATTTTTATTGTTTTTATCAACTTAGATATTTTCATCATATATTAGATATAAGACTAATCCCGAAGAATCATTTTAATCCAAAGGCTTGAAGTTTTGGTGAGGTTCTAAAATGATTTCATCTTTTTAACATCTCTTCGGGTATTATTTTTTTGTATCCATGTATTCTCATCTCATATTGGAGATAAAACTAATCATGTTTGGAGTGAAAGTCATAAGGTTTAACTTCGTCCTAATAAATACGATTCTATAATTCGAACTCTACACATTCATAAAAAAATTCATTTAGAGATCAATTCACTTGTTATTAGATCAAAAACTTGAACATATCCATCACACATCTCTTCAAATAAAAGTCTTTTGAATTTGAAAATTGCATATTTACATTATTACTTTATATTTAATTTTTAATTTAATTAGAAGAATGTGGTGGTGAGAATCTAAGTTGTGACCATAATTGTACTGAATTTTTAATTAAATTAAAAAAATAAAAATAGTGATATTCGAATTCGTAACCGCTTGATTATTAAACTTTTGATTCCATGTCAAAAAAATATTTTAACTTAAAAATTTAAATAGTTAAATAAAATCTCAAAATAATTTTATATTAACTGTTTAAATAATTTTATATTAACTCTTTAACAGTACTCAATTTGGTACAATCACACGAGTCATGTTCATTAGCATAATCCAATTCTTCTAATTTCGGTATAATTTATTTATATTAATTGACTTATATTCTTAAAATCACACATATACAGCTCTAACTTGTTTTGGGTCTCAGCCACTAATGTCTTAATCACTAAACACTTTTTTTAAGTCAATTATATTTGTGTACCAATTACGGTCACTTCTTGAAGCAGATATCAATTTCTTTAACGTGGGCATGTATGTTCGTTTGTCGCAAAAAGTTCAAAACCCAATTCTTTCTTTTTGCTGTGATTGGTTTTTATAATTATACTATCTGTTACAAGGTCCTGAATTTTGTTTTTACTTTTCTCCTCGATCATGAGAGGTTGAAAAAAGGTCGAAGAAAACTAAATAAAGCATTTCGTACGACATGGCATGTTAAGAGCGATGTACTCCAAGATTTACCTGTCTTTTGTTATGAAAAAGAAACGAAATGAAATGGGGCAAACATGAATTAACTGGAAGAGACATTGAAAAGACACAGAAGGATGAAGAATCGGAAAAAGACGGAATTCACCAACCGCGAGTTAGTGGTCGTTTAGAAGCCTGAAAACGGCAAATGTCTCTTTAACTTTAGTTTATTTAAAAATTAATTTCTGAATTTTTAATTCTTAAATTTAGTTTATTTTATGAATTTTCACTTATTATCTTTTTTTTCTCTAAAAAAATAATTATTAAAATTCAATCTACTCTGTAACAAAAAAATCCAAAAAATTTTAAAGTTGGGAATTATATATATTTTTTATTTTTTAAACATTAAAAATATAAAAATCAGAAAATGATAGAAAATAACTCTAAATAATCATAAAATTTATGGAAAGCTCTAAATAAATTAAATGATTTCCAACGCTTAAATGCTTATATAATTGTTTTTTTTAATAAATGACTAAAAATTGAATGATAGAATTAATTTCAAAAAATCAGAAACATCAAAACACAAATTCAAAATTCAAAAATTGATTTTTAAATAAAACAAAATCCGGAGAAAATTTGGCTCTTTTAACTCATTTGGAATTGAATCTAACTTTTCTCTTTCTATAATAGAGCTCAAAGATCATGAAATCTTCGTAAATCATACTATTGTGCATGTGAGCGTTGTCTCCGTTTCAACTGCCCGTGGCCCCTTGTCTTATCTCGGACCAATGTTCATCGTTCTTGTTCATATTGGACTAATTTTTTCGGCATTGTTTTTTACCAATCTCTTAGTTTTTTCTACGATTTATGGGACTAATCTTTTTTTTCAATAGTATTTTAATAAAAAACGTAGAAAAAAATTGGTTGATTAGATAATGTAACATCCGGTCAACCAATTGTACCATAATTACACCCCCAACAAATTCGATTCAAGCAGACTTGGATTCAAAAATTCGGACCGAATGTGGAAACATCTATTCCAATCCAAAAACAATACTATAAAAAGGCCGTTAGGTGAATCAATGATGATAAATAATGTCATGTCTCATGGATGTAACCTTAATCACAGAATTCAATGGACTGGTTTTCAAAAGTAAAATCAGCTCACCTATTCAGCGAACAAGCTTAAAATTTCAAACCTAGCTAGTTAGGCAAGTTATCTACTTCTAGGAAGACGATCCCATAACCATGTCTATGATCTATTTATGTCTATACCTATGGTTTAAACCTTTTTTTTTTTTTTTTTAAATATAGACTAGCATAATTTTATAGTTGTGTATCTAAAAAGAAGTTTGAATTTTAATAATTCTAGTTTATTTGATTGTTAAATTTATTATGCAATGGCTAAACAAATTTAATCACTTTTGAATTTTAAGTTATTTAAAGTTGAGTTTTATAATTTTTTTATTAGTTTTAAAAAATTTTCAATTTTGAATTTTTTCAAATTTACTTCATCTTTTAGTTTTCTGTCATTTATCTTAAAAAATCATTATTATAAATAATTTCAAAACTAAAATCATTCAAGTAAGATTTACAAATGACTCTTAAAAAAACTTAAGATAATTTCATAACCATTTTTTATTTTTCTCAATTTTCTATATTTTTTATGTTTGAAAAATTAAAAAAATTTATTTTGAAAATTCTGAATGCAACAAAATTGATTGAATTTTTTTTCAATGTGTATGAAAAAATTTAGCTCAAGAGATCAAGAATTGAATTTTTTTTAAAAAAAGATAATAGTTGAAAATAATTACATAGATTAAATCTGAAAAAAGTTAAAAATTTAAAAATCCTTAAAATTAATAAAAAATTTAAAATTTTAATTTTAAATGACTTAAAATTCAAGAATGGTTAAACCATTACCTAACTAGAAAAAACCACGTCTCATTAAAGCTTGAGATCCAATAAAATTCCCTGTATATTAAAAAAAAAAATTAACTTTTTGTGGCTTAACAGTAAAATAAACTCATGCATGAGGATCGAGAGTCAAAGATTGAAAGGATTATGGCCTAATCGAGGATGAGTTGATGCTTTTGAGGGCTTAGAAATTAAAATTAAAGGCGTACCCACACGCCTGCAGAGTCTTCGCTGTGTCGGCTATCCTCATTAGAAGTTACTGGTCTCTTTGAAAGAGGGCACCACATCATGTAAATGCACCTTGACTGACGGGCCAAAGCCTAGCTGCTAGAGCCCTATTATCTTCAAAACATGCACGTTCGGCTCTTAATATTTACAGAATTAAATCAAATTGGCTCGAGAATTTATGGACTCCATCAAATTTTTTAGTGGATTGTCCGATCAGTACGGTTTTTAGGGGCTAGACGTGGGGTGATGGACCACAAACAGGGAAGTGGGACTGCCCTAACAAATATTATAGTATTTTATTCAATAAAACACGATAGCCCTGTCAACTGGAATTTCACCACCAAGGCAGTTCCTCTTTTATGCCACTCTATAGATTTTAGGAAATCTGTCCGAATTGTCTATGAAGGGTGGAGGTTCATGCGGTAAAAACGATTCATTTATAATAAGGTCTCCGATTCGAAATTATCATAATTTTTTGTTAAATGTGGGATGTTTATATTTTTTTAATCTTATTTATGAGTTTTTTTTTTAGATTTTTAGGATATCTCAATCCCAAAAATCTAGAATAATACATCATTATTTGATCAGACATATAAAATAGATATAATTATTTAAAATTTGTTTTATCTGTATAAAATTTAAATTCGAGATTGCTTGGATAAATGAGTAGAATCCAACTTTTTTAAATTTATTTATGAGTTATTTTAAAATTTAATTTAAATGTAGAATTAACGAAATTCTTTCTTATATGTATATATTATATCTGTAAACTCGTCTTTAATAACAATATGCATAAGAAATTATTACATTCACTAAAAATTATTTTTTCAAAGATCCTTTTTTGAATTCAATGGGAAATATCAAAATACGGCAAGTAAAGAAAGATCGTCTCGGGATTTAAAAATTTCAGGAAGATGTTTGGTATGGAGGCATTTAAAATTTTTATGAGAAAGTTATTTGACATGTTAAGAGTTTCTGTATTTGATATGCATGAAATTTTAAATGTCTTGAAATCTAACATTTTTTAATGCATTTCATTCTCTTGAAAATTAGGAATGTGATTCTTTTTTAAAACGATGAGAATCACAATCCAACGACAAATAAATATATTTTGGACCTAAAATCCCCTGCCATTAATATTAATTGGGGCCAACATATTCTTAATTTTTATTAATAATAACATAATTGTTCATTTTGACAATCTGTTATTAAGAGATTTATTTAGCTCATGTAATAAATTAGAAAATAAAAAAAAATATTAGATTGGAGTTTTGAGTTGTCAAAGTCATTGTAAATTGTAAAACCTATTATTTTCAGAATTTTCACTTGTTAAAATAAGGAATTGTAGGGTTTGAATTGACTTGAAATTTAATATTGTATCTTTAAAATTTTCAAACATCTTTAGTAAATATTTATTTTACTTGATAATTACAATTTTATTTTATTTTATCATAAATTTAATTTTTTAATTGAATCTATTTCAATACATTAGTTTTCAGTACTGGTAAAATGTATTTTTACATGTATAATGTTGTAAAAAAATATTAATATTTTGAGTTTCTGGATTAAAATGATAAAGTTATTTAAACTCCTCGTGAATTCTCAACGATAATCTAAACATAATGAAATACATTACCAAAAAATTTTCTTTTCAGATATAAATATTGCATATGCAGCAATTACGTTTCGAAGAAAACACATTCTATAAAAATAAAACAAACATCTAATTATTTTTTGTATATTATAAAATTTCTGTATCCGTACCCATACTAAACGCCACTAGAGTTACGTAAATACGAGCCGTCCACTTGGTGGGCCACCACTTAATCGTTGTAATTATTATAAGTTGATCAGAGACGCAATCCTGGAGAAGATTACACGAGATTCCAGCAGTGGGCCCCCACCACATGGCCTATGGACGGATGTTGATTGAATAAAGTCTCTTTCATTTTTCATTTTTTTCCTCGACCAAGCAAAATTCTCCCTTCGTATCTTAGCCAGGTAAATTATAAATTAGTCCCACCACTTTTAAAAAACGAATTAAGTAATCCATTATGTTTTAAAAATTAATTATTTAATCTCTTAACTAGTATTAATTACATTAATTTAATATTATTTTGTTTCAAAATCTATTTTTTCATCAACCTTTTGTAATATATATATTTTTATATTTTGTATTTAAAAAAAATAAATTTAAAAGGACATAAAATGATCAAATTATTAATTTTTAAAATAGGAGGACTAGTTATTTAAAACAAAAAACTAGAGTAACTAATTTATAATCTACTCTAACCAGCCCTTTGATTGCGGTGGTAGCTTAAGGGCATTGGCTGGAAAAGGAAAAAGTCCATGAAAGTACAATCTGGGGAAAAAAATTAAACCTCGAAAAATGACATAATAGATTTGAAATATTCCAAAAGGGACAAAAGCTTTTGAAATTTTCAATGAATCTCTCTTTATCAATTGATATAAAATATAAAAAAAATAACATTCATATCCATAAAAATAATAAAAATATTTTTAATTAATTTTTCTACTCATTTTTTTAACATCCATCTCTCATCAAGATTAAATATTGTTAGTTATTCGAAGAATAAGATAATTTTTTTCTTGAAATGGTACAAAACGCTAAATTAATGGAGTCACTTTTCGGTGGAAATTCTTATAGAACTAAAAGATGCATGGGTCAAAACTTCGTAAATGGCATCCACGCTCGTGATCTGGTGAAAAATGGTGAAGCAACTGCTAAAATGTTGTTACAATTTGATGCTGGAGAGGAATTGAATAGTACCCAACTGCAGAAAAGAGCATTAATTTGGTTATCTGGAACAAGAATCAACTGCATTTTTTTTTGTTATTTTCTTCTAAGAAAATATCTCATGGAAAAGGAAATAAGTGTTGTGTTGTGACATTGGTTTTATTTTTAATTTTTTCTTTTGCCAGTATATTTCTGACAAAACATTCTTCTTTGCTGTCCGATGGGCACCATCTTTAACAGTTTTAACGGCCAAAATGGCAAGAGCAAACCCAAAGATAATGCAGCCTCAACTACCGAAGACAAAACCCTAAAATCATGTGAAAAGTGCCTCTGCAAACTCCTGCATGCAAGAAAGAGAGAAGAGAGAGAGAGAGAGAGAGAGAGAGAGGGGGAGCAAACCCCATTGTATTTCCTTACATCAGTTCTCCCACAGGGTACAATATTAGTGGTTGGTAACAAACCCAAGCACACCACTGTGAGGAAAAATTCGAACTCCGAGATTTACAAATCTAAACCCAGATACTTATAATATTTCATGGGTTTTTTTTTTTGATCAGTCAGAGTCACTGTCAAAATAGAAAAAAATAAAAAAAAATTCAATATATTAGAGAAAATTAAGCAAGAGAAGCAGTAAAGCAGCTTCATCTCTAGGTATAACATGCCTTAATCTTCTCCAAACAAACAATATATAGCCTAAACCTGATATGCAGCTTCTCCTAGCTCAGTATCTGATCAGAATGGACTGAAAAACAACTTCTTCACAAGGAATGGTAAGACCCATATCATGATCGAACCCAAATTCTTCTTCTGCTTGTTGAAGCAAAGTTTGAAACTCAGGACTACTCAAGATAGAGATAGGCACAATGTATCTGCTTCTGTTTTCACCAACGTATACAACAAAGTGACCTTTCGGGACGTCCAAAGGAAGGCCTTCTGGGTCATGGTACCCTTGTTTCCTTCCTAAGCTTGAGCACCTCTTGAGGATCTGCTTGATAACTGCTGTCTGAGGCAACTTGTTTGACTTCCGGATAGCCATTTTCTGGAGAGTGAAGTTTGAAAGAGAAGAGAGCCTCTGGGCTTTGAGTTGCGGTAAGTGAGAGAGGGTAAGGAGAGTGTGAAAAGGCTGAAAGGATTGTAGGGTATTTATGGGGGTGGATTGAGGCAGATAGAGAAGCAATGTCATGTGGGGTTGTGGGGGCAAAGGACAGACCATCGGTGTTTTTGGGGTCTGTGTGACCTTAAGGACATGCTTGGTGCCTAACCCATTGGGTTTACACCACTCTGTTGTCCTTCCTAAGGACATCATGGTCCCTCTCTCCCTTTCTCTCTTTCTCTCATGTTTGCTTGGCTTTCTAGTAATTTTGGTGTCTGATTGTACTTTCTTCCAAATTTGCTATGCTTCCTCTTTATTTACTTGGTACTTTTGCGCAGACATTGAGGCAGCAGGTAAAATGTAAAACAGAGGAAAACTTTCCTGTAATGGAACTATAGGAGTGTCGATCTTCTTGTCAACAACAATTTTACTGCTCGAGATGTCTTTCATTCACAGCGAACTTTTTTCATGCTAGCTGTTTAACTCTTCTGTTTGGACATTTGAATATGATATATATTCTTTTTCTTCAAGATTCAAAAATATGGATTTTGCCCTGTTCCCTCATAGGAGCGGTTTGACACAGTCTTCTATTTTCATGTTTCGACTTTGGAATTCCCATGCCACTAGTAACTTTGACTTCGCTTCTCTTTCCCTCTTTCACCTGGAAAAAGTTTAACCTTCAAAAAAAAAAAAAAAAAAAATTCATGTGTGATCGCTTTTTAAGTGCAGATCATGTGACTTTCTTTGATAATTGAGACGGAAAATCCAATGAAGATTCTACAAGAGTAGTTAATGTTCAGTTCCAAAATACTATTCCAACCCTAATTTTTTTTTTTTATGGGATGAAGTTTTAAAAATAATTTTATATTAATTTTAATATATTTTTTAAAGTGAGAATTTAAAAATTTTAAGTTGTTAGTTAAAATTTTAGAAATAATTTTTATATTAATTTTTTAACTTAAAATTTAAATAACTTCATTACTATCTTATAATTAATTATATAGATAAAAAAATAAAAATAGTGAAATTTAAAATTACGATCGTTTGATAATCAAAATTATGATATTATGTCAAAAAATAAATTAACTTAAAAACTTAAATTAATGAGTGAAATATCTTTAAAAATTTTATTTTGTTTTTTATCGTGGATTAAAGTATACATAGTTTGGCAACTTTTATAATGCATGAATTTTCAATTTTCTTGAATAATCAAAATGGGGCATATATGTTCTCTATGAACAGGGTTAATTGGCCTGAAAGGCTGACACGGCTAATTAATTCCATATATTCGTTGCGTACGAAATACTGTGACAAAGAAAAGGAGAATTTTTTTGCTCATTCCCACACAAATCTGATTAGTTTTCATATTTTGGTTACGTCTCGAATGAAGTGAGTATGGTTCAATGAATAAAAGAGAAGTATTAGATTGTTAGTAGTCTTCTTTTTTTTAATAAAAAAAATCAACTTTCAATGTGAATTAATTTCTGAACCTTCTCTCATTTCTATATTGTTGATGATCCAGTGATCAAGAATGGCTGTACTGAATTGTACCACAACTTGCTACTGTGGGTTTCGTTCATCTTAATTGCCAGGCCAGTGACTGTGTGGATTGAGGGACAGATAAAGAACAGTAATTCACATGCCTATATCTGCTACGGCTTGCTTTGCAGAGTTTTGCCCGTCCACCAATAGCAAATTAAGCATACCATGCATTTACTCTCCTTGGCTAGTTTAAGGGAAAAAAAAAATTGGTTACGCAAATGGAAAGACAAAAAAACATTAAGCTCACGTTATATCATTTTTTTTAAATTCCAAGTATATACCCTAACTAAAGATTTAAACTAATTTATCTTTATTAAATCCGATATATAAAACGGATATAATTATTTTAAAAGCTTTATACGTACATAAAAATTTAAAATCAAGACTATTTACTTAATTTTCTTTTTTATCAAGACAACTCTCTTGAGTCATATTATATTATTTTTAAACATTGCATTTATGTTGAAATTAAAACTTAAGATTTTCCAAAAACTAATTACAGTCATATATAAAAATTTAGATATATTACTAATTATAAACGGTAAATAAGTGAGATTGAACTCCCGATTTTATTTACCAGTTTAAGAAATTTATATGCATACCATCTTAGAGATGTTTTTATTGCTTTCAACAATTTCCAATTTCTTTAGGTGAATTCACTCCATCAAACCAACATTAATAAGGGCAACTATACACATTAATGCTCGATCAATCCATGTGGCTCAAGTGGATTACCTCTTCTTCTCTGTGCTATTGGAGGAAGGACCAATGCAAATTTTTGCTAAGAATCTTTTCAAAAAGTCTCTAACTCTTGCAATTATAGCATAACCCCTTAATAAGATTCATTTTTTAGGAAGTGATTTCGGATAGATTTTTTTTTTAGAATAATTAGTATGGCTCCTTTTAAATAACATAAACTAAAATGTACCAACCACCCACCCAAAGAGACATGATAAATATCATCTTTAGGTGTCATTTAGTTATCAAGAATGAAAAGTTTGGAATGAAAATGTAGTTATCAAAATGAAAATTAAAAAATCAAAATAGCATTTGTATTTTTATAATGTGTTTGGAATACTAAAGAGGAATCGAAATACAATAAAATTTTTTAATATTCGATTTTCTATACAAATAAAAATAATGATTAGAAAAATAATTTTATCAAACTATAATGGTTGTAGAAATAATAAAAGTAATAGTGGTGGTGGTACTTGGGTGGCGATGGCAATGACGGTGATTGTGGTGGTTATAGTGGTGATGGTGGTGGTGGTAATAGAAGTAATTAATTGATAATAAATAAATAAATAAAATATATTATTATTTTGAAAAAAAAATTCATTTTCATTCTTTGTTTTTATTCTCATATTTTAAATAAGAATGAAGTTGTGTATAATTTTCATTTTTATTTTTACTCTTCATCTCTATTTTTATTTCATTCTTTCAATCAAACAAGCTATAACATAGGAATAAAATTTTTATTTTCATTCTCATCATTCCATTTCCGATTATCAAACACCATCCTATAGTTTTGACTTAATTATCATGTACTTAGACTTTATGATCATGCAAACACAGATTGGATGCTTAATTCGAGGGCAAAGTTAGCGGCAACCATAAATTTTTTCTAACAATACTGGTTTTCGGCAGATAAAAAGATGATGACTCCATATCAATATAATTAAATTAAAAGAAAGCGAAGGAGATAATTCTGAATAGTTCCTTTTGTTGCTATCCATAATAAATGGCCCCAAGCTAAGACAATAAGCCACAGTAGATGGATCCTCTGCTTCCCTAGCTACTAATGCCTAGTGGTTCTGTAAAAGAAAAATTGAAGACTCTTCGTACTTTTGGAGGAGGCAGGCAGCAAGGTCCCATTAATTTGTCAACAATTCCCATCAATCTTTTAATTTTAAGACCACTCTTGATTTACAGAGTCAATTACAATATTGTAAGGAAGGGGAAAATTGTTTCCTTCCTGATGAAATAAAATGTAAAGGTGAGAGAAGGGCAGCACCCATTAATAGTTTAATACTCCTGATGATAGATTTATTTTTTCGAACAATTCCCGTCAATAACAGATGGGCACTTGTCAATAAAATCGATCCATAAAATAAGATGTAAGCATCAATGTTGCAAAGCGAAAGCAGTGGAGAAATTAACCAAGCCTGTTTTTGGTGCATGGAAAATGCGGTTGCAACTTACAACTCTAGCTATTTCGGTTGGTAAAGTCAAGGCATGCAGCGATTAGTGCCCCAACAAATGTGTTGGTAAGAAGTTGTTTTTCTAGGCAATCTCTTCGAAAGAGCTAGAATGGAAAAGGAAGTTTCTCTAGGAAATCTCTCTTCGAAGTACTACATTTATTGCCGCAAAGAAATTAAAAGGACTTGGCATGTGGTGGTCCTCCAACTAGTACTAGTCTACTAGACAGCACAGCAAACTAAAAACATAAATTGTCATCATCAGAAATAAAGAGGAAAAATAATACATCCCTCTAGCCCGGCTACGATGCAAAATAGCCTAGTCCCCATGTTCTAAGGACCAGAAAACTTGCCATTCTGCCAGATTAGTGCCTTAGTTAATGCTTAATACGGCTACTGTCCGGCCATGTCCTCTTTCTCTTTCTCTGTTTTTGGTTTTATATCATCATGATAATAACTGTACAATGACAGTACTCCACTTCCTTACGGCAATCCATGCATGCTTGTGTGGTTAATGTCTGCTAAATTATGAGCATATACACGGATCTGTAAAACATGTCCTTAATTCAAGTTACTGTTGTAAGCAATTCAGAGAATTTGGTTCAAAAAGTAGAAAATTCGAGTGGAAGATCCATACATTTTGCTGGTTTAGTCCTTAGTCAATAACTTGGATCAAACGGCGGATTTGATAAATCAATCTATTATGAGAATCTTATAATTCGACGACTTGACTAATTTGTCTAAATTTTTGCCTATGAGGCTTTGATTTATTGAAGATTTGAAGGAGAGTTGAAAAAAGAACTGGGCCAGGAGGGTACTCACGGAGTCTTCAAAGGAAGCTATCCCCCATGTTCTGTGAATGAGATTAGCTGGTGAAAGGGAGATAAAAACAGAAAAGTGGGTCCACTGTAATTCACCTAAAAGCAGTGACTATCGATGGCCACTAATCTACCAAGGCAATTTCCAGGGTAGGAAATGACCGTCTATCGTAAGTTAAGCACATGAAGGCCATGTTACTTTTGCCTTCGATACCTCTTGTAAAGCCAACATTGTCAGGACTTTGAGATGTCACTGCTAACTGCTTTATAGCCATATAACTCGTCCAAACATCTATTTGAAAACTGTCCAAAACTTGGGTCTTTTATAGATAGAAATTTCTTACTAACACTTTCCTGTGTAAATTATTGATGGGATGTAATTGAGGAAAGCATACGAAATAATGGTCGGTATAGCATTCGCTAGCCAATGCAACCCACATCGACCTATACCTGCAATATGTTGATCTCGCATTTATATTATGATTTTTTTGTAAACAGAAAAACCATGAGAAGTAAGACGTGAGTTGAATCAAAAGGGGTCGATCCAAGAAACTAAATCGACAACAATAAACATGCATGCTTAGGACTAAGAAAAGTTTGACATGGACTACACAAACTGTGTAGAATCAAAACCTTATATAACGATAACAACCATATACATGGAGATATATATTGCCAAATTGGTATGGCCCTAGATCCCTCCCTATATACGATCGTAAAGTCCAATGTCGTATCAATTTTGAAACCACCCAGGAAATTGGTATCTCCTTTCAAACCTAACGTGAAAATGAATATGTTTACAATCAATAGGAAAGGGAAAATTGTTCTGGCCCCATGACAGCTAAGCCTCAGAACCAAGAACCCTAAAGAGCAAGGACTTTACGGAGTTGTACCTGAACCTCATTAACATGCACATGTACTGTAAGAACGTGGAGGTGGGGAACTAATGCCAAATTCATTTGGTCTGAAACACAAGTGTATGATGGTTTCTCGTTGCACGTCAGAAGAGGGGCCAATGTTCTGTTACTATGGTCCAAGCCAGGTAGACTATGGGTCGCGAAGGTGAAACGTGTATCTAAGAAGCCCCTGAAGTCAAGACTCGAGGCTATTTTCTAACTTGTAATGCACATTAAACTGCTATCGAACTGCAAACAACTAACTGTGTGGAAAGATGTTTTGGTAGATGTTTCAACTACTCTCTAAATGTGGTTCAGAACCGACTTAATTTTGTCAGAAAACAAGTGGATGCAGAAAGCAGTTATTATAAAATGTGTAACTCGTTTGTGTTTTTACTTCCCTTTTTCTTCGCTTTGTTCCTGTCTCGTGTGTTAGAGAACAGAAACCCAACGTTAAGGACCACAGCGGTATTCCTATCACTGGAGGACTAGCCTTACTTGGTTCTGTTTGGGATCGTCGACTCGTAACAGAAGGCCACGAGTCAAAAAATCAAAAGCTAATTGGTTACAAAATATTTTGAATTATTAATAAAAAAAATAGTTTTAAATTTTAATTTAAATCTTTATTTTTTTTTGTCTGCAATTAAGTTTTTCATTCTGCTAATCAATTTCAAATAACATGAAAAATGCAGGAAGCCATTAAAATAATGACATGCATGTTGTTTTTTATTGCTCTACTTACCTCTTGAATGCCTTCAATGTAGTTTGGGATTGATAAATAAAATTAAAAAAAACTTAATTACAGACCAAAAAATAGATTGAAGAGCTAATCAGAAAAAAAAATTTCTTATTCATCAATAATTCAAAATACTTTATAACTAATTAGCAAAATCCCGACAACCTCAATAGATTAATAGACGTCTTCAAAACCATATTGACAATGTGATATTACGTCCTGAAACTGTTTAGGATATTGAGATTAAGTCCTTAGTTGGATCAAATTTGGAAGCATGCATGCATAAAAATTTCTTTTGAAACTTTCCTTATGTTTCTAACATATGATATGATAAAGTGGAAACTGGGAAGCAAAACTCCTTGCCGAAACATTATTTCAAGAATCTTATTTTCTTGTTTATTACTTAATTATTTGGGTATTGATGACTCTAGGTATAGGCTGTCACCAAATTTTAGCCACAGCATGTCACGTTTTGCACCTCAGTACGTAGGTCATAAAACCAAACTCCTTACCCTCTATTTCATTTGATTTTTAATTGAATTTGGCCTTAGAAATTAGCTGACTTGAAAAGAAAAGAAAAGAAATTTGTTTATATGAGTCAATTTCTTAATTGGTTATGGATATCTCACAATAAGAGTTCATTGGATATAAAAATTTGTTTATGGGTTTCTCATAAAATACATGTCATCTCTTTTGGTCGCTACTCGCAACTTGAAAAGATTGTTGACTGACCATTATTTGTTGATTACTTGAATTCTTGCATGTTAGCAGCCTAACCAGACAGGATCAGAGGGCTAACCACGCCTGTTAGGCCCAGGTCCAGTGCCTACCGAACCAAAAGAGCCTAACTTGGAGTGAAACTGGGCCCCTCCTAACCATTATTTTGAAGAGGGCATGCAACTATCCATAAAAAAAAATCGAAGTCCTTGCAGTTGCAGCGACCCCAACGATTAGACATCAGAAATATCTTGCTCTAGGATAGTATAAACTATAATATAAAATGGCAAGAACAGAAGAATCATGAGAGGAAGAAACTGGTTGAAGGCATGAAAAGGCCCACCATTTGCAATGTCTTGACAGTGGGAAGGAACATCGGCATTAGGCAGTGTCTGTAAATTTTAAACCCTGAAGTCAGAAGAACCCAGTCAAACACTAGGCGGCTACCTCGCTAGTTGGGCTGTCAATAACCTCGTTCGTGAGTCATGACTGTAAAAATTACAAGACCACAATCAACTATCTTCATCTTCTAGATTACACAGTTCATCATTTTCAATTACAGGACAGGCATTTTTCAGATTCATGGTAACTGAAGCCCGAAATGTTGCACAGCCTCAACCTGCCGCCTTGTGTTAATCTTTTCATGCTCCTGGCTGTGCATTTGCTCTGATAAGAACTTGTATGCTGGTAGTTTTCAATAGCATACTGTCCACTAAAAATCGTTTTTTTTTTCTTTTTCTTTTTCTTTGGATTGGAAAGGGCCTAAGAGGTTATATGCTCTAAGGTCTAAAGCCACAAAGGCTAAAAAAATAAAAAAATAAAAAATAAAAAATAAAAAAATCCCATTCTTTTTTTGAGGAAAATTAGCTCAATTTGTCCTTGCATAACAATTTGAATCTTCAATATATATATGATTATATTTGTCATTCCGATCAATTTTTCCAACTATAAACAAATTTTTTGATCAAAATATCATTGATTAAAATACAAAAAAAGAAAAAAATTCTAAACACTTCAAAAATAAAACATGCAAGTCATGTCATTCTAAGTGGCTTTTTTTTTCTTCATTTCATTTAAGGATATTTCGATAAAAAAAACTGATTATAATCAGAAAAATTGATTAAAAGAACATATTAGAAACTTAAATATTGCTTAAAAACATAATAAATATAATTAAAAACGTAAAAGAAATTGGACCCTAATGAACTATTTATCCCATGTCTTCAAGAATAGTGGAAAAACATCCCGGACAGATGGCGGTAAAATAATGCAAGAACCAAATCCAAAGAGAGGGCTTCGTTTGCAAGCCAATCATCAGCACAGCGACTGGACTCCCTATAGAAATGTTTCACAAGAGCCTGACCAGGCCGAAGAAGGATCTGTCCGCTCAAATCTTTTGTCAAAAAGCACCCACATCAGTAATAATGTTTTCCTTGCGCATAAATAATTGTCTTAAAAATGAATAACAAAACAACTCAAACATTTTTACATTTATAACAAACACAACCTAGTGAAAAAATCCAAACTAACCACCAGGTATCGAAGGAAAACTCTTCAAATCTGTCAGCCACCACACCAAATTATGGTATTCTGCCAAATCCTATATCAAAAACTCTTTCTTCTCTTGAGCTCGTTCGGAAGGTAATAAATTATAGGTTTAAGCAGATATAACAGCTGGTGTTGCCTCTTCTTCCTGCAACCTCTCATAATATTTGACAAGGACTTCCCAACCACCAGGGCACATAAAACCATCAGGAGGGTTCTCACCAGTTCTAGCGTAAGTCCTCATCTGCAACAAAACAATGAGTATACTAATTTATATCTGGCATAATTGTGTTCATACAATTTATATACAAAACCTTGAGACAGCCAAAAAACGAAGATAAAAAATCTTCCAACACTCATAAGCCCATTTCTCAGAAAAAATAGCATGGGACTTTTTTCTACTTGCAATATCACAGGGAGGTTGAGAAAAGTTCTTAAAAGCAAACTTTCACATCTCGAACCAACTTCATGAAACCTAAGAAACCATGCAATAATAGTATAGTAGACAGAATAATCTAATGATGCCACATTACTCTCAATCAAATAACACACACAATTACCAGCAATAATGCTTTCCTCTCTATTCTTAAAAAGGCATGCATAAGACAGATTCTCTTATTGTTTCCATGTTATTTGTTAATGTCAACAGAACTGAAATGGGACTTTCTGAGTCAAAAAACCCATTACAACTGGCTTATGGAGATATATTATAGACAACATGGAGAAATTTCAGGGCTTCATACTTTATTGAGCAAGAGCATTAACTCTTTTACATCCATAGAAACAGAAACAATTATGTACCAGATATTGTTCCTACCTTAGTTCCAGAGATGAAGAGGAAATCTTTGGAACGAGATGGATCAAAAAATGCCATCTTCTTTGCCACAGTATCATATGCTGCCACCTGCACAATATAAAGCCAGAAAGATTACTCACTGGCTTCCCTAAGAAGATAATGTTAAAAGAAAGAATGCTTGCTTGAACTTCAATTTTTAAACATCAGAAATCCATCACATGTTAAGCCACAAAACTTAAGCCCAGCAGATGCATTACAAACTCTCAGGTGTAAAGAACCCAACAGATTGAGGTCAGATATGAAAAGACATCAAATTGGAGAACAGTAAAAAATGGCACCTTATTTGCTAAACCTATCCCAGTCTCGTATGAGCATCCACTCAGTCCTCATATTGTTTGTCAACCAATTGTCTTCTATACTGTCTTCACAATGTTTAGTTTCTGGCCCTATTGTGATTTAGCCCAAGTTGGCAATGGCTGCAGTACGTTTCTAATTCAAGCTTGAGCTTTGACTTGTTCCAACAAAACAAGCTAGAACATGATCACTTGAACAAATTCCTACTCTTCTTTAAGATCATTGGTAGTCTTGTATAGTGTATGACCAGCCATCTATCAGGAGATATTTCGTTATTGAAAGAAATTCAAAGGAGCATTTACTTAGTCCATTGTCATAACTTGTATTAATGCACTAAGATGAAAATACAAGATGATGATGCTATTAAAAAGCTGATAGCCAACAGAGACAAACAGAGAGGTAAGACGCTGAGAAACCTACCCTAAATGGCAAGATATTCAACTTCTCCAGGCCTGGAGCCATGCTTAGAACCTTCTTTCCATGATCAGGATCATATAAATCTCTCTTCTCTGTTGGGTGACCCATACCAGCAGGATCGCGACCTACAATGTAAAAGTTAGCACCTGCATTTATCCGTGCCTTGGCATGCCATTGTACTTCAGTAGGACCAGCATAATGCATAGGTGATGGGAATATGGCAACTATGGTAGTTTCAGGGTCAAGAACTCCATCTTCCAGAACCTGCTCAAAAACAGATCCATGAATGCCCATTACACAGCAAATAGACTCATTTTAGATAATTGGTTAAAAAAGCACACAAGGATGATCAGATCAATATTATCACATGTTATGTAGAAGAAATTAATGAATAAAACCTTGCTGTGTTGTTCCATCCGAACATCCAAAGGAACATCATCAGCCTTTGTGAAACCTCCTAAGGGATGAAGCAGTAGGATTGGATTCTTGTAACCCATTTCCAAAAGCCGCTTGCGTGTATCATTCATCAATAAGGCATGCCCATTGTGAACAGGGTTCCTTAACTGAAATGCAAAAACTGCATCAGCTTGACGCCTATCAAACTCCTTCCGGAGTTGTTGGGGAGAGATCCTGTAGTGATCAAGCCCATCATTGTACTTGATGGGCTGTAGCACTTCTAGATCTCCACCTAAGAGCCAATTTCCAGCTGGAGTAATGAATTCCTCAACATATGGCAGTCCAGGTGCAGTTGTCCCCCATGTTCTAGCTATTCTTTCTTCTTTGTTATGCTTATATATCTCAATACTGCAATAAAATTTCAAATTTAGATACTTCCTTTTTTGCTAAGAGAAGAACTTCAAGTAACTAGGCAGGTCTGGAGCAACTTGCACAAGTGGAATGCAATCTTTAAATTCAAAAGACAATGCAGCATGACTACCCAACAATGGAAAATCAAAAGACAAAAGCAGGAGTCCATTTTCCAGCAGTGTAAAACATACCCTCTCCTGATATTTCAGTCCAAAGGGTTTCTAACATGATGATCGCAATCAAGACAGAACCAATAATTGGGCTTGATGCACATGGTAAAGCAGCCGGCTTCCCTGAAGCTGTTTTACACAAACATTTGCTTTCAAACGTGCAAGCAAGAGTATCCACTGTGCGTTTATATGTGCTCTCTAATCACACATGACAATGGGTATTCACACCATCTATACATTCAGAATTCCAGACATGGAAGTGTCCCCTAGGAGAACATCAAAAGTTTAAACAAAAGCAACTTCCTAATGCACTGCTCGGTTTCATTTGACACATTCAGAAACTAGCTTTATCCTTTCCGAAAGCTCAACTATCATTGTTTTTTATGCAACACAAGTTATTTAAAATTCCGGTCAAAACAAAAAAAACAGCATTTCATTTCCACGTATAACTATTAAATAACATGTAGTATTTAGTACAAATCCAGGTTTGACTCTGCTAATTATAAATTTGTAGCTTGATCACATTACAGAAACGTGTGTATATACTCTATTGAGATTCTTTTTTTTTTTTTTGAAAGCTACCATAACAAAGCACGACCATGAATAAATAAAATAAGAACCGATTAACAAACCTTCGAAGAATAGCAAGCAAATCACCATCAGGACCAACCAACGCAACATCCTTTGAAGACCCAATACTCTCTTTAGTCTCATCATCAATTGCCAAAACAATAGGAAGCGACATATTCACCACAGTCCCATTTTCCATTTTCAGAGAATTGAAATGCAAGCTCTGCAAATACTCATTTTCTCTCATAAACCCTTTCAATGGACTGGCCCATCCTTCACTTATCACGTGAACCCACTCCACATCAATCTTTGCCAGCCTCACTTTAGGTAATGATTCTGCTTCCAAAGTTTTTGACCCCCTCTCGCTCTCTGGCACTATAACATCCACCACGAACCCCCCATCTGGCTCGATCAATGAACTCTTGACAACCGAACCGGAAACAGAACCTTGAGACATTCTGGGTTTTTTGTTGTTGTATAGAATGGGTATTAATGCGTTTGAATGGTAGATTGGTTTGGGTCGGATTCCGAGGTTGTAAGCTGCGAATTTTATGCTGTGTTTTGGGTTTAGATTAAGGCTAATTATGTGAGGAGTGATGGTTAGTTTAATTGTTAAAGACATGATGAAGATGTTTTAGAATGTTTTCTAATGTCGTTAGATTTGGAGCGATGGTTGTTAAGGGAGTAAGGTGGAGAGATCCAAGGGGGATTCTGAATTTGGCCAACATTTTTGTAAGGAGAAGAAGCAAAATACGATTCAACTGTTAAAGATATCCACACGTTTGCTTTGCTTACCTTTTGTTGATGGTACCTGGCTCATGGCTGCTATTCTCCGTTTTGGACGGGGACCAGAGGCTGAGGAGTCGTAGTGGGCTAAAAATTATGAGAAATAAAAGAAACAACTAGGCAATGCTTGCCCATTGGCCAGTGGTAACGGGGCGTGTCCAGATCTGAAACGTTGTTATGGTTTAGCCATTCGCGACCCCTGGCCAGGGTCACCAGCTAATCATGGGCTCGTGGAAAGACCATTCAATACATTATTTTTTTTTTAACGAAACAAATCTGAATTTATTTGAAAATCAGTTTTTTTAATTTTTAATCTGACATCTTCGAACTTTATATATATATTTTTTATTTAATCTGTTCTATGATTTTCAAAGTTCACCAATTCCTTTAAAAAATTTAATTTTTGTTATTTTGAGTTGAAGTTCTGCACATATATTAGAAACAATTCAATCTAATTTCCAAATAAATTCCAAAATTTTATCAAAATCCTAAGTATATTTATTTATTTTCATCGCATTAAAAATATAGAAAATTGAGAAAAATAAAAATTAATTCAAATTGATTCCAAACTTTTTAAAAATTTTCAAATAAATTTTATCGTATGATTTTTATCATGAAAAATATTTATTTGACTGATATTTTTGACAAAAAAACTAAAGGATAGGCTAAAACTATAAAAAAAAAAAAAAATCAAAATAGATCAAATACAAAATTAGAAATTAAAAAAATGATCTATTTTGCCTTTTTTTCCTTTTAATTAAGTATTGTGATTGATGTTTTGACAAGGTGTTTCATCTTTTCAAATAAGTACTAATTGGATTTATTTTCAAAATTAAGAAAGATAAATAAATTGGTATTTATTAACGATAAGATAATTTGATTGTTAAATAATGACTCGATATAGATACCTTCGAATTAAGAATGTATATTGGTTTAAAAATTATAATCAACGGACTCGATCGAAAATTTTGAGAATTAAAATATTTTATAGAAAAAATAAATATTAAATACTTTCATAATATTTTATGGCAAAAAGAAAAGTAAAAAAGTTGGAAGATGGTAACAAGATTAAGAATAAGGTCTATTTTTCTTTTATTGTGATTTAGTGGTTTCCTCGTGTGAGCTTCTTATTTATTGGACTATGGATCCTTCACACCTAGAAGGAACTAACAATTCTACAGGAGCGTCGAGGAGACTGATAGCGTTTGCTTTAATTTACCTTATCCACGTGGGCAAAATGGTAATTTACTTTATCCACGTAATTTTAGAGTTTTTTTTTTTAAGGAAAACAAAAGTCAAAAGACTTAATATGTCCAAACATAATAGAGTAATTTTTTAATTTGTTTGCATATTTCTAATTTAATCAATTTATTACTGGATATAAGTTAAATGTTTAATCTATTATTTTGATAAAAAAATTTTAGATTAAATTATTTAAATTGGTCGAATGATTTGTGTATAAAATTTTTTTATTTAATGGACTTACAAAGATATTTTAATAATAAAGATTAATTATGTATAAATCATGTAAATAATTCTGATAAATTATCCTAAAAATCTTTACACAAGGATATAATTGAAACTTAATAAATATGAAAAAATAAAATTAATTCGAGTAAGGATGTATGAATACATTGTAGGATTGCCCTATTATACAACGATTACCTACTAAGAGTAGAATGCACCTTAAAAAATCAGTCAAGAAAAAGAGGCCCATGTCGGCAAGGCCCTGAACAAAAATCCACCCATATCAAATCAGCGCAACGCTTTTCTCAACATCTCAAAAAATAGATATTTCGTGTCAAAATCTTCATTCGACGAAGAACAATCCAACCCCAGTGCCGACTGACTCGCTGACCCGCTTCCCTTATAAAAAGACACAAACACCCCTCCTTAAACTTTCCCACAGATATTTTCCTGTTTCATCTATACGGTCAAGATCGTCAGGGGGTTCTTCGTCACAAAATTTTATCTCTGTACCCTATCTCGCTGTCGTGAAACAAATCCTAAGATAGTACCAATTACTACGAACGCAACGGAAAAAATTTTGCTCTCGCATTTTCTCTGTGGTTAGTTAGGGTTAGGGTTACGGTTACTTCATCGCTGCTCGTGCTATACTATTCAATTAGGTTTCTTCAAGCGAGTTAGATCGGTGAGTTGCTGATTGGAGTGATTTGCCATGGGTGTGCCGGCTTTTTATCGGTGGTTAGCGGAGAAGTATCCGTTAGTGGTGGTGGATGTGATCGAAGAAGAACCGGTGGTTATCGAAGGAGTTAAGATTCCGGTGGATACAAGTAAACCTAATCCTAACAATATCGAATATGATAACTTATATCTCGACATGAATGGGATTATTCACCCTTGCTTTCATCCTGAAGACAGAGTAAGATTTCGATTCTCTCTCGCGCCTTTTTTTTTTTTTTTTGCCTTTTTGCGTTTAATTTGTGTATTTTGAAGTTAATTTGGTTTTAATGGAATTGATTTGAACTTGAATTATTTTTTTAACAATGTGATTTATTGTTTTTTTTCTCTCTTGCAGCCTTCACCCACTTCTTTCAGTGAGGTTTTTCAGTGTATGTTTGATTATATTGATAGGCTTTTCGTGATGGTGAGGCCTCGGAAATTGCTATACATGGCAATTGGTAAGTAATTTAATTTGAGTGGTTTTCTTTTAATGCAAAGACTATTTGTGTATGTACTGAATTTGTGCGAATAACTTATAGATGGAGTTGCACCAAGGGCGAAAATGAATCAACAGCGGTCTAGGCGTTTTAGAGCAGCTAAAGATGCATCTGACGCGGTATGTGCTTATGTTAATAATGGGTGGCTCCTATACTTGTATGCAGTTGGGGAGTGACACCGGTTATTGGTTCTTAATCAGCAAAAACTAGTTTCTCTGTTAAAATTACCTTGTTAGTTTTGCTTTATATTTAGTGAAACTATTTGGAAGCAAAATCTGACAAAGGATGTTTAGTATCTGACAACAAATTGAACTATCATGGGTTTGGTGGATAAAGCGTTTAGGCTAGCTTAACCAAATTACTTATAGATGAAATATTAATAAAGATATAGAAACAACCCTTGAAGGAATGCTCATTGGACAAAGAATATCCAAGGAATATTTATGGTTCAATTGGATGAAAATTATCTTTCGTCTTCCTCTGAAACTTGATGGTTTCGGAGTTATCAAATTGTTTGATTGAAATGAGAGTACTAGTAGCCCCTGATTCTGATTCCTGCTTTACAGTCCCTGTTACTCAGTTATTTCTTGGAAACTGCATTTGTTCTTGGTAAATGTTTTAGTTGCTCAACAACTAAATTATTGGTTTTGGAAACATTCTGTTTTAACCATCTATGAAACTTTCATTGGTTTTGGAATCTGCAAGATTTTGTTAGTGAATATATATTTAATTATTAGGGATATCTGTTGCTGTGTTTATCTTACATTTCTGGATGACTTTTGGGATTATCTAGGTTTTCAGTAATCGTTATGGTTTCATATTCATGTCACTTCACTATTATTTTTCTCCATTCTTCTAAAGGAGGAAAACTTAACACATAGCAGGAAGTACACCATTTCAGTAATTATAAGCTGTTCACCATCCGTATTGTAGGCTGCTGAAGAAGAAAGGCTAAGAGAGGAGTTTGAGAGGGAGGGCAGGAAGCTTCCCCCTAAGGAGTCATCTCAAACTTTTGATTCCAATGTTATCACTCCTGGAACTGAATTTATGGCTGTTTTATCAATTGCATTGCAGTACTATGTTCATCTTAGACTAAATTATGATCCTGGGTGGAAGAAAATTAAGGTATAACCCATACCATGGTCCCTTGTTTATTTTCGCTCATGCAGTACCTTTTTTTTTTTTTGATATATACTCACCTTATGGTGTGTTTAACAATAGCAAATGAATAATCTTTGAATTTCTGTTTACGTTTCTATTTCTTGAAGGTTATCCTTTCTGATGCAAATGTTCCTGGTGAAGGGGAACACAAAGTCATGTCCTATATCCGTCTTCAAAGAAACCTTCCTGGTTATAATCCAAATACACGCCATTGCCTGTATGGTTTGGTATATTTCTTTCTTAATCGACTCTCCTGATCTTTTTCTGACCTGGTTGTTATTTTCTCTTCCAGACTAACATCTTTCCTCTATTCATTGGTGCTTCTGATAGGATGCAGATTTAATCATGTTGGCTTTGGCTACCCATGAAGTTCATTTTTCAATTCTTCGAGAGGTTTGTGTCACTGTTTAGAGATATTTGAATACTTGTAACCCCTCTGTTAAACCTCCACTTATTTTGACGAAGGCTTATGAATCACCAATTAAGTGGATGTATCGGTCTCTTTTTTCAATTGCCTGCAACATGTCTGCTAAATGTTGGATTTTTCTTTGTTTGATATATCTCTTCTTAATGGTATTTCAGATTGTTTTTACTCCTGGACAACAAGACAAATGCTTTGTATGTGGTCAGATGGGTCATTTAGCGGCTGCTTGTGAAGGAAAGGCGAAGAGGAAGGCAGGAGAGTTCGATGAGAAAGGCAATGATGTTGCTGTGCCCAAGAAACCATACCAGGTAGGTGAATTCTAAAGGCCTTTGGAAGTCTTGGGTGTAAATATCTTCCATGATGATGCACTAAATAACCCTTTTTGCTTCATGCCTCTTTTCTTGATGCAGTTTCTCAACATTTGGATTCTTAGAGAGTATTTGGAGTATGAATTCAGAATTCCTAATCCTCCGTTCAAGATTGATTTGGAATGTATTGTGGATGATTTTATATTCATATGTTTCTTTGTTGGCAATGATTTTCTGCCACACATGCCCACGCTGGAGATTCGTGAGGTTTGTAATGGTTGACTTTAAATTATATTGCTTCTATGTTTTAAGATGGATATACCACCATGTTGATCGAACCCATTATACACATGAAAAACCATACGAACCTTGTTGCAATACAGATTGTGACTTCTTTGAGTTGCTGCTTACGATTTCTCCCTTCCCTGCTGAAATAAATTGACAACAGCATAACATGTGAAAGCAAATAGATACCTTTTGTTTCTAATTTTTATTCTTTTTTCAGGGTGCAATCAACTTGCTGATGGCTGTTTATAAGAAGGAATTTAGGTCGCTCGGTGGGTATTTGACTGATGGCAGCAAGGTACATACATTTTTGTGCTATTTGCTCTTCTGGCTTCTGGCACTGGTTTCTATCACCAACGTTAGTGACTTCTAGTAAGATTGCTTAGAAATTGTTCTTTATAACCTTTCATTTTCTCAGCCAAATTTAAGTAGAGTGGAGCATTTTATTCAAGCTGTGGGTTCATATGAAGATAAAATATTCCAGAAAAGAGCGCGGTTGCACCAGGTTAGCTTCTTCGCCAAAATTTTTGGATGCTTGCATCTTTTTTACTGGAATTATGATTATGTGGTGCGCCTTTGCTCAAGAAATTCTGAATTTTATGGTTATTCCTAGAAATATACGTACTGGTCACTAGATGCATTTTTTTTCCAGGTATGATGCTTGTAAATGAGAATGATAATGTGATCTCTTCTGCAGAGTATTAAATAAGAAGTAGATACGAGACAAACGATAACTATTAGTTTTAGGAGCAAAAGTTTTTTCATTTTATAAGCAACAGTTTATCAACACCTTAAACTTTTAATTTCTTGATAGACAAGAAGAGACACAGGCAGAAATAAGCACCGCTTTTCAACATTGGGAATTAATTTATTTTGTCCATAACCTGCAGCGTCAGGCAGAGAGAATTAAGCGTGAGAAGGCCCAGGCAAGAAGAGGCGATGACGCAGAGCCTCAAAATCAACCTGAATCTTTGGTTGCAGTTGCACGATTTCGTGGTTCTCGTCTCGCTTCAGCTCCTACACCGTCACCTTATCAGGATGATGGGATGCATTCTCAGACATCTGATGGTAAAGGATCCTCTGTTCGGAGCCGTAAAGTTGCACGTTTGTCTTCAACAGCCAATATTGGTGCTGCCCTTGTTGAGGCAGAGAATAGTCTGGAAATAGATGTATGTTTTCCTGCTTCAGGAGAGGCACTTTAATGTAATTCTGACTCCTTCAGCCATTCTTTAGGACTCATATTCTGTGGGCTTGCGTTTCATTTGGTATGAGCCCTTGCTGGCGAGGGGTTAAGAGTACATCTGTTTACTCAATTTGTTAATCTTGCTTACTGAATCTGCAGATTGTTACATTTATATGTTGAGCACTTAATTTTTTTTCAGGTAAATGAAAACAAAGAAGAATTGAAAACCAAGCTTAAGGGGCTGCTTCGCGAAAAATCTGATGTTTTTAACTCAAACAATCATGAAGAAGACAAGGTTTGAGTCTCATATAGAAGTATTGATTAATATTCATATTCTATGAACTGTATTATCCAGCCAAACTACAATTATTGCCTTTCCTTTTTACTTATCTTTGTATCTCCATTGTTCTTTTACCAGGTCAAGTTGGGAGAACCAGGGTGGAAGGAAAGATATTATGAAGAGAAGTTTTCTGCAAAAACTCTCGAGGAAATGGAAGCTATACGAAGAGATGTTGTGAGTACATGTACTATTATACCTGCTGATTTTGCTCCGTCTTTCATATTTCTATGAGATAAGTAGGCTGATCCTATATATTTGACATTTAACTGAGCAGGTTTTGAAATATACAGAAGGGCTATGTTGGGTCATGCATTATTATTACGAAGGCGTTTGTTCTTGGCAATGGTGAGTTTTGAGTTTTCATTTTGTAGCAGTTGCAAATTCTTGTTTCTGCTGCAACTTCTGTTCTTTCACTTAAACTTCATGATCCCCCCGAATAAATGGCAAATTTGACATCACATTTTTGTTGCACATTATAATCGTAGGAAATATTTTTACACAGTTCAGTCTGGTAAGATGAATTATGGTTCATACTGCATCTTCTCAGGATAAACTTGCAGTTTGCATGTTGTCTTTTTACTTAATATGTCAATGCCTTTAGATCTTCAACTCAGGGCTACATAAATTCTTTGTTACAGGTTTTATCCCTATCACTATGCACCCTTTGCTTCAGATCTCAAAGATCTTGGTCAACTGAACATTACTTTTGAACTTGGTTCTCCATTCAAACCATTCAACCAGCTTTTGGGAGTTTTCCCTGCAGCAAGGTATCCTAGCTACTTATTTCATATCCCCTATGGGAAGCCATTTGTATTAGCAAAACCGCCTCAAGAAAGAGCTAACAATAATTTTCTGCAGTTCACATGCTCTCCCTGTAAATTATAGGAAATTGATGACGGATCCAGATTCACCTATTATTGATTTTTACCCTACTGGTATGCATCTTTACTAGAAAAGAAAGCTTGACCCATGACTGTCTTCGTATTCATGCATGAAAAGATGGCTTCTAACCTCTGTTGCATCTATCAGATTTTGAAGTGGACATGAATGGAAAACGTTTTGCATGGCAGGTTAGTTCAACTTTACAAATCTTAATTCATTTGGCCTTCCAGGCATGATTATGTGGTGAAAATAATTTTCTGTCGAAGTGGATCTTATTGATTCTGTTGTGTTTTCCCATTAGGGTATTGCAAAGCTTCCCTTCATTGATGAAGCTCGTCTTCTTGCTGAGGTCCAAAAAATTGAGCACACATTAACGGTATGCTTCTTGAATCAAGTTGCTTTGCTACAGTTTGTTTCTTTCATTGCTTGAATTTTCTCACAAGAAGAGCCTATGGTTTTACATTATCTGATCTGAATGCTGCAATGTTCTGTAGGAGGAAGAAGCAAGGAGAAACAGTATGATGTTTGACATGCTTTTTGTGTCAACATCTCATTCTCTTTCTGAGAGTATATATTTACTCGATAATAATTGCAAGCAATTAACAGACAAAGAGCGAGTTGAAGTCAAGGAGCGTATCAATCCTGCGTTAAGGTTGTATTGAATTTATGTAACAGAATAATTTATGGAATTATTTACTTTGAGCTCTGAAACTGGGTTACATTTATCGGATTCTGAATGTGATTGGTTTCCATTTTTCACTTGAATTGTTCTTGATCACTGCTCTGGACGTGAACTTTGTTAAATTTGAATAGGGAATGTTAAGTGACCATCTGGCTTGCAGAACTTTCCGTTCTTAGTTTCATACCTTTAAGTTGAATACAATTGTCCTTTAATAGTCAAACTTGTAATGTGAAATCTGAAAAGTTGCTTTACTTGGTAAGACAATAAAGGGAAAACAAACCAGTAATAGTATATTAATATATTGAAACCAACTGTCATCTAGGTGTCAAAGTTCATGTGGCTACTCTTTTCTTGCAGGACCTGGATTTTCTTTTTATATGTCGGATTCATTTCATTTTCAAATTATATTTATAGATTGTGTATGGATGTTCATTCTACTTGTCTTGTCTTGGAGACAATCTTCTGATATGAGATGCATGCTTGGCAAATAAACCCCTTATAAACCACGGATTCAGTTTTTTTATTTCAATCAAGTCTATTATCCCTAGTATTGTTATCTGAAATGTTGGATTCTTCTAATGTTCAACCAAGTTCCTGCCATCCCTGAAAGTGGATTTAATTTTGTAGTGCAGACAGTTGAATGTACATTGAACTAAGCTTAAAAACAAATGTTCTAGTTTTTAAACGTCAAGCTATCTTATTATCTCTTGGCCATAACTGACAATAGTAGTTTTTCCTTGAGACTGAGCTATTTTATGTTCTAGAATCACATTATGGTTGTGCTTGACTCCCTAGCAATTCATTGGTTGGAGTTGATTTACCACTGTGTTAGTCATTTTTTGTGTATTTGGTATGTGCCATGTATTAGCACATGTTACCATTGAATTTTGGATGTTGCATTCTTGAAGCATCAATCTTGTCTGTCAAGCTGTTAACTATTGCTCACTACAATCTCTCCAGTTTGATATGTTCTCAGATATTGTACTTAAATGAACTATATTTTCCACAGTAATAAAAAACTTAAAATCTGTTTGGACTATTTTCTGATTTTATTAAGGGCTTCATGCAGTGATGGGATGAATGGCTATTTATCTCCTTGTGCTGGAGATACTCACCCTCCTATATTCAGGTCTCCAGTTGTAGGCATGGAAGACATATTGGCCAATGAAGTCATGTAAGCTTCTACATGTTTAGTGTGATCTGACTTTAGATACTTTTAAGTCATCGTTTGTACAAGTTTTTTTGTTACCATTTATTCTTTTCTGTTCAGATGTGTTATATACAGACTTCCTGATCCACACAAACACATCGCTCGTCCGCCTGCTGGTGTTATATTCCCCAAAAAGGTATGTATTTGGTAGTGAGGCCTAAATGCTTTGCTGTCAGAGGCTTTTCATCTTCTGGTTATTTATTTGTTTCTTGATCAGGGAGGAAATGACCCACAACCAAGGTTGTTGCTCAAAATCTCATCTAGCATGATATGTTTTTTATCAGCTGAAAATCCTTGTCCATTTCTATGTACTGGCTTCTCATATCCACATTTTTTGGCTCTCTGCTAAGAATATCTTTTCTTTTTTGTTGCTTGCATTTACTCATATGACTTAATGTAGATCAATACTTCAGACATGCGAACTCTGGTGCATGTGGGTAATTATTTACTATAAACACATTCAACTTGGAATTGCCTTTGCTGTTAAATTGTTGCAATTATGTTTGAATCTTCCAGTTTATTGAATAAAATTTTGCTAGAATTATTTCATTCATCTATTATAATTAGTTGATGTACATGTTTCTTGTGGTAATGTAACTTTAACCAGAAGCATTGAGATGTTTGGCAAAGCTGTCTTAGTTAGCTTGAGAATCACTATATCAATCTCTGTTTCTTTACTTGTAGACGGTGGATCAGGGTGATCTGAAACCCGAACCTGTTTTATGGCATGAGGACTCTGGGAGGAGGCCTTGGGAAAATGACAGGTGTGGTTCGCTTGATCTTCACTGCAAGTGAAATTTTGGGGCATGATAAGATTTTCCATTCTTTTCTAAGCATGCGCATTTGTGCTTCAATTACAGTATATATTCCACTTTTGCTGTTATAATTGTTTGTTTGCTCTTCCTGTCAGACGAAATCCCCCGGAACCGTTTCTGGCTGTCATCTTGGGGAGGCTTCACATCGATTGGTTGCCAATAGTCTACAACTGAAGGGAGATCGCAATGGGTATGGAAATCATATGCATGACCCACCACCTCACATTGCAGCTCCCCATGGCCCACCACTCTCTTCCTATTCAAATGGGTTCCACAATCAGGGACACCGTGGAACGTTGAGACCTAGAATGGATTTTTCTCATGCAGGTTACCCTCAATCTACGAGTCCTCGTGTACCTACTCAACATGACCATGGATATAGTCAGCCCTATTATTTGGCAGGTGCCAACCCCTATAGTAGTAGGTCTCGTCCCCAGTATGAAAGAGAGAGTGGGCACCATCCAAGGCATGTTTACCAACCTGAATTTTATCAGAATGGTGCACCAAGGTACCCACATGGGCCGGTGCCACATATACCTACTGGGTCCACTACATATGGTTATCAAGGTAGTTATGACGCCTATCAGAGTGACCAATCGCCTGGAGCCGGTAGTCACCAGCAATGGGGTGGTAGGTTTTCCCCCCAGCCAATCACAACAGGCCAAGAGGTTATAGTCACCGTCAACAAAGTGGGAACCGATTTTCAGCTTTGGATTCTAGAGGAAATAAAATGCCTCTACAACATGGTGGAGCAAATAGGAGACCACCACCTCCTAGTGGAACATATAGGGGGCCGCATCAGCCACCTCTTGGTGGACCTAATCGGAGGCCCCACCCACCAGCTGGATATGGTAGCCAATAAAGCTGTTTTTTATAGCAGAACCAGAAAGGTAACTTGATTGTTGTACGATAGTTCCTTTTTTTCCTTCAGCTTTTCACGATTTCCCCATTCCATTGGAACCACTTAATTTTTTAGGTTTTACCATTTCTACAATGTTGTGTTGTAATGTATTGTAGATGGGAGAGGAAAATTTTTAGTAATAAACAGTGAAGAAGAGTGTACGTCACGTCCCCAACACGCCACACATTGTTATAAGGAGCCATTTGATTTAAAGAAATGTAGATCAAATTTTCGATTCTTTTTCCCTCATTTTGCTTCTCCCCACCCTTTAATCTTTTGGGAGTCAGCTTGAAGTTGTCAAAAGCTTTTGTTCGTTCAAGTGGCTAGATATTGATGTCCTTAAGTTTTACATGAGTAAATCTACTGTGCCAGGCTTTCGGCCATCATTTGTGGCGAGGTGGTTGGCTTTTCTGCTTAGAGAGGCTAGTTATGTTTTTGCAAATTTGGTGAGGTTTCAGTTCAGTAGTCCAGACGATGATATTTTAGTTTTCCAGTATTCTCCATCTGATCTTCTAAGCAGTCCTTTGTTTAAATTCTTGAAACATAGATCATTTAAATTTTTTTTTAAAAAAAAAACGACACAAGTTTCAGTAGGAACGTTAGCATTATTATTCCAACTCTAATATGCAAATAGGGATGGTAGCTGGACTGCTGTTGTATGAGCGGCCATCCTTTATTTTCTATTTTGGGGAATTGAATATCGGGAAAATCGTCTTGAAATGAGAAATGTGGGCATCCGCATTACCTTAGAAGTGGGGCTTTTAAATTTGTTTTCTCGTTTTAACATATCCTTGGCCCTTGAAAATCGCAATTGATGAAATGTCGAAAATTTCCGTAAGAGTTTTTAACTTGAGAATAATGTTTAACAAGATCACTATTTAAGAAATTAGACGTGGACAAGTTTCATTTTTCAGTAATTCTTTAAAAATCTGGGAGCAACTGTCTCTTCCCTTGTCTGGTTTTTCAAATTGTTTTCTGCGTTTTAGCATCCTTTCCTAAAAAGGCTTGGAAGGGAAAAAATATAAAAACAGTCCTATAGTAGAACTTAAAAGATTCATTCCTAAATACTTAATCTAAACGCTCATCATCCTCAATTTCAGTCGGAGTGGTAATGCAGTCAAAGGAAGAGACCCCTTTTTTCCCTTTCCTTTGGCAACGGAACGACAGCATACCCCTTTTTTCCCTTCCCTTCCGTATCTGCAATATGTTCTTATGAGAGATGACATGGGGGGATCTTCTCCCTATATTCTGGGCGCAGGCACAGCTTAGAATTGTTGGCAGGGGTGAATAATTGAGGATCTACTAGTAGAAAATTCTTCATCCGTGCAAGCATCAATCCATATAAACTATGGTTAATGCATCCATCTACACTTATAAGTTGAGCCTATCTTTCCATATATTTGGAAAAAAAAATTAATTTGAAAAAACTAGAAACATAAGAACATGTTTTGGTTATTTTTATGAACTTTTTTTTCTCAAATTCTTTTTCTTTTTCTCTAAAATATTTATTTTTCCAAGTGCCAAAGTAAATTGTAATTAATTAGTTTTTTTACATTGAAATTTGAGCTTCATCCATACTTAAAAATTCTTATTTGTTTTTGTTAAGCCAATCGTTAAATGTAAATTGGAATATGCTTTTCTTCCTCCGGTCAGTTGGATGAGCACTTTGGTCTAATGCGTCTGCCCGTGTTCTTGTAAATTACTTGAAAAGAACAACAAATAAACTTACTTTTCTGAAAAGCAATGTCGTTTAATAAATGACTTTTAAAAAAAGTAGGACGATTCATTTCATACGTGTTGGAGTAATGTGACACTGAGGTGGAAATACATGAAATTAATTGGTTTAAAGGTGCGATAAATATTGTTTTTTAATGTGTTTATTTGTTCCATACAAAAAACAATACTTTTACAATACAATTAAATCTCTGAACTCTTCAAGATACAACTAAATCTCTTTAAAAGAACAAGGAAAAAAAAGAACAAATACGTTTTTTCTTTTTTTTCTTTTTTGGTATAATAAAAAGGTTTTAGTTATAAACTTGAAACAATATAATGAAACTATAAGACTGCTAATAAAATAATTAAGTTTTTGAATTTAATTGAATAACTGTTATTTGAGTTTACATCTATCAATAAATTAATTTCGAAAAATTAAAACACAAATTCAATAATGAATTAATTTTATTGGCAATTTTAGTTTAAAGTGTTAATCTTTTGATATTATAATTTATAAATATCTATATAGAGAACCCACCAAAATGTCTTAAGCATCCCCAGGAAAATCAACTCACTGTTACATTCATTTATTTATTACACTCCAAAAAATCCCACTTCCAAGCATAGGAGGATTATTTATCTCTAATATAAAATAGATTTACTTTTCCTTTCTTTCGATACAAACTACACTAATAACTTGTATTTGAGGAAAAAAAAACATGTAATTTATCTTTTTCACTCTATATTAATATGCGAATAATATGAGAGTCAGCAATGGAAAAGTATTGTTGCTGATGAGCGGCTAAAAGCAATAAAACAATAAGACTATAGTACTGGGTCCTGTATCAACCGCACGTGTGCAGCATAGTCACAGCTTCCTTGGTGGGGCTGGACATCAGGAGATGTGAATTAATTTGTTGGGCCCTTGATGTAATTATCTGCACTTTTTTTTTTTTTTTTAATCTCAGAGTATTCGAGACTTAAAATCTCATAATAATCTATCCCTGTTTGGTTTGATACATAAAGTGAACATAATTATTCAAAAAGCTTTTAATGTAACCAAAACCTCAAAATCGAAACTGTTTCATTACTCTGGTCTTACCCTTGAGATAGTGAGAAGAAGATATTGGATGATTACGGTACCCAGATTGTTGACTTGGGCGCCTCGATTTTGGAATGATAGTTTCAAGTAGGTTCTCTTCACACAGTCTGCAGTTAGGAGTCTGATGCTATGAAAGTTACACGTGTGGATGATTAGGTAGCTAGTCTAATTCTATGTCCTCCCAGAACTTGTTTATTTAGCAAAATCCTACTGATCGATGCGATGCCAAGATAAGGACATAACGTGTAGAAGCAAAGGGGAGTAGAGCCACGCGTTCATTACTACAGTTTCTTCATTTCCTTTTCTTTTTCTTTTTTTGGGTTTCGAGAACACAGTCCAAGAACTAGCTAGCAGGCATGCCGTGCCGACGGACTATACAAATGTCCCTGAGAAATCTGAAACTCCCCCTCCAAACTTTACTAATATTATTGTATTGATATTCGTACTTTGATCGATTATAGAGTTTTCTTTTGTAATTGTTTTAATCCCATCTCTTATATATATATATATCAATTTCGTAAATCAAAAGACAAATGCAAGATCCTCTCTCTATTTGCAAAATAAATAGAAGAAAAGTTAACGAACTTACAATAAGTAACAGGAGTTTACAATTGTATTTGCATTGTGGGAGCGTCTTTCAATCAAAATTTGACCGCAAAAAACTACTGATCAGTCTATCACTAGAGCTGGAGTGGAATTCATATTAGAGTGACATCATGAATTTGTTAAAAAGGTAATATATTTAAGTTTTTTTTTAAATAGTATTTTTTTTAATAGAATATCAGTATTTTAATAACCAACAATTATTAGTTTGAATGTTATTAATCAAATTTTATAATTAAATAAAAAACTAATACTAAATAATGATTGATTATATAAGTTTCAATCTCGAAAAAATTTCATTCGAAAATATATATTAAAAATTAGTATAAAACTATTTTAAGATTTTGTGGAAGTTCCAATTTCGAAAATATTTTATTAAAAAGTCAATATAAAATCATTATGCCAACTTAATTTTTTGAGTTAAAAAAATAATTTGGAACCCAATTCTTTGGCATATTCTGTTAGAATAAATAAATCTTCCAAAGTTTGATGGACTAGTGGTTTTGATGTAACATTATTTTCTAGAGATCCCGATAAAAATTTACTACCACTAATTTTGCAAGCTAGACTGCGGAGTCCCCAACTAAATAAGTAATTAACAGAGTAACTTACGAGGCAAAATTCTGGATTCGAAGCATTGTGTGAAGTAATCAATGACGCATACATGTATGTTACTTAAATGGGAAGTGGTTAGTATAAAACTTATGCATATAACACATGATGACGGTGATACTAGTAACGTCATTTGTCTATAATTATAAGTTTTTTTTATGAGTATCATAGTTTTAAATAGCAATTACAATTAAAAAAATGATCGTGATCGCGATTATGGATCATAATTTATAACGATCGTGGCAACCAATATCGTAAATACATTAGCAATCGTTAATAAATTTATTATAATTTATATATTTTTAACAGTTTTGCTAATTAAAAATACCAATAAACAATAATATCTTTGATAATTTAATATCATACAACAATAATTCACTTTATCATAAAAACAATTAATAACATTTTTAATAGATAAATATCACAAAAAAAATAACAAAATACATTACAATTTCAATAAACACATTACAAAATATTTATCTTTAAATAATCATCGTGATAAATCATAATAATAGTTATTATTTTGTTGTTAATGTTGTGATCTTTGTCCATCAAAATTACGACCATAACTAGTTTAGAAAAGAAAATTAGAAAATAACATAAAATTAAAAAATATAATAAGTTTTTAAAACAATAAAGACCACCTAATTTATTTTTTCAAGCTAAAATGACTAATTTATAATTTATTCAATTAATACAGTATTTGTTTTGCAACCTTTGAAACAAAGTAGAATAATAAAATCTTAAATCATACATTAGTCCTTCTAGTTTTACAAAATAAATTAATTAGTTTTTAATGTTTTAAAAACTAATTATTTAATCTTTTAATCGAGTATTGATCATGTTTAATATATTATATTTTATTCCATAAAATATTTTTTCATCAATCTTTTTCATGGTATAATTTTTTTCTTTTTCTATTTTTATAAAAAAAAAACGAATTAAAAAAATATAAAATGAACAAAATAAATAAATTATTGATTTTTGAAATAGAAGGACTAACTAAATTATTATTTCAAAATAAGAGGACTAATTTAGAATTTATTCAATCAAAACTTGCAAATGCAAGTATTTGATATTAAAGCCTTCGCACTGTCTCTTGCTTTTCAAAATAAAAGAGTCCAAGTTTCTCTCTCCTCTCATCTGCTATCACCCAAAACTTTTCTCCCTTTCCGCCTCTCATCCGCTTTGCCTCTCATCTCTGTCTCTCTCCCTCTTTGCCTCTCATCACTATTTCAATTTTGACAGTTAAAATGGTTGAAATTCGGATTTTTTTTTTAACGTTGTTATATATCGATAAATAATGATGTTACATAACAATAATAACGTTATTTTTCTTTATTCATGTGAAATAGCATTGAGACATTTGTAATACTTAATAATAATGATGAGATGCTCCGTTACTCGTTATATAATGATTGCTATGTTACGTAATGGTCTATTTTTAACATTAGGACGAGTATGGTAAATTTGATGGACATAGTGAGACAAAATTTGCACCAATTATATTTGTGTTTTAAAATTTATAGTTCTATGTGTGCTCTTGTCATGATTACTCTAGAGCAAACCAACACTATCTCCTACACACACTTTGATATGTTAATATATTTTTAATTTTATCTTATTTGT